GTTGTGAGGATAAATTAGAGGCAGAGAGCCATATACACCCCTTTGAGCTCCTTGAAGGAAAAGTGGGGTATAAAACTAATAAATAAAAAGAATCCAGTTGGTATCCGCTCCATGCATCTGCTTTTGTTCTTTGACTCAGATAGACCATTTCCCCTCCTCTTAAAGTATATTATATCCAAAATGCAGAGTACCAAGTGATGTGTGCCTGTTGGCTAGTGGCAAGAGCTATGTGAATGGCCCAAGAGGCAGTATGGGGAGATTTATTTAGGAAAACAGGCTGAAACATAATCCACTCATATCAGAAAACCGTCACCCGACATCTCCTAGGCCTCTTAATCCTTGCGCCTCTTCCCTGAGCTTCACATCTTAATCTTACTCTTTCTGCAGGAGAAGACGGAGTGTCTTCTGAAGCAGTACGATGACATCAGCCACCTCAATTCAGAGCGCTACGCCCGCTTGGAGCGCGCCCAGGTCTTAGTCAACCAGTTCTGGGAGACCTACGAAGAGCTCAACCCTTGGCTGGAAGAGACGCAGGTGTTGATTGGGCAGTTGCCCCCTCTGGCCATTGACCACGAGCACCTCAAGCAGCAGCAGGAAGATATGAGGGTAAGAAGGGGGTGGGGGCAGGAGAGAGAAGCATGAATGCTCAGACCACCAGCTTTCAGTTTTGTAAAACTTAAGTTTCTCACACCTGTATAACCTGAGATATGAGGCTAAATTTGCAGGCTTTAGTTTTCTCTTTTGTGCTTGTGGTGGGGGGAAATAGCCTGCTCCCCACTTTGCATTGACTTTCCCCTCAAAAAAAGGTTCTGCAGACACCCATGGTATGAATCTGTAGCTTAAAAAACTATAGACCTTTAGAACTCTGATTGTGAGAAGCAAGCAAAAGTCCCTCTGTGTTCGGGCGATAATGCAAGCCCCAAATGTGCAGACGATGAAAACATTTGGCTTCTGGAGAGTTGCTGAGCTTTGCCAGGGGCCCTTCCTCAGAGATGGAGGTTGTTTGCAAGCGGACATTTGCAAGCTGAGGGAGGTTGGTGAGCAGAACATGTGGAAACTGGGCAGCAGTCAACTAGAGAAGCAAGTGGGTTAGGGAATGGAGGGAGGGGAAAGACTGGAGTTAGTGATTGGTTGGGTAGGAGGGTGAGGGTTTTGTATCCCAAAGCCCTGTTGGAATTTGGGAAAGACAGTTAAATTTGCCCTGGCAATCCTCTTTGGATCCCCTTTGGATCACCCAAGGCAGCAGAGAGAGGGCATCACAGTGCCCTCATCTTACCGCTGAAAACGGTAGAAGTGGTTACTGAATCATGTAGTGAGAAAAGATCTCTGCAATGCAGATTATGAATTCTGTCTGGGACGGATTCAGCTAACCTAGTGCAGTAGCAGAAGCCAGCACAAGGATTCCCACTAGCACAGTGAGACTGCTCTCTGCACCCTATGCCTCTCCCAATTCCACTCTGGAGTTTTTGGGAGAAACCCAGAGCAGCACTGGGGGTGGGGGAGGGGAGATAGCTCCATCTGGCTAGCAGAAATGCGTGCGCTGACGGAATGATTGCATTAGTGCGACCTTGAATTCTACCCAGTGTTTCCACACTTTATTTTAGTATATATTCAGTATATTTTGAAGTACAATTCCCACCAAGGCCAGCTAGCACAGTCTGCTGGCTGCAGGAGATGAGAATTGTAGTCCAACACCTCTGGAGGGCACCAGGCTGGCTTTGAGCATTACGGCTTGAGGTTAATATGGTCTCTGCATCTTATAACACGATGCTGAGCAAACACAAGTTCTTTAGCTTTTTGGAGCCAATAAACGCAGTTGGTTTAATTGCAGAATCTGCTCTTTTGTTTGATTTGTGAACCTGGGATCACAGTGTAGTGAAATGCATAAAGCAGGAGGTATCATCTTTGAGTCTCATTGCAATTCTTCGCTTTGCAGCAACTGAGAGAGTTGATTGCAGAACACAAACCCCATATTGATAAGCTGCTGAAAATCGGGCCACAGCTGAGTGAGCTGAACCCAGAAGAAGGAGAGATGGTAAAGGAGAAATACTTAACGGCAGAAACTATGTACTCCCGCATCAAGGAGGATGTCCGCCAACGGGCTCTGGCGATGGACGAGGCCGTCTCACAGTCAACCCAGGTTTGTGATTCCCTGGCTCCATCCTTCAATGATTCAGTGCAATCTGTGGGTATCATATGGGGGGCTTAGGTGGAGATTGTTTGCAATCTGCCCTCACTGTAGAAGAGGAGGGGGATATACTTAGCCACCACCCCCTCACCTATTTGAAAGATCACAGTCCCCACAAATGCATTAGACTTACCAACTTCTCAACCTGACATAAGAAGCTGCCTTAGTCAAGCCAGCTCAGTATTGTCTACACTGACTGGCAGGGGTTGTTGAATCATAGAAATGGAAGGAACTCTGATGGTCATCTAGTCCAACTGCCTGCAATGCAGGAATCTCAACTAGATCACAGAATCACAACTTCCTCCTGTTCCAGGATCTTCAACAACCCTCCGCCTTCCCCAACTCCGCTAACAGCCTTGGACAAAATTTTTCTTTAGGTCCTTTACTGAAGCAAATAACTGCTGGGCAAGGGCTGGGTTGGCCCATGACATAGGAGGCAGTGAGTTCCTTTGCTTAGGGGAGTGAACCCATTTTCTCACCTGACCAGAGCAGTGGTGGGTGGGGATGAGATCAGTGCAAGGGGAAACTACATTTAAGTTTGGCAAAGGATTTTTGTTAGGCACAAATCCCTTTGCTGTTGCTAATTTCCTTTTCTGTGTCATGTGATTTTGAGCTTAAGCCAGGAATCATACAGATTGTTCTTAGCACCTCATTTCAGACTCTCCCCCACCCCATGCAATTGTCTTGCATGCTATTTGGAAGTTAGCTGGTAAAACTTTAACCATTGTTAATCTATGGTACCCTAGCCTAGGTTTTGTTCTGTGTTTCATCTGTTTAATATATTGAATAAAACAATACATTTTTATTTCCCCCCACGTTCCGGTTCTTGCTCATATATTAACTCTGAGTTGTTTTTCCTCCTCCTCCTCCTCCATTTCCCGTCTCATCTCCCCTCCCATTGTGGATTTTGTTCCCTGTTGTGTGTTTCGGTGCCTGTTCCCGTCTTCCCTGCGTGCTCTTCACATTTCATTGTTGTGTTGACTGCACCACACCATGACAGATTGGAGAGGTAAGAATCCCTCCTCTTCATCACATTGCAATCCTTCTCCCCTCTGACTTACCAGAAATGATGGTGTCTTCATTGGCTAGCAATTTCACTCCCCTTCTTTGCAAAGTGGTTTTTTGCATGTATCTATTGTCGTCTGGAAGTACTGTTGGGTTTTTGAACCACAACCACAAAACACCCTCCCTTATTTTGTAAAGCTTAAAAACCTCCCAGGTGCAACAGTATTTAAATTCCTTGGTGTGAATTCTTTTCAAAGTACATCAAAAAGTTAAACGGTTGGCTCAATTAGGAGTGGACTCCCCCCTCTTTGGAAGTCTTTTTGCAGACTTTGATCCAGGCAGAAAAGCCAGTGGGGTAGGAAAGCATTAAGCTTCAGAAGGGGTGGCAACTGACAAAGGTTTGCTCTTGGCCTTATGCCTTTCAGCTGCTGTTCGGTTGAAGCAGAATCCCTGTAGCTCTGTAGTTGGACCTCCCTCCCTCCCTCTCCCTATAAGTGTGTTCTCAGGAGGAGCACCCCCGCAACATGCCCATCGCTGCAAATTCATCTAAGCTAATTATGGATTGCTCTTTGAGGAGCTGTTTTTGAAGAGGGAATGATGCAGCTAATGGACAGGATCCAAAGGACTGTGTGATTCATTCCTGGTTCTCAGACAGCAGCTTCTCAGCCATGCCCCATGACTAGCTGCTTTTGCAACCGTGGGGAATGTCAAAAACAGTTTGTGACATGGAATGAGGAGGTTGTGCTGGTTGGAGCTAGTAGGAGTTGCACTAGAGGGCACCAGGTTGGGGAGGTTGTTCTATGTATGCACACTGGTATTTCATGCATCTGATTATGGTGACTCTTAGCACTTCTTTGAAGGGTTCAGAGCATTTTGCATACATTATCTCTAAATTACAACAGCCTTGTGAGGCAGGCCAGTTTTATGCCCATGTTGCTGGATGGAGAGGGGGCGCAGCTTGAGGGTATAGTGGCTTATCTCGGGAGCACCTGCTGAGTCTGAGATGGCATTTACTTTGGGAATCACTTGGCTTCCACTCATCACCACTTCAGTCAACATGAATGGAGAAGGCTCTTGAAGCTGTGCAGGATTGTGCCAGTTGGATTGTGATGTCAGAGGATTGCCCATCTTTTTGCTCAGAGTGGATTTGGTTTCTGTAAAAACAACTTCAGTTAGGGCTGAGTAAGGTGACTCAAATCTTAAGATCCCTGTGCATGTCATTTTTGGGAGTGGGTGGTATTCCAGTATCCAGACAGATTCCTTCCAGGGGAAGCCTTTATTCTGAAAGCTTTCTGGATTATGAAACCAAACCAGGAATCCATCTGCCGTCAAAAATCACACCCACACAAATAAAGTTTAAAATTGCCTTATGGACCAAACTCTTAAACCTATATAGATGTTGCTTTTGTTCAGTGAGGGGCATGACAGCAACCTTTTGTGGTGGGAGGGGAAACAGGAAGCCACCTCTGGGATGAAATTGACATGCATTTATTTACCTATTCAGTCAATTTCTGTACATCCCTTTATCTGCAGATCACAGGGTGGGTTACGGGCAAGTCTATCAAAACCATAACATTCAGTAAAAAAATTAAAAAATAATAACAGCAACACAGCAGATAAACTATGCATCTAACCATACATAAGAGTGTTGGGCTAGAAGCCTGTGCTGATTGCAACAGGCGCTGCTTCTGCTGCTCCTTTTTGAAGGGCCTGTAGATTCCTGTGGGCTGTTCAGTGCAGCCTCTCAGTCGTGCCCTTGCTAAGCCTCCTCCTTCTTCCTGCTCAGTTCCATGACAAGATTGAGCCCATGCTGGAGACTCTGGAGTCCCTCTCCTCCCGCCTGCGAATGCCTCCACTGATCCCAGCTGAGGTTGAGAAGATCCGAGAGTGCATTGGCGACAACAAAAATGCCACCATGGAGCTGGAGAAGCTGCAGCCGTCCTTTGAGGCCCTGAAACGCCGTGGGGAGGAGCTGATTGGACGGTCGCAAGGTGCAGACAAGGACCTGGCAGCCAAAGGTCAGGGGGATTGGAACTGTCACATGTTCCCTCCTTTCGGTTTTTTGTCATGCAAATTCTTATATTCCACCCCAACGGAAAGAGATTCTCATTATTTTGGTTTGTGATGTTTCCTCCATTTCAGAAATCCAGGATAAATTAGACCAAATGGTGTTTTTCTGGGAGGACATCAAAGCCCGGGCCGAGGAACGTGAAATTAAATTCCTGGATGTCTTGGAACTGGCAGAGAAATTTTGGTATGACATGGCTGCCCTCCTGACCACCATCCGAGACACACAGGACATTGTCCATGACTTGGAGAGTCCGGGGATTGACCCATCCATCATCAAACAGCAGGTTGAAGCAGCAGAGGTAAGGATGGCAAAGGCAAACATTTCTGCGGTAGGCAAACGGAATGGCCTGCTGCGCAAGGCATGGAATAATACGCTCACCTATAATAAATAGAAAACCTCCCAAGGTGAAAATGATTCAAATAATCCTATTTAAAAGCAGAACAGATTTCTGTTCTTCGGTCTTTAAAATCTCTGCATTTAGCAGCTTTGGCAACTGCCTTGCATATTGTTATAGCAAGGTATGTGTGCTGCTGCCTGAGCTTCCTGCCTTTTTTCTTTAGAAATTTAATCTCTGATTAGAAGTGCAATTTAATAAACAAGAAGGCTTATAAATGTGTGCTGTGAGTCACTCTGGCAACCCAGATGCCATTTTGGAGCAGTGCTTGCTAATAAAACATCAACCACTGTGGTGACCTTAATCCTGCAGACAATCAAGGAGGAAACGGACAGTTTGCATGAAGAACTGGAGTTCATCCGGATTCTTGGGACTGACCTGATCTTTGCCTGCGGTGAGACAGAAAAACCAGAAGTGAAGAAAAGCATAGATGAGGTGGGTAGATTGTGGCCCCTGGGCCTCTCTCTCTGACCATTGGACCTCTCCCTAAGTCACACACCCTTCCTCAGTCACACATCCTCTCGCCAGCCTGGTGTCACACTCTCCTTGAGTGCTACTGCCTTGCTAGAGGCATGTCCTTGAACCCTGATCATGCCTCTCGTTTGCCTGGATGGAGAATAGAGAGGGTTGTGGGAGTGTGTGTAGAAACCAGCCTATGGCACAGAGGACTGCTGAAACTTCCTCAGTCTGATGAAGAGACATGTCTGCAGTAGAACTTTGCTGCTGCTCTCATTTCGTTGTCAGATTGGGAGGCCAGGAAGGCAGGGATCCTGCAAAGTGAATCGGGGGCATCAGTACACCACCCATACTTAGCAAGTGTGTTCTCCAGCTTAGCTTACCTGTGCTGCAAATGGGATATCGGAGCAGGCAGGGGACAGGTAGCCCAGGGCACTCCCCCCCCCAAAAAAAGGTTCCTTTACAGATTCCTGAAAAGCAGGCAATAGTCTGGGCTGCCACTTGGCAGGCATGAGAGTCAGTTGAATAAAGAAAGGCACATGCGATGATCTCCAGGGCTGACCAGGACTTGGTGCCTGCGGCTCCCCTGTCTGAATCCAACCCTGCGCACTGTGCTGCCTAACTGGCTCCCACACTGGCAAGACGCCCAGCCCCCAATGACCTCTCCTTGCTTTTGCAGATGAACGGTGCCTGGGAGAACCTGAACAAAACCTGGAAGGAGCGGCTGGAGCGGCTGGAGGAGGCCATGCAGTCGGCAGTGCAGTACCAGGACACGTTGCAGGTGACAACGGGTGGAGGGGGAGGTGATGCGCAGGGGTAGGGAAAGCGCAGAGGCAAGGGAGATGCTTTACCAGACCATTGGTCCATCCACACTGACTCTCTAGGATTTCAAGCAGGAAGGCCCCCCAACCCTACCTGGAGATGCCGCCAGGGATTGAACCAGGGACCTTCTGCATGAAAAGCAGCTGCTCTGCCACTGAGCCATGGTGCTTCCTAAGGAAAGCAGGGATCATTTCTAGCTACTGCCTGAAACGGATTCCGGCTCTTAATTCTGAGCATCTTTCATTGTAGTGCCAGGCTTAATGCATAAACATCACAGAGTAGTCGGAGGAACACCAGATTCTTGGAGGGTGGGAGGGCCAGTGTCATTTTAGTTTATTAATTAAGGTTCTTATACACCAGCCTTTGCACACCTGGTGCCCTCCAGCTCCCATTGGCACTGGTTGAGAGCTAATGGGAGTTATAGTTCAAAACATCTAGAGGGCACCAGGTTGGCGAAGACATCAGTAAAACAATAGGAACATAACTGCTGTTGAAACCAGTTATGAATTATTAGTTAAAAATGACAGCATCTCAGAATAGCACTTAGACCTTGGGCAGAATAGCTAAATTCTTCCAAAGGCCAGAGAGAGAGCAGCTATGTTTCAACCTGGTGGTGGAATCCCAGCAAAGTTGTAGCAATCTGCACACCTGAAGTGAGAGAGTTTCACAATCGGGCACCACTACAGAAAAGACCTTGCTTCATGTCATTTAGGCCTGATTCTAATATAATAATTGTAAATGGAGCCTCTGTGTATAAGGGCAGTCTACCTTAGGGTGGCTGACACTGGGGAGAAGCAGCAGGGGATGATCCAAACCTTGCCTGTCAGCATTCCACTGTTAGGAACAGGATACCAGGCTGGACATGGATCTTTGGTCTGACCCGGCAGGGTTGTTTTGTATTAAGGGCCAGGCATCTCAGAGGAGTAGTTGAGCCTGTGAGAAAGAGGAGAGGCTGAGGGAAAGGGTTATGAACTGGGTGCTGACTCTTTTCATGGAGGCCAGAACGCTGTGCCACTGGGTGGTAGCTGGCTGGGTCTCCCTTCATTTGTGGGCCTGCTCCCTTTTCAGGCCATGTTTGACTGGCTGGACAACACAGTGATCAAACTCTGCAACATGCCCCCTGTGGGGACGGATCTCAACACCGTCAAAGAGCAGCTGAACGAGATGAAGGTGCGTGTGTTTGTGCACTGTGGTATTTTCAAATGGTGGGCGGTTTATAAATTCTTTAAATAAATCATCAGGCCCAGTCCTGAGCGTGAAACTCCCTGCTTTCTCCTTCTTGACAGGAATTTAAAATGGAAGTTTACCAGCAGCAGATCGAGATGGAGAAACTGAATCACCAGGGAGGGCTCATGCTCAAAAAAGCCATGGATGAGACAGACCGAGACATCATCCGGGAGCCTCTGACGGAGCTGAAGCATCTGTGGGAGAACCTGAATGAGAAAATAGCCCATCGGCAGGTATGGTGGGTGAACTGCCAGGGCCTGAGGTGTGGGTAAAGCCTTTAAAGCCCTCGCTCCATCTGAAGATGGCATAGGTTCAATTAAAGGGGCTGGCTATCACCTTTTGAAGCCCCAAAGGGTCTCAGACCAGGTTACCTTGAGGGCTGCCACTGCTGCTTCCTCCTTGGGCCTGGCCAGGCCCTCCACTGCGTGTCCCATTGCTAACTGGAGTGCTAGAGATTTGTGCAGCTTCTGTGCTGATGGTCTTTTGTCATCTAGTAAACACTTTTTTTCCCTGCTTAAGCTGATGTTTTGCTTGCCTTCTGTCTTCCTGTTTTATTTTTACTTGTTGTTGGGTCCTGTTATTTATTTGCCTGTTTTTGGTATACTTTGCACTATTTTTAAAGTACTGCAACTTTTAAGTGCTCCTCCTTGGTGCATAGAAAAATGGGATTTTAAAAATCCTATAAAACAAATATACACACACCTAACCTTGTTTTCTTAAAAGAAATTCCTCTTCTCACCTTGTCTATAAACAGCACAAGCTAGAAGGTGCCCTCTTGGCCCTTGGCCAGTTCCAACATGCACTGGCTGAGCTGATGGCCTGGCTGACCCACACCGAAGAGCTGCTGGATGCCCAGAGGCCCATCAATGGCGACCCAAAAGTCATTGAGGTGGAATTAGCTAAGCACCATGTAAGTACAGGGGAAGGGGTTTTACATTGTGAACCACCCTGAAAACTATGGATGAAGGACGATATACAATTTTTGTAGTAGTAGTAGTAATACTTGCAGATTGCTTTTTGCAAAGAGTTCCCTGTTTCTGTCCTTCAGTGAGAGGAGTCCAGCTTGGCAGCAGAATGTGTCTGTTCTCAGCTTAAGGTCCTGGCCCATCTCTAGTGACTGGGCTCACAAAATTTCCTTGAGACCTTAGAGAGCTGCTGCTAACTGCAGTGTGTGGCTGCATGGGCCAAAGATCTGGTTAAGTCAGCTCCTTTCTGTCCTTTTGCCATTGGGCCACTGCAGAGCTTTTGAATGACAAAAGTGCCCCCTCCTCCATATCCTGCCCCAGGAATCTTCATCTTTCTGGGCTGTCACTGCAGCTGTGTCATTATAGCTGAATCGGAGGCTTGCTTTGAGGAAAGGACTGGGAATATTATGAGAGCAGCATCAATGGATGACACTGGAAGCTGCCTTAAGTGAGGTAGACCCTTGGTGTCCTGGCTCCCACTTACGGACACAATGCTGGCTCTCAGAGCAGTTATTCCAAAAGCTTTCTTCCAGAATTCACTGCAGGGCACAGACATGAGATGAGTGTAGATAGGTGCTTACAAGGGGTTGTGGAGTTCATGGCTAGGCATAAGTGAAGATGTTGTCCCAACATGTGACATATCCCCCTGGCGTCCCTTTCTGAAGAACTGGCTGGGCACAGTCATTCGTGTGGGTCCTTTCCCAAGCCACAGGGCCGGGCAAGCAAACAAGCACTTCTATGAGAAAGCTGGGTCAGCTCATGTTGGCACAAGTCATGCCCTTGGGCATGGGGTGGGTGGATGCTGTCTGTTCACAGTCTGACCTGAGCTGGCACTTCCCTGGGGAAGGGAGTGCATCACTGGCAAGAGGCGGAGTCACTCCCCTGACGCTTGGAATGCCTGATGATTCTGAGATGGGTCTTTCTCCCAACAACCCACTTTCTGGCCCACTGAGCCACTCCCCAGAATCAGGGTCCACACTGCCATCCCATGGCAACCAGCTCTGCCAAGATGTCTCCATGGGGCTCATGACAATTGGTTTATCTCACTCAGCATTGTCTACCCTGACTGACAGCAGTTCCCGAGGATGTCAGAAAGAGTCTTTGCCAGCCCTACCTGGAGATACCAGAGATCCAGCCTGGCACTGTGTGCATGCAAAGCAGGTGCCCTGCCACTGAACCACAGCCTTTCCTCTAGCTGGGGTGTTTGCTTGGGCTTGCCAGGCCACATTTGGTCAGTTATTACCAGTAACTTACTGCTGATGCTGAGAGTGTTTTGTGAGAATATCCAGGAAGCCTCATCTCATGGGCTTTGCTTCCTGAGTTTGTACACCGAAACCAAAATGCAGGAGACTCCAGCCATGCTGATTGACAGGGGCTGAACTTGGGTCCACCATCCTTTGCTAGTGCCACAGAGGCTTGCAAGGGCCCTAAAGTATTTCCTCTTCTCCATCTGCAACACCACACTAGGTGCTGAAGAATGATGTGCTGGCCCATCAGTCCACAGTGGAGACAGTGAACAAGGCTGGCAATGAGCTCTTGGAATCCAGCGCAGGGGATGATGCCAGCAGTCTCCGGAACCGCCTGGAGACAATGAATTCATGCTGGGAGTCGGTGCTGCAGAAGACAGAGGAGCGAGAGCAGCAGCTGCAGATGACCCTTCAGCAGGTCAGCTGGGAAGAGAGTCTGGCCTCCCTAGTTAGGCGGGCAGTGGGTGCTCTTCAGAGCCCTCTCGTTCCTTGCATTCCTCGCCCAACATTTCAAAGGAGCCACATTCAGGCATGCACCTGAACACACATACGGTTGAGATGGGAGTGGGGAAGGTGGGGGCACGTCTCGCAATGAGCACCAAGGTCTGTAGGGTTTCTTGGACTGTGTGTCTCCCTACAAAAAGGAAGGCTTCCAATTGCAGGGGGTTTCTAAGCAAGTTAATTACCAATTCTTTAAAAAACAAACCACTTCAGACCTTATCACAAATTGAAGTTCTCCCTATAAGAATAACTGAATCTTCAGTGCATAAGTTGGCATTATGTTTTTATATTATTTTGTTTTTTGTAAACCATTCTAACTATTTGGGGGGGGGATGAAGGATGGGATATAACTCTCTTGTTAAATATACAAGTGAAAGGAGTTGTGAAGAGCAGCTGGTGCCCTTGGGGGGAGGGGATTGGGGGGGGCCTGTGTGTGCTGCCCCTCCTCCTGGTTATTTATTTATCCCTTTGTGTGTTCAGGTGATTGCCCACCAAGACTTGCTCTGTGGCTGGACTTGTTTGGGTGTACAGATGAGTCTTTCTCAGCTGCTTCCTCACTTTGGAGATGATTCGTTCTTTGAGCCAGAGTCTTTTTGGGAAAGCTTTTCTTACTTCTGGGAGCTAGGCTAGAAGAGGATGGCTAGAAATAGGCTGGGATTTGAACCTAAGCTTATGCTTGGCACTTTGGTTTTGTTTTTTTAATGTCACTACCTCAAAATGTATTTCTGTACTTTTGGTTTTTTAAATCCTGGTATCTCCTGCTGAGGTTTCCGAAACCATCAGAGTGAATTGCTTGTGCCCTTCAGTCTAGCATGTGCTTTGTGTTCCCTTGCAGGCTCAAGGTTTCCATGGTGAAATTGAAGATTTCCTCCTCTGGCTCACGAGGATGGAGAACCAGCTGTCTGCCTCCAAACCGACAGGTGGGCTGCCGGAGACTGCTCGAGAGCAACTGAATGCCCACATGGTGAGTTGTGATGGCCGAACTGATGCCTGGAATGAATGGCCCCTTAATATGGGAGGGAAGGATAATGTGCATCACAGGTGAGACGTGAAATACCTAAAAGGGAAAGCACCAGAGAAAAAGGAATAGGGGAAGGCCTGGTTAGCTACATTCCAGCTTACAGTGCACAGCTGTATCTACCTAAGGTACTCGTGGATATTCCATGTTATTGCAGTCACTCAGCTATCAGCTGGCATCAGCAACCCTGGACCACCACAAATATGAAGTTTTTACACGTAAGGATGTCACAGAGAAAAATGTGTGCACAGTCAGGTGTAAAGATTATTCACCAGTGGGAACCTTCCCCCTAAGTTTCGAAGCCACAAGCGGGAAGGGTGATTTTTGTCCAGATCATGACTGGGTGGGGTAGACCCCCTTCCCAGGGATTGTGGTCTTGATCAGATTAGGGATCTCCCATCCCTGTAATTAGATAATGAAAACCTGTAGGCGTAGCTGCACACCACATGCTTAGAGTAACATGAAGCGTTGGCCCTGAGAAGCTGGAATTGGCAGGCAACCCCCAGAGCCAAGTGCACCTGGCTAACAGCAGAAGCAATCTTCACACACAACTGTCTACTAGGTCTTGCCTATGCCACGTGAACCCCCATGTCAGGAAAATTTGTCCTGCAAAGCATCCCTTGTTTACGATGCCTGTGTGTTGTGCAGGAGCTCTATGCCCAGTTCAAAGCCAACGAGGAGGTCTACAGCCAGCTCCTGGCTAAAGGGAGGCTGATGCTCCTGAGCCGCGATGATTCTGGGTCTGGATCAAAGACAGAGCAAAGTGTGGCTCTCTTGGAGCAGAAGTGGGGCCTCGTCAGTATGAAGATGGAGGAGAGAAAGGTAATGTGCTAGGAGGGGGGGTGGTGTACCCATCACCAAATCACTGTACTCACATTTGCATGGTGCAGAGCAGGGAACTCTTGTGTGAGTGCCACACATTCCCTAGCTTGTGCAGGAAAGCGAGGCTCTGCACATGTGGAGCTTCATACAGAGGAACTCTTGGGACTTGAGGTGGTATTAAAGAGGTGTGTGTTTGAAAAGGGAGTGGAGAGAGAACCTTGCTTTGGTTTTAATCCAGCTGTTTCACAATTCCATTATTGGTAAGTTGTGATGGTCCAATAGAGCAGGGGAAGCTAATGTGGTGCCTTCCGGCTGTTCTCGGGCTCCCAGCCCCCATGAGCCCCAGCCAGTATGGTCAATAGTCAAGGATGATGGACACTGTGGTGCAGCAGTACCCAGAGGGCACCACATTGGCTGCCCCCCCCCCCAGTAGGTGGTCTCTTCTTGTTCTGATGCTTTTTGTTGGAAGAGAACCTGGCTCCAGAATGGCTTGGATGAAGGGGAAGAGTTATCAGCATTTGAAATGTGACCTGTTAATATGCAAGTCACGTTCATCGGTTGGACTGAGAAGGTCCAGCCTAGAAGGAGTCTCTCATTTATTACACAATTGTGGTCTTTGTCTCAGAAGCCAGCATTTGTGAACTTTGGCTGGTGCTCCTTTCTTTCTGCCTTTTGTGCTCATTCTGCTTTTTCTCCCCCTTCTTTTAAAACTCAGTCCAAGTTGGAAGAGGCCCTCAGCTTGGCAACCGAGTTCCAAAATTCCCTGCAAGATTTCATCAACTGGCTCACCCTTGCAGAGCAGAGCTTGAATGTTGCTCCTCCACCCAGCCTCATGTTCAACACAGTGCTCTCACAGATAGAAGATCACAAGGTAATGATGCCCACCTGGGTGTGCATGTGTGCATTCAGGGAGGGTGGGGGGAGCTATCTGACTTGAATAGTGAAGCTGCCAAAAGGTAGAGAAAAACTTAATTATTTAAAATAGCTGTGGAGTATTGAGAGAACTCAATTAAGGTTCTATAATTGTATCATATTCACAAGTGCTCGAAACTTGAGAAATAAAATAAGAGCTAGATAGTATCTTCTATCCCCAGCAAGAATAGACAATAAGCACTTCCACAAGAACAACAATAAACAATGCCTAGGTATAGCAGCCAAATAAGAAAAGACTTTAAAATTAAACCAGGGAAATATTCCATCATAGGTGTTTTCAAATAACCAAGTTTTTGAAACTGCAAGATAGATAGATATTAACATATAATAAAGAGGAAAGGCTATCACCATGCTGCAGTTTGCTTGGCTGCCAGTAGGTGGCACTGCTAGCCATTGGTGGTTGAGAAGAAGGGAAGCAGAAGAGGGAAGGTCTATGGTCCAGCTAAGTCGTGGAGGAACTGTCAGGACAGGTTGGGGTAGCTCCCCCAAAACTCCTGCTCTTTTGCTGCGGCTTGCCTAACACCATTGATGCCATTTCAGCACCAACAGAGGAAAGAGAGAAACACAGGCAGGTGGGCACCCCAGGAGAGCTGCCTAGAAATGGTCAAGGCAGGGCAGCTCCCCAGCAACCATCCCACTCAGCTGCCACCCACCACTGCTCTCTTCTTCGTCTCTTCCACTGAGGTTGCAACAGCAACTTTGGTGTGAGGCAGGCAGTAAGAATAGGAGGGTTGGGAGAATGTCTAAAGCAAGGAGGCATTGGCAAGTGGAGGTGAGTGAAGTGAGCAGTAGCACAGCCGTAGCACAGTAGCACAACCACCAATCATAAAGTATGAAGCATTAACAAATTAATACTCTGTGATATTAAAAATGTGACTTAAAATCAGTTAATAAAAAATATTCTACTAACTTTTACGCAGAGTACACCTATCGAAACTAGTGGGCCTAAGTTAGTCAAGGCCATTAATTTCAATGGGGTCTAGTTTGAGTAAAAGTTAGTTGACTACAACCCCAGCCTTCTACTAGTTCCCTAAAACAAGTGATGGGGCTTGTGAGATGGGTCAGATTATTCATTTGTTGCAGGTAGGGAACTGGAGGCTGTGTGTGTATGTGGCTCACTCATGGCTACCCAGTCAATCTGTGGCCATGGCAGGCCCCAGCCTAGTCTTGGGACTCCCTTGCCAGCCGTAGTGACTACAGTTGAGCTTTGTGCCATCTCACCTTGGAACAAAACCTCCATCCCAAATGGCCTTCCCTGCATTATGTGGTGCCTAAGAGACCCAGGAGAGCAGCCTTCATTTTTTCCTTGTCAGGTGTTTGCCAATGAAGTGAACGCCCACCGGGACCAGATAATTGGCCTAGACCAAAGTGGAAACCAGCTGAAGTTTCTCAGCCAGAAGCAGGATGTGGTCTTGATCAAGAACCTCCTGGTCAGTGTCCAGTCACGCTGGGAGAAGGTCGTCCAGCGGTCAGTGGAAAGAGGGCGGGCTCTGGACGATGCCAGGAAGCGGGCAAAGCAGGTGAGGAACAATCCTTTGTAGGCTAGAAGCCAGGGAGGCACAAAGGGCATCAGCTCAGAGCTACAAAATATTTCTGTTCCTCTTGGGCTCATTGAGGGCCAGTGGCGTATTAGGCACTGTTTGCAAAAGTATGAAATGTGGGTCAGGTGTTAGGGGGTGGGGGGGGTAGGTGAAAATTGGCAGTGAGTAGTGGAGCTCGAGAGGCATGTGAATTCTAATAATAAATTAAATGGAAAAAATTAATCTTCATAGTTCCATGAAGCTTGGAAGAAGCTGGTTGACTGGTTAGAAGATGCAGAAAATCTCCTGGATTCTGAGCTTGAAATTTCAAATGATCCCGACAAGATCAAACTGCAGCTCTCTAAGCACAAGGTTAGAATTGCATGTGGGACAGTTCCTTTGCTTCTTGTGAAATTATCTGTAGTCACTGGCCTCATTCTTAACCTATGTTTTGGGTGGGTTTACTTGGGAAAATCAGGAGTTCCAAAAAACCCTGGGTGGCAAGCAGCCTGTTTATGACACCACGATCCGGACAGGAAGGGCCCTGAAAGAAAAAGCTCAGTTCCCAGATGACAACCAGAGCCTGGACCATCTCCTTGGGGAAGTCCGTGACAAGTGGGACACTGTCTGTGGCAAATCGGTGGAAAGGTGAGTGCCTGAAAGGGCTTCCTAACAGGTAGCATCCTGTAGTAAGTTGAGGTGCCTGCAGGTCCTACAAGGGGGTGTTAGAAGCCAGCTTTAAGTCACCTATTTGGATAGGGTGTGAGGGGCATTTATCAGCATCAAGACCTATATTTGACCAGTTTGTATACTGACTGCACATCCAATCAGAGCAGTGCAGGGGCCTTAGCTAGGTTCCTGCTGGATTTGCTCTGGATGCATCTGGATTCTCCCAGGCCGTTGCTGGTAATCCACACTAGTCTGTTCTTAATCTGTTTGCTTTGGATTTTTCCCCTCTTTATTATTATCATTGTGTAGTTCTTGGTTTTATTGTAATTTTTACATTGTGCTGTACACTGCTTTATGATTTTTAAATGCAACGCCATGTAATTTGTTTTAATAAATAAAACACCTTAACACACCAATTTTTTAAAGGTGTGCCTAAGGTTCTGATTACGCCACATTTATTATGGTGCCCAAGGAGGTGGCCAGTTGAGGGGAAACACCCACTTACCCCTGCATTTTTTATTTTTACAGGCAGCACAAACTGGAAGAGGCCCTTCTGTTCTCTGGCCAGTTCATGGATGCATTGCAAGCCCTGGTTGACTGGCTGTACAAGGTGGAGCCCCAGCTGGCCGAAGACCTGCCTGTCCATGGGGACCTGGACCTGGTCATGAACTTAATGGATGCTCACAAGGTAACAGCTGCTGGGGGACAGAGCCATCCATTTGGAAGCCACTTCACGCTGTGTAAGCCTCAATGTGTTATGGACTAAGGCAGTGAACTGGAGTCCCTGTGAAAATGTACTTGAGTTTCTAAGTTTTACATCTCACCCTTCATCCCAAAGGGAGCCCAAGGCAGCTAACATAAAAGAGTACAAATATAATACAATAACACATGAAAATGTTTAAAACATCATTCGGAACGTAATTAAAAAATGGGATGGGGTGGACAGCCAGGAGAAAGAGAGTGCAACTATGCTCTGTTCCCCTTGATAGGTCTTCCAGAAGGAGCTTGGCAAGCGAACAGGCACTGTCACGGTTCTCAAGCGCTCAGGCCGGGAACTTATTGAAAACAGCCGTGATGACACAACGTGGGTGAAAGTGCAGCTGCAAGAGCTAAGTAACCGCTGGGACACCGTCTGCAAGATGTCTGTCCTGAAGCAAACTCGGTTAGAGGAGGCCCTGAAGCAGGTGAGAGACGGGAGCAGGGTGGCATCATCTGCAACTTTCACATCTCTTTGGTCCATACCAGCCCTGTGACTCTGTTGTATCTATTGCTCCACCCCTTTTGCCTCTGGCCCCGCCCACCACTGGTGTGTGTCCCCCTACCCCAGAAAGTTCCCTGTGGAGGAAAGTGGCCCTTAGGCTGAGAAGAGTTTCCCATCCCTGCTGTATGGCAACTCAAAAGGCCTTTGCTCCACGGGGAAGGGTTCACTGGTGCTGTTTCTCCTTTCTAGGCAGAAGAGTTTCGGACTGCTGTGCATCTTCTGCTGGAGTGGCTCTCTGAAGCTGAGCAGACCCTCCGCTTCCGGGGAGCTTTGCCCGACGACGCAGAAGCGCTGCAGTCACTCATCGATGTCCACAAGGTGGGTAGCTGTTCAGAAGAGGGAAAGGCGGGAGCCTGAGGGGATTGCCAGGCCGCCAGGCTGAGCTGTTGTACCTTTAACCTTTGCTGCAGGAGTTTATGAAGAAAGTCGAAGAGAAAAGGCTGGATGTGAACTCCGCTGTGGGGATGGGGGAGGTCATCTTGGCCGTTTGCCACCCAGACTGCATCACTACCATCAAGCACTGGATCACCATCATCCGAGCTCGGTTTGAAGAAGTGAGTCACAGAGGCCTTTGCTCTGCCTCTCAGCAGCTGCAGCCAGCAGGAATGGAGCTGAGAGACTTAATAATTCTATGACTGTATAAGAATAATAATGCATTTTGAATCCCCTTCCCACCTTGCTTCAGCTGCTGTGACATCATAGAAGGTTCATGACAGTGCTGGCTACTGAGATGAGAGGAGCCAGCTGCAGAATGTAGAAATTTACTGCAGTTCTTAAAATGCTTAGGTAGAAGTGCTTTTGTTTTGATTTTATTTTTGGAACAAGCAAGAGCTTTTTATTTATTTAAATGGAAAAAAATTACTCCACTTTTTGAATGAACCTTTTTGGAGTAGCTTGTGAATAAACATAATATAATCACGTAAGAACACACAGCATACCCTTAATATTTTTTCTGTATACTCCCTCCATCTTCAGCTTAAAACATTTTAAGTCTTCTCCCTTAATCTAGATTCTAGCCTATTTTATCATTGGCACCATTAGTACTAGTTCGCTCTTGGTGCCCTAAGTTTGTAGTGTTAGTAGGTTGTAGAGCTTGCAGGATAAAACACAAGATCCAGGTGAGCTAGAGGAGGGGAATGCAAAAGTGAAGAAGATGCTTAGGCAAGGGAAGGGGCATGTGAGTAACCCGGAAAGACATACCACTCCATTCCGCTGCCTTCTCTCCCTGCAGAGATACCTCTCATTTGCTGCCAACTACCCTTTCTGCTTTTCTCCTCTGCCAGGTTCTCACATGGGCAAAGCAACACCAGCAGCGGCTTGAAGCAGCCCTCTCGGAGCTGGTGGCCAATGCAGAGCTGCTGGAGGAGCTGCTGGCATGGATTCAGTGGGCTGAGACAACGCTGATTCAGAGGGACCAAGAGCCAATGCCACAGAACATTGACCAGGTCAAAGCCCTCATTGCAGAGCACCAGGTAACCCTGCCCTGGTTGGCTCCCTCTTTGCCACCTTCCAGAAAAGAGCATGCTGTGTGTTTGAGAAAGTTGTTCACGGTGGCTTTAAAGTGAAACAAAGCGCCTGACTTCATTCTTCCTAGCTGTGTGTGAGCTTGCACTGCTTTGGTTTTGCAATGGAGTAGGACTCCATGTGCCTGTAAGCTTAGATCAGAATGGAGGGTCATTGTCATCCCCTTCAGCTCCTACTGCTTAGAGGCACTCTGGCTGGTGCTCCCACCCCCAATTCTGGCTCACCCTCTTTTCTTTTGACACTTAGTGGGCTATATATATATCTAGCACAGGCTTTCTGAACCTGATGCCCAGCCCTTCAGACTACAGCTCCCATCAGCCCCAGCCTTGGCGCAGAGGAGCTTTCCCTAACCTGCTGCTGCAGATGTTTTGGACTCCCAGCAGCTGTGCTGGTTGAGGCTGATGAGAGTTGCAGTTCAAAACGGCCACGTTGGCTGGGGTTGATGGGAGTTGCAGTCCAAAACAGCTGGAGGGAAGACTGATTTAGCAGTGCCATGCAAGAAAAAACAATGTGGCATTAGATGCAAGATTTGGGTTCCTGAGAATTTGATGCTTAATTTTGAGAGTGAAGTACTAAGTTCCTAACCCCTATGGTGGCAAAGATATCTTGAAGGTACACGGGCAACGGCTGGTGAAATGTTACTATCTAAAGAGGAGACTGAATAAGAACAAGAGCCAGGGACTCACCATTCGGTGAATGGCGGAGTTCCTCCGATCGGAGGAACGGGCTCCATGGAAACTGGGTCTTCCCGCCGCGGCGAAGGTGGGGACCTGCTAGAAATCCCAGGCGGAGGAAGCCTGGGAACGCGGGGTTCGGCAGGGCACCAGGAGCGCCCCCCCTACTCACCGGGAACCCCATTTTGGGGCGCCGGAGCGAAGTGGGGTGAGCGGCGCGGTGCTGCGAACTGATTGCTATTTTCACGGAGTGAAGCCGCACAGCCATTGCCGGAGAGCGCTGACTTTTTCCTGTGGACAATTGGATTCAAAACAAGTACCCGTGAGTAGAAACGGAAAATTGGATCAAGAAATATCTTAATTTGGCATCAAAGCGGGAAGGTTCAAAACAGGAAGTCCGCCTTCCGCTTTCTGTATATAGACTAAAGCAAAAACTTTGTAAGCTAAAGCCTGGAAAGCCGTTAAAAAAGTCTAAATTTCCTTCATCTACAATTACTGAAACCCCCTTGGAAGTAGGAGAAAAGGGGGGAGAACTTTGTTTAACCCCTGCAGGAGAGGGAGTGAAGAAGGATAAGTTTCCACCGTCTCTAACCTGGGAACGGGGTGTCAGAGACAGAAATAGTTGGAGAGGTTCATTGACTGTGAATGGAATACTTTGACAGATAGCTAAAGAAGAGAAATAAACTGATTCCAATGTTGCCTTTTGCATTCTAAAGAAACAAAATATCTGAAAAATATCTGAAAAATGAAAGTAATTTTCCTTTGTTGGACTTGCCTTAAAAAAATGGATACAAATAGAAATTGTCTCCCCTAGAGGGAGCTTGTTAAATTGTTGCTGCAGTCTACTTGAGGACTCAACAGCTGTGAGATTAAGATCGTGGGACCAGTCTTTTCTGACCTTGACTAAAGATGAGCTGGGAGGAAGATTGGGTGCTTGCTTTATGCAAGACAAGTGCCTTGCTGGAACAGATGCACGAGAAGATGGATTTGATGAATGAGAAAATGGACTTGATGACTGTTGTGGTTAACAACTGTGGACAAACAGGGAACATTGATACAGAAACCATTCAGGGACCAACTCATGAACCTGTACTGACTGGGCAAGTGCAGAAGATAATGGAGGAGGATGCGGTTGCACCTCAAATAATACAAAGGGAGAAACCCGAGGCCCTACAGGAGCATAAGCCGCTGTCATTGAAGATTGAAGTTGGAGTGGGCCAGGGGGAGTCTGGAGCTGAGGAGGTTCCCAACTTTGGAGAGACCTTGAAATATGTTTTTAAATACTTTTTGGATTACATTGATGACTGTGGGGAGTGGGACTGTGGGGAATGGGCGGGTTTGATGAAGGGAGATGGAGACAATTTTGGGTTGGAACCCCCCAGAGACCTACTCCTCAATGAGAAAGGAAAGAAATTAAGAAAGAGACCAACAAATGACAAGGAAAAGGGCAAGTATAAACAAGAAGAAGAAGATCTGCAGAAGGGACATGGAAGAGACTTAAGGGCCTCGGACATAAGACTTCCAGGTTGATGGACTAGATGGAATGGACAGTAAGGACTGACACGACCCGAGACCAGGAAGAAGAGACGTTGGATGAAGATTGGAAGAAAATTTATAAAGAAAATTTTTTATTTGGGGAATTAGCTTAAAATCAATGAATATTAGGGAAAATGTTGGAATGAAACTATATGACTCTAGCAGAAATGATATCAGGAGTTATGTATATTTGAGTATTAAGATTCAAGCTTTAAGGTATTTTATGGTAAGATAAGGTTAAATAAATCAAGGTAATTTGAATAACAGAATATGGGGAAAGATGGAAAGGATTTGTTGAGCTAATTATTAGGTTAAATTGTTAAGATAAATTATTTAACAAAAATTGAGAAAGATGGAAATAATTTGCTGAAATAACTAATTAAACTAGAATACAAAAAGGGAGGTGTGAGGAGGTCAATGAAACAAGCAAATGGAAGTTAAAGATATGTAATTTGGGATTTGTGTCTTTTTTTTCTTCCTTTTTTATTTTTTTTGTTGTATTGCTGTATTGGTTTTTATGTTTTGCGTTTTTTTCTTTTTTATGTATTGTAGTGGTTTTTTTCTTGTTTTTTTTCCTATTATTCTGAAACTATTGATAAATATTATTTAAAAAATAAAAAGAATAAGAACAAGAGCCAATCTGGTGTAGTGGTTAGAGTGTTTGGGCTAGGGGCTGGGAGACGATGGTTCAAATCCCCACTCGGGTAGCCTAACCTACCTCACAGGGTTGTTGTAGGGTTAAATAGGAAATAATATAAATGTGATAAATATTTATGTATCATGTATGGCCTTTCATCTGTAGATCTCAGGGCAATTCACAACATAAAGATACAATAAAATAGAAAATACAATATAAAAAACACAAACTGCATAACAAAAATAAGAGCAAAAACAAACCAATAATCCCCCCTCCCGCAACACATTTAAAAGGGTATCAGGTGTTAATCAGTCAAAGGTGCTTTGAGTTGTTTGGGGATAGGACTGCTTACATTAGCAAAAGGACAACATTTAGTTGCATAGTAACAAAATGCTGCACTCTTCTTCTACCTCTAATCATCCTTCCTACTGCTTTTTCCAGTCCTTTATGGAAGTAATGACCCGAAAGCAGCCAGATGTGGATCGCGTCACAAAAACATACAAGAGGAAAGCCACGGAGCCGGCTCATGGACCTTTCATTGAGAAATCCCGAAGCAATAGTATGTTGGCAACCCTTTGGGCAAATTTTAAATATTTGGGGCCTAATTCATTTAGGGCTTTAAACACTAATAAAAAGCATCTTGAACTGGGCCTTGATCAAGAAATAAGTACTGTATATGTGCTCAGGAACACTCCCATCATCATCGGCATTATGATTATTACTTTTATTATGATAATTACTGATGCTACTACTACGTATTCCATGGCTGAGACCAGTCTTTAAAACAAAAGTCTGGGCTGTAGCTCTGATGTGCCTTGGCTCAGATGCAAGCTTGGGGTGACTTTCTGCACCTCCTTGGACCAGGATGGGCAGCCTTTGGCCTAGTTTCATAAGCCCTTGGCAAGCAATCATTTCAGGCCTCAGGAGTCTGTACCAGCAGCCTGCTGGGCAGGGTAGGAAGAGAGGAGAAGAGGCGTGAGAGAGCAGCGGGGGGGGGTAGAGAGAAAGAGAGGTGGCTCCGCCTACCGCTGGCTTTAGCCCTGCCCACAGTCAGCATGTGGCCCCCAAGGAAACACAGCCCTTGTCAGGAAACCTGCTACCTGTCCCTGTCTTCAAACACCCCATGCAGACTGCAGGGTTCCTGTGAGTTGATATGATCTTAGTGAAGTTTCCAGTTTCATCTGCAGAAGGAAAGCTCAGCATTTAGCTCCTGCCTTTCTTCCTGTGCCCCTTCCCCATAATTTTTTCATTACGCCCCTTCGCTTTGCTCAATTTCTGCTATGTTTCCTCCCTGTCCCTGTCTTTTTTTCCTCTCAGGAAAATCCCTGAACCAGACAGCCCCACCCCCAATGCCAATTCTCTCCCAGTCGGAAGCAAAGAACCCGCGCATCAACCAGCTTTCGGCCCGCTGGCAGCAGGTGTGGTTGCTGGCACTTGAGCGGCAACGCAAGCTCAACGATGCCCTGGATCGGCTGGAAGAGGTAACCACTTTCCCTTTTTCATGTGCCCAGGAAGCTTGTATATAGCCTTTCCATCTCCCTTGGGGGAAGGAGGTAGTGCAGTGAGGCTGGAGCAGGGGAAGGCAAACTGCCTTCTCATTTCCTTTCCCAAACTGGCCCTGCTTTAAGGCTGCTTTTCAGGGTCTGCAAGTCTTCACCACATTTCCTGTTTCCCTCTTGGTGCTGTGGGGTGTGCTTGTTGGGGTGAGCAAGCCTAGGCAGGGGCCTCACCTATCCCTGCCCCCTAAAAAAGAGAGCAATATCTTAGTAGTCTAGCAACTAAGCCACTTCATGATTGTTTTGCCTTGTGTAAGCTAGAAAAATTACTGGTTTTTAATTTATTCTATGCCACTATAATAATAATTACGATTTCTGTGCCTCTCTATTCATATATGAGTTCACAGTCATTTACAATTTGACAATACCAGCTAGATAATTAGCGAAGGTAAAACCACTGAGGCAAAACAGGTAATGCAAAGTCTGTACAACAGCAGCAGTGCCCAAAATGGAGAGCAGGGCAAAGGGGCAAGTGTGGAATTTGTATCTTGACTGCTTTCCACCCAACCACGCTGCTTTCGGGGAACCAGGTCCAACTTTTCCACTCCTCCATAGTCCAGGCATTACTCACTAAAAGACGAAGAAGAAAAAACACAGATGGATGGGAACTGGCAGGGCATACTTTTAGCCCACCCCAAATCCATGCAGTTGCTCTTGGCCCCTTGCCCTTGGTGTACAATTAAGAGCCCTGGTAAAACAGGATTCTCAGTTGCACAGGAAGCCATTAGATGGCTTCTCCCGCTACAGACATTCACCCCAAAGACGTGAGGGGCAGGGCTAAATGCACAGCCCCACTGTACCCCTTCCTTATTTTGGTGAGTTTAGTGTCAACCAGGCAAATCCTACACTTTGAGAGAAGAGAGAGCTGTGCTGTTGCCTCCTGCATCTTAGGAGATGTAAATATTTGTGGATCCTCTTTCCAAGTGAGATGTGAAACAGCCTTTCCTCTTCCCTTCTCCAGTTGAAAGAGTTTGCAAACTTTGACTTTGATGTATGGCGGAAGAAGTACATGCGCTGGATGAACCACAAGAAGTCACGTGTGATGGACTTCTTCCGGCGGATTGACAAAGATCAAGATGGGAAAATTACCCGGCAGGAGTTCATTGATGGCATCCTGGCATCCAGTAAGCCCCCTAACCCTTTTAATGCTTAAAACACTTTCAACTGCCTTTACCTGCGGACTTAGTTTTTTCCCCAGATTGAGAAGCAGGAAGCAATTCCTGCTTAGTGTCAAGCAAACAACCCTGCCTGCAAGAAGAGCCATTGTGGTGCAGTATAGTGTAAAAACTGTAATAAAAGTAATAGTGGTTAGAGTGTCGGACTAGGAGCTGGGAGACCAGGGTTCAAATCCCCACTCAGCCGTAAAGCTCACTAGGTGACCTTAGGCCAGTCACTGCCTATCAAAGATGTCTGACAAATCTTGCATTTGGGATTGGTAATGGAGTTTCCATTTGTTCTCTCCCATTCAGAATTCCCCACTACTAAATTGGAGATGACTGCGGTAGCTGACATCTTTGACCGTGATGGGGATGGTTACATTGACTATTATGAGTTTGTAGCTGCGCTGCACCCTAACAAAGATGCTTATCGGCCAACAACAGATGCAGACAAAATTGAGGATGAGGTAAGACATTTTGATAAGGCAGCAGGGATCCAGGAGCTATGGAGATAGTTAAGCTGTTTCAATCTCACACTGCTCTGCAAGAACCTAGGATGCAGTTGGTGCTGTGTAAGTTGTGGAAGGATGCCTGCTTAATCTTCCTGCCTCCCCTCCCTTTATAGCCCACCTCTTCCAGAAAGCCTTTGGCAAAGCCACCACCTGGTCTCCATGCCCTAATTCAATAGCCCCATATTTTTCTCCTGCTACCCTCCCTTGTTACTTATTTTCTAGCTTGTAAGCACCTTGAGAAAGGGACCTGTTTTCTCATACTTTGCAAAGCACCACATGCATGGATAGTGCCATAAGAATAATCATAATAGTCACAAGTGCCAGCCTTCATTTGCTCAGGGCTGTCACATTTCTTTTGTATGTAAAAAGTCAAGGAATCAAAATTCATGAGAGTGAGAATTTGAGTCAAGAAGTGAGAGACTTTGCCAATGCAGTAACATCCAGGTGTGGAACCCCCTCTGCTCTAAAGTTCAGCTGGTGCCAACCTTTGTTAAATTCCTAGGCCAGCTGGAGACCTCCTCCTCCTCCTCCTCCAGGCCTTCTAAATGTTACATATGTAGCTGCAGAGTTCCAGAGAGTTGCTCTAAAAAACAGTGGGAGTTGTTTTCATGGTGATAATTGTATTTTATTACTTTGTTGTATTTTAACTTCTTGCAACCCACCTTGAGATCATTTGTGATGACAGGAGGGATATAAATCTTCAAAATATATATATAGTAGAACGGGATTGTGAATCTTATCTGGGGGAGGTAGTGTGGTACAATAAGTAGACCCTCAGACTTGTTCCACTGGGGTCTTGGGTTAAAATCCCTCCTATTCAACCATGAAGCTCACCAAAACAGCCATAGTCCAGTCACCACTAATCTTCCTATCCTCACAGGGTTGTGATGAAGATAAATTGGGACAATATTGCCCACCTTTTTCCTTTTGTGGTTTTTCAGTAGGGACTGTCTTAAAGTAAAAACAAAAACCTTTCAAACCAGTTGGAGAGCTTTCCTGTAATTTAGCCTAATGGAATCTCTTCTTTTCTTTCTACCCAACAGGTAACCAGGCAGGTGGCTCAGTGTAAATGCGCAAAGAGATTCCAAGTGGAGCAGATTGGAGAGAACAAATACCGGGTAAGCTGAAGGGGGCTTTGCTTCCATTGATAGTTGGGGGGGGGGTTCCTCTGGCAGCCTGATGGTTTCATTGTAAAGGGTTAAAAAAAAGTTCTCTAATTTCTTTGTGGACCCCCATTTCATTTTGTGGCAGGGAACTCCATGATTGACTGGGGCAGGGGGGGGAGTGTTTCCTTTTGCCTGTTTTATTTTCCAGCCCTGTGTGTTCCTCTGAGATTTAAACATAGTCCTTCTGAAAATGCTCATGGGCAACTTCTGTGCTGCTTCTGTTTTTGTCTCAAGTTCTCAGAGTCTTCCACTGGCAATAAAACCATCTAGCTTAGCTTCCCCACGTGCCTGAACTGTGTGCAATTTTAGCTGAGGTGCAAACAATCTGAGCAGCCACTTGTTGGTGGCTGCATTTTTAAGGAACAAAGTGGGGGTTATAATTATCACTTGGGTTGGCAAAATGTCTTGAGCTTGCCCTGAATTTAGCACAAGAGCAGAGAGTGTAAAATAACCAGCACTGGCCCTAGTCACATTTCTAAAGTGTACAAGATCTTTGGCTTGCTTCGTTAATATAAATATGTATAAAAGGGAAGTACCAAAATGTGACATTTAGCATGCTGAGTAATGTTGAGTATACACATCAGTGGTACTTGTGGTTAACAAGACATTTTTCATAGTGATGCTCTGTTAATGCTGCTCAATGTTTTTTGTTCCCCCTCTCTCTCTCCCCCTCCTTCCCCTTCTCTCTCTTTCATTTGTACTTTCTTCTCCTTTGTAGTTCTTCCTCGGCAACCAGGTACAGTGTGCCTTGCAATGCTGTCTCTACATCCTTTTATAGATTGTTTCCCTTAAAAGAATCGCATGTGTTGTCCCTTTACAAACTGATATTTTCATTGCTATGGGTGGTTGTGCTGGTGTGGATGCTGTGGTAAGAGCTTGTCTGTATTAACAGCCAAGATTCTGGTATACAGTGACATAATGATCAAGGAATGGAATGGAAGCAACGCTACAAATGTGCAAATGCCCCCTTAGTGACAGACACACACATGGGCACTCACAAAGGAACTTCCCTGTGTTTTGTGTGCCAGACACTTTTTTAGAAAATTGAAACTCTTGGTAGTGAAGCAGCCTTCATCAACTTTGTGCCCTCCTGATGGTTTGGACTGTGACTCCAATCAACCCCGATTGTGCTAGTTGGGACTGATGAGGGTTTCAGCCCAAACCATCTGAAGAGCACCATATTGGCAAAGTCTGCTTTAAAATATTTGACTTCTTGTGCAGCTAAGCTGGCAAACTGTGCAGGCAGGACTGAATGCCTCAAAACTGGCTAGCTAACTCAAATGGGCTTAACTTGAACCAGGCTGTAGCCCTTGAACCAGTCTCTGAAGCCCATTGTTCAGCCATATTAGAGCACAATCACAGTTTGATTCTGTAAGCTCAGAATATCTGAGAGATGTAGAAAAAGGATTCCCATTGGAGCTGAGCACTGCATAATCCTATGACTTCAGAACCTGCCACATGACTTTGCTGGTGGGGGATTGATGGATATTTTCAATCACTAGCAACTGAGGCTATGCTGTTAACCACCAAAATAAAATATCCAGAACTGACCAAGGACACATAGAGCAGAACATACTGTGCATGCAAATCCATACCCCTGAGGCATGTGAATAGCAAGCTCAGGAAGCTAATTATCATTTCCATCGTGTACCTTCAGATTTCTAATATCATACTTGAGGCAAGAGGACACATTTTTCTTGCAGTTCCTCACAAGTTTGGTCCTTCCACTGTACCATCAGAGCAAGATACCAGCAGGACACCTAGTTCTTAGAATGCAGCATCTCTTGGTTCTTCCAGGAGGTGTAACTTCTGTGCCTCTTTCACAGAGTTGAAATTCTTGCAATGTATTCTGTATACCAGTATCTGGATGCCTTCCAATTAATTTTCCACCGCTTTTGGAATGCAAGTGCTGAATCCATTTGGATAATTTCCTTCCATAATTAGCACTAAAGCTTCAAGCCATTTGCATGGATCGTGTCAAATAACTCAAGGCTTCAAGAAGATAAAATGAAAAAAAAATGCTTCTCATTTCCTCCTGCATAATTTTTAGCCAAATCATAACTCCAGAGGGAGTTTCAGCAATGCAGAGAAGAAATACATTTTAAACTTGTTTTGTGAGATACGTTCTGCCCCTCTGTTGATAAGATGGTAGGAAACTAATGTCTTCAGTGCCTTGATTTTGCTGGACAGAGTGGACTGTTTTTACTTCAAATGAGCCCTCAAAGCCTAACATTATAAAAAGGACTTGAATTTCCTTGAACTGGTAGGAAAGAGCACAGTTAAAGTCTTGCTTGTTCAGAAAATCAGACGGTGAGTCAAAAACAGAGAGAAGGTCCATGCAGCTGATTGTAGTTACCTTCCCTCACTTTGTAATGTAGAAATGAGAAATTCCTCACCTGTAAAACATGACCTACTTTACCATGAGGGTGATGACAATTAAGGGCAGTGAAAAAGATTCATATAGCACTTGGCATTTCCAGTTTGCATTATGGATGCTGATCTTTGCAGAGCAGATTTCTAGTGAGGCAGGACATGCTGTTTGGTCCATTGGTCAAGGCTTCAAATTGTGGAGATGTCATACTGCTAGTGGTCATTTCAGTAAATGTATTTCTGATCCTTAAGGCTACCACTTTGCAGGTTTGCATATCTCTGGCTGCTGCAATTAACTCTTCTGCGTGGTGGTGGGGATGTCATGTACCATGAATTTTATGGGTCTTCAGATCTGGTGAAGGGCTTCTCTCCTTTTTGATGAGAGTGATTGGTGGGATTCCGTTAATGAATTTCATGTGAATTCCAGTTGTCCTCTCTCCAGAAATGAACTGTATCAAGACTGGCATGTGGCTGAATTCGAACCATGCTCCAAACAACACCCCCCCCCAAGGCCTTTGTTGGGAAATTGCTCAAAAGTTCGAAGTTCTGGCTTTATTTCATCTTCCGCATAACACAATGGTTACAGTTGGCCCAGAGACAAATGGGCAAGCCTTTAAGGGAGCACAGTAGATGTGCAAACACTGCAGGGGAGCTATTTCTGGGCACTACCTCACCCTGAGTCCTCTTTGGTCCGCCTGGTCCATAGCATATCCTGGTCCATAGCAACTGTCTAGCCGATGATCTCCAGGGCAGTCTCTGGCAGGAAGAGAGAAAAGGCCTTTCCCATCACCTACTGCTTGGCTGATTCATTTTAACCTGAAATGCTTCCAGGAATGGGCTTTTGGGCACAGAACAGGTGCCCTGCCACTGAGCTGAGGTAGCTCCAGCAAAACAAGGGTGCACCTCCTTCATTTTCATTTAGTTATAATTAGCAGTGCATTAAAATGGATCCACTCTGGTTTTATTAACATCATCATCACCATTATTTATTCATATACCGCTTATAGACTTGTGGGTGGTTTACAAAGCATGAAAACCAGTTATACAAACATTTAAAATATAAACATCCATAATAAACCCATTTAGACATTTAAAAAATTATATTTCTTAAAGGCAGCTAGTAGCTTCAGGAGAGGCCCCAGTGTCAAAGCCCATCCTGCTGCAGTCCCTCTCCTGAAGCGGCCCTGTGCTGCCACCTTTCTTTTGTAATTGCAAGGTGTCTTTTGGGCTCTTTTGTGGGTGCTCATCTAAACCATTTCCCCCTCTGCTGCTCCCTCCACAGTTTGGCGATTCGCAGCAACTGCGGCTGGTCCGTATCCTACGTAGCACAGTCATGGTTCGTGTTGGTGGAGGATGGATGGCCCTGGATGAGTTTTTAGTGAAGAACGATCCTTGCAGAGGTAAGAAATGGAGAGTGATTCTTAACAAACATGGGGCTCTGAACCTCCCCCAGTGTAAGGCTTTGAGGTGTCTGCCATTAAAAGTGAGTGGGCCAGGACCACCCATGGAGCCCAGCCCAGCCCAGCCCAGCAGGAAGTCTTCTTGAGGTCTAGTCAAGGACTTCTTGAGGAGGGTGGCCTGTGTTGATGAGTGGGAGAGAAGTGCCAGTGAGGTTCTCTGCTGCAAACACCATGATATCTTGGGCAGACCTTAGTCCATCCTGAATGTCAGCATAAGTACCAATAAGTACTTGACTAGGACTTCCTATGTAACACTCACATGTTGGGGTGGGGGGAGAAGTAGAATCCATCAGAGCCCCCACCCTCCTACCCACCTCTTCACATCTGTGGGCTGAGCTCTCTTCTCGTACCCTTTCCATTTTTCCTCTAAAATGGCTGCCCTGCATGCCAGCCAGCGTGTAAGAGACTTCTCCTTGCCTTTTTCCTCCTCCTCCTCCTCCTCTTTGACCCCCACTGCTGTTTGTTTTTCCTGCTCTATCTTTTCTTTGTATATATGTATTTTCTTTATTCTAGTTCACCACCCGGGAAGTAAAATAAAACGCTCTGATTCCAGCTCTTCGATTGCCAGTCAGTCTCCGATAGGTTGGCGGTTTTTCTTGGCTTCCTCTCACTACTCCTCCTCCACTTGTTGGGAATGGCTTTGCTTCTCTAACCTGCCTTGATCTTCCCCATCATCCCCTCTGGCCCAGAATAGTACTTTGCTGTAGTGAAGGGCATGGGGTGGGGGCAGAGAGAGAGACAAATAACTTCTTTTTTTTGGCTGATTTGGGCTGAAAGCTGCAAGTTGAGTAGGCTTCACAGCCCCTGCCTCATCTTGTTCCTGTCTGTCACATTGGCCCTGAAATCACCATTCACTTTTTCCAAAGGGTTGCAACATGTATCCTCTGCACCAGCTTATGCTCGCAGCAGCCTTGATGGGTTCAGCTGCGCAAGAGCAGCTTGCCCCGAGTGAGGAGCAGGGATTTGGGGCCTGGTTCAACACCAGACTAGCTTCCTTTCTTGCCTTTTCTGCATCTCCCTCAGTCCCAAAAAAATTTCCTCCCCTTTTCTATTATATCATTTACCTTTTCTCCTGGAAATTGCCTGTAAGTAAATATGGTGTTCTGTAAGACAAAAGGCTGATGTTAGAGGCTTGTGAGGGAATGGCGACCCACCCAACCCTCCAGCCTGCAGTCTGGGCCCCCTTCCTTTGAAGACAGGTTATTCCTTCTGGCCTGTGGCTGTTGGGTGGCCATTTTCCCCTTCCCTCCCATGATAGTTTGTCTGAATGCGGCTGCATGCTGCCATGTTGTAAAACATCTGGGATAGTCTTCGCCAGTCAGTGCTTTCCAGATGTTATGGACTATAACACTCATCATTCCCAGCTAGCATGCACTATGAAAGATGGGGCTGATGGGAGTTGTAGTTCAAAGCATCTGAGGGCCTAGGGTTCAAGAAAGCTGCTCTAGGATTTGTTTCTTGATTGCCTCTTGGTATTGCTGATTCTTCCGTTCCTGGTGCTGCTCTTGAGCACTCCTGCTAGGCGTCCGCAGATTGTTCTGACGCAATCCTAGGGGTGCTTCCAGATGGGGGTTTATCATGGAATCAGCGCTCCTGATGCATGCAAGTGTTTTACAGAGTCCACACAACATTGTTGACATCAAAAAGCCAGCTTGTACCAACTCTGAATTTGATCTTACTGGGGAAAATCTGATAAATATATATATAAACCCAGATACCAACAACCCACTTGCGGTATCTCAGTAGCTCGTTTGCAAGCTAAGCCCCTCTCTGTAAGTCCCCTTGGCAGCTGTAATTGCTTGTCTTGGGGTAGATAATGTGTGAAATCTCCAGCTGCCCCTTTTTCTGCCTGGCAAGGCTTTATGCATGGTGTCTTGCTCAATTAACAAAACTGCTCCTTGCTGTGTGTATCTGTTTGTTAGGTTTGTTGCTGTTTTTCCTGTAAAACTGAAGAATATGCTTGCTGTTTTGCTATGAAGCAGGTGGTATAATTGCAGAGGAAGGAAACTGAAAATTGGGGAAGGGGTGTAGCTCAGTGGGAGAGCAACTGCTCTGCCTGCAGGTGATCCCAGGTTCAGTCCCTGATGGCATCTCCAGGTAGGGCTGGAAGAGACTCCTTCCAGAAATTCTGGAGAGCCGCTGCCGGTCAGTGTACGCAATGCTAAGCTATGGGGATCAATGATCTGACACAGTATAAAGCAGCTTCCTATGTTCCTGTATCCTGGTTGCAAATTTTAAGTCAGGTTTATTTCCTTCCATTTCTTGAGAATCAGGTGAAAATGAATTGAGAGCTCTTTGGACGACACTTTGTTTCCCAGACCTCTTGCCACATAAACTTAGCTAAGTGTGCTGTGCCAGCAGCTGAGCAAGCTCTGCTTTGGGTCAGCAAGCTTCCCACAGCTGGGGGGGGGGGATCATAGAATTGTAGAGTTGGGAGGGAACCCAAGGGTCATCTATTCACCCCCGCAATGCAGGAATCTTTTGCTCAGTCTGGGGTTTGAAGCCACGACCTTGAGATTAAGAGTCTCATGTTCTGCTGACTGAGCTATTCCAGAATTCTTTGGTGCTGAACTGAGACTGGGTAAAGGAGACTCCTCCCACTCCAGAGGATCCTTCACTATCCTGTAAAGCAGATTGTACAGAAGGACGTAATAGATGGCGTTGGTGGTATAGACGAGATGGGCGCTGTCTATACGTGCTTAGAGGTTGCATATCTGAGTCCTTTCAAAAGTGTGTGGACTTGCCCTGTTGCAGGCTGAAACACCACTGCTCTGAATGATGGTTGTGGTGGGGGCTTCTATATGAGCTACAGAATGCTCCTAGATCTTTCCCCTCCTAGGAAGACTTTTCCTCTCTATCTTGAGACTTTTAAGCTGCTGCTGGTGTAGCAAAGTGAGAAGACCAAGGGGTCTGTCTCACAGAAAATTAACTGGAAGGAGGAGGAAAGAATCCAAAGCACACCCCAGCAAGCCTGCACCAGGGAGTCAGAAGCATCTGGCTTTGCCTGGCTTTGCCATCTGTTTATATTTCAGACTCTGGTTTCTTTGGCTATTTTTTCTTCATGTTTTATGGTGGTTCCTTTCCTACAGCTCGAGGAAGAACTAACCTTGAACTTCGAGAGAAATTCATTCTCCCAGAGGGAGCTTCTCAGGGAATGGCGCCATTCCGGTCCAGGGGGCGCAGGTCAAAGCCCTCCTCTCGGGCAGCCTCCCCAACGCGGTCCAGCTCGAGCGCCAGCCAGAGCAACCACAGCTGCACTTCGATGCCCTCCTCCCCAGCCACACCTGCAAGCGGGACAAAGGTGAGAGGGCTTCTTTAACCATTAAAAATGGCTTCTGTCACTCAGTTGCTCCCGGACAGGTACAGGCCTCTGAGTGTCCAGTGGGGCCTGTCCACAGAGGACAGAACTTTCAGGGTCACTCAAACATTTATTTCTGCCCACGATGACAATGAAATGCTGTCACATCCAGGTGGGTAGAGTGAAATGGCGGAGTTCCTCTTCCCCTCCCCTCCCCTCCCCCAAATTACACCTGTCTGTTTATGTCTCATTTTAATTTTTGGGCCATCCCTGGTTTGTTTTCCTGGCTTCTGTGATCCTGAGAGTTTTTCTCCCCGACGCTTGGCCTGGGTGAGATGGCCACGTTGGCAGTGGGCACAGAGCACAACCCCTACTTATGTAACTCTCATCTCGTCGCCCATTTTGTATGTTTCCTTTCATTACCTGTTGGGTTTGTTTTTTTATTTTATTTTAGGGTTTATTTACTTTTCTGTTTTTATTTTCCTTCCATCCTGTACACCTCCCTCCCCGCCCCATCCCTCCTTTCCTTTCACTCCCTTCCCCCTTCCCTCCCTCTCCCTCAATTTCTCTTTGGATTTTCCATTTCACAGACTCCGCATCACTTCACTCGCAGTTATGACAAACCCTGGTTGGTAAACAGCAAGGCAGGTACCCCTTTGAGGGGCTACGATAATGCTGACCTCCACCTGTCTGCTTCTGAGGTAGAGTATGGCTTACATGGGCCAGTCCCTGTTGCAAAAGGAGGAGCCCCCTTGGCTTCCTTTTCCCCTCTCTTAATGCTTTCCTTGTTATAACAGCGCTTGATAACACCTCTTTCCATGCTAGGGCTGCTGCTGTGTTGCTCATGGGGCTTCTAACTCTGGTTTCTTAAAGACAAAAAGATTTGTTCTTCAAAATACTCTTTCAAAACCAACAGAACGTTAACACACAGTTTGCAACCAGTTTGTGTTGAAAGAACAAACATTTCCCCAGGAGTTCAAAGTGAGAAAATCTTTCAAGTTTTGGGCTGTTTTAGAACATTAAATGAAAGAGATATGATAGAGGAGGATATCACTTAAAAGTCAGGACTCATGAATAAAACAGCCGAGTTAATACTTTGAAAATCAGTGCCTGTGCCTGTACAGAAACCCCTCAATTTGTCATCCCACATACGACGCAGGTGAGAATGTTGGGAGGGGAGAAGCTTCTTAGAAACATCTGCCTGGCTGCTTTTGGAGGTAGGAGGCTGGGTTAGATGGACATCCTTTTCCCTCCCTCCCTCCCACCAGGGCAGTTCTTACAGTCATGGGAATGTAAGTCCCAGCCAAACAGGAGGAATGGGGACGGTATTAATGATGGGCTGCCGGCTTGGTGTCCATATAAGTTGCTCAGACCTGAAATGATTGTTGCTTCAGTTTGCTTTTCTCCAACTGGGTGCCCTCCAGATGTCTTAGATGACACACTGTGCTGGTGATCAGAGTCATACTCCAAAATGTTTGGAAGGCAACAAGTTGGTGAAGCTGTTTTCGGAACATAGGATGCTGCCTGAGTCCATCTGGCCCAGTGTTGTCAACACAGGCTGGCAGCAGCTCTCCAGAGTCTCTGGCAGGAGTCTTTCCCAGGCCTACCTGGAGCCGCTGTTGGGGACTGGACCTGGGACCTTCTGCATGTGCAAAGCATGTGCTTTAGATTAAGCATTTCCCTGCTTTGCGCCACTAGAAAAGCAAAGACAGTTGGTGCACCAGCAATGGACTCCCTCTTCACATCTAGTGCTTGGGAACTGGAGTGAGTTGGGAGGATGCTTTTTGCTCCAGTTTTTCCTCCCACTGAAATAGTAGCTGGCATCCTGCTCTGCACCTGCTTTAAAGAGGCTAATGGGAGCTGCAGCTGTGGTGTCCAAAATGAGCAGGATCCCGCCCACTCCAGTTCCGAGCTGCTCTCTGTCCTGCTTCTTCCATGGGGCACAAGTAGAACAGTTCAGGGCCAAGTGGATCCCCTGCTCTTTCTAGACAGGGGTGTGATGACTTGGACTAAACCTCACCAAAGGTGCCTTCTTGCTGCTCATGCTCAAGTGCTCAGGAGCTTCTTTTCTGCCCTTTCTAGAGACGGCAAGCACAGGGGTCCAATTAATGAGCCTGCCATCCAGCGCTGGGTGGTAAAGAGGACTAATAGCAGAGAATGGCCTTCTTGGTGTGTCTTGTCTGTCTGCTTCTCTTCTTGGCCCGCAGCACCTTAAAGGTCATGAGGAACATGGGGTGGGTGGGCAGGCAGCCCTGTAAATGTGTTCATGTCCACTAACAGAAAGCAAAATGGGCAGGTGAAGAGCTGGATGTCCACAGAAGTTCCCACGTGGGACTTCCTGGCTACAGCAGCCACAATTCAGTCTTTCTGGGTTCTTGTTTAATAACTGTTGAGCCCCTCTGTGATTCATGGGGAGGGGACAGCAGGGCTTGATGCTCCTTCATTCCTTGTTGACCTTTAAGATGCAGTGGGGGCTGCAGTCTGGCTGCTGGAGTGCAGGGATCCTCTCAACCAGCACCTGTTTAGGAAGCAAATGATGACTGTTGAGATAAACGTCTCTTTCTCCCAAGGTTGTTCCCTCTTCAAGCAGCAAGCTGAAGCGACCCACTTTCCACTCCAGCCGGACTTCTCTCGCTGGCGACACCAGTAACAGCTCCTCGCCAGTGTCTTCAGGTGCCAAAACTAGTCGGGCTGGTAAGTGCCTTTCTGGAAGTGACACAGTCCCTGCTTGTATGCTGCGTGTATTGCCTTTTCATTCTTTGTTTTGTGAATCACTTCGAGGCTTCCTTTGGTTTCGGGAAACAATGAACAAACTCAGTAAACTGAACTGAACATTCAGGTGAACACAGGAGTGGGACTTGGGTCAAGGTGCTCTGAGTTTCAGCTTCTACTTCTGTTAGGTGGGATGAGTAATTCCAGCCTCCCTAATGAGGCTTACTTCCTTCAGGGGCGGGCTGGGGCCTCCTGCTGCTTACAGTCTTCACTCTGCCCTTGTAAGCCTCAAGTGTACTTGCAGCTGGTTTCCTGTGCTCTTGGGAGCATGGCCATTTCTCTGTGTGCACCAGTCAACGGGTCAGAGCTATTGCAGGTGGCGCCGACTGGAAGTTCAGCACACTTTCACTATAGCCAATTCCATTTATGCAAAGTTTTATTATTTTAGCCCGCAACCCTGCCCCCACATAGCTGTGCATAAGCCCTATTGCACTCGGTGGGACTTCTGAGTAGAAATATATACGGGATGCACAGGAGCTTTTTGTTGAGAAATTAATAGCAAGTGAAAGCCCCCATGCTTCAGTGATTCCTCCAAGACATAAGGAAGCCCACACATGACCCCGCCAGGCCACAAAGTGGAATGAAGCACCGATGGTGATACAGCAACATCAGCCAGTTTGACTGTCACCCCCACTGGCTGTGAGGCAGTTCCAGAGCAAGGGGTATCTCTATAGAGAGTAGTACACTGAAATAGGTTCATCTGTGTTGTGGGGAGGGCCCGACTGCTCAGGCATCAACTCCTTGTGGTAGCTGTGAGAGCCACCATTCCAGCACACACAGGGGATGTCTAAAGGGAAGGTGGCATCTAGCTGGAAAACAAGACGGGGGCTGCCCTCGAGGGACGGAGGAATAGCATGTTGTAAGGCCTTCCTGGGTTTCCATGGTGGTGATGGACACATCTGTTTTACTTTTCAGATCCTAAGAAAACAAGCAGTCGCCCTCAGAGCCGGGCAGGGAGCCGGGCAGGGAGCCGCGCCAGCAGCCGGCGGGGCAGTGACGCATCTGACTTTGACCTCCTAGAGACACAGTCAGCCTGCTCAGACACTTCCGAAAGCAGCGCAACGGGGGGGCAAGGCAGCTCCCGACGGGGCGTGGCAAAGCCCTCCAAAATCCCCACCATGTCTAAGAAAGCCACCACAGCCACCCCCAAGACGCCAGGCCCCAAGAGATAATAATAAGACCCCATGCACACATCTACACATACACACACACACAAAAAAACAACCTGTGTCCATTTTTTAACCCTGCTTCATACATTGGATGTATATTTATTCTACATGGGAGAAATTATATTGTTAAAAGTGTAAAAGATTAATTGTGTTATGAAGCTGCCTTATTTTGTTCTGTTGATTTTCTTTTTTTGTAAGTTACTATTTTCATGTGAATATTTATGTAGATAAAACTTGCCTTCTGGTGACCTCCTTAGCGCTGGGAGGGCCCAGGGGAAAAAAATGAAATGTGGGAGAGAATAGAAGCAAGCAAAAGGTCAAGATGTGAAAATGTAAAAACAAAAAGTTACAAAAAATTATATAAATAGGATTTCTGTGCAGTGCAGGAAGTGATCCTGCTTTATCTTTTAGGATTATTTCCTAAATGCATCTTTATAAAAACTTAACTTGCTGTCTCAGCAAGGTAAATTATATTTAAAAGCAACACCTGAATATCCAGCAGTGTTCAAGGAATTCTTTCTTTCTTTCTCTCTCTCTCTCTCTCTCTCTCTCTCTCTTTGTTTTTGTAAATCATGGATACCTCAAAAAGAGAGAAATGTGAGGTGAATGGGATCTGGGGCTTCTGTTTCCAGTTTTTAAAAGAAATCATTGTGGTTTTACCTGAAGATAAAGTGGAGTAAGTTTGAACTAATAAATTTAAAAAAAAATTGCACACACGCTACATACAAGTAAAGATGTTCACTAAAATGCTGTATTTAGCGAAATGAAAGTACTGTCAGCCGCTGAGCTTTTAAAGAACAACTAATACTATGTTTTCAATATTTTACACTTGAAGCTCTCCAGTAGCATCATACCTGTGTGGACGATGCCTGGAGTTGGGGCACACACAGCAAAACCTTTGAGCAGTGGAGCCAAAGAGGGGAGTTCCCACAAAACTTGGTTCTTCTCTCACATTGCTGTTAAAACAAAAAAAACTGACTTCACTTTTTAGTTCACGAACTGCTATTTAACTGCATTGTTTCCTATTTATTGTCTCAACTGGTTAATGCCACTTCTGACCATACTGACGTCCAAGAGGCCCCTCCACACTCCAGGGGAGAAGACGACGACAGAGCTGCCTTCAACACGCACAGGAGCTTGTTCTTGGGAATTTTAAAGCGCATCACCAGCAGCCCCACTTGTGCGCCGCCCCCTCCGCCCCCCAGCTCGCTTTTATATGATCATTTTTTCCATTGTGGAGGGGAGAAGAAGGGGAGGGATGTTTTAAAAAGTAAACTTTGGGACAGTAAAGAAGGGGGAGGGGCAGGGAGTTGGGGGCTACTTGGTCTTCCTGTATTTATTAACTTTTGCTCTTTCCCCTGCTCTGACTGACCATATTGCTGTGTGATTCTCTCAGTTGGTTTAATTGAGCCAGAACCTGAAGCTCTACCAATGAATTGTTTAAAAAAGACGACACTTTTTGTATTAAAATTGCTTGCAGTAATAATTAAAAGAAACTTGCCTCTTTTTTATGTCATGGAAGAAGCCACTGGAATAGCATTAAGAGTACAGGTGTGTCTTCCCAGCCAATCACTTCTCCTCTGGCACAGAATGGAGCCGCCTGCTTTCTCTGTGATTATTTGTTTGAATGCAGTGGTTCCAAAACTCTTTTTGAGCCTCCGCCACTTGGTTCCGTAAGATCATCCCCAGTGCCCCCTGCCCTATAAAAAACATTGAGAATGACCCACTATGGAAGACAACAAAATTCAAATTCAAAACAGTGGCAATTAATTGCACATTTATTCAAAATTCAATTAAAACTATTTAGCTTAATTCAACAAAATTGATGAACTTCCAGTGGTACCAGCTTTCCAAATCCTTGCCTCTTACCAATCCCCTAGGTAATCCCACTGCCTCCCAGGGGGCAGTACCCCACCCCATTTGTGAACCACTTCCAAACCATAGAAACAGATGTGTACCAGACAACCACAAATTATGGGCAAGTTAACCAGTCCACCGTCTCCTAAAGGGCCTCTGCAGTAAGAGAGACCAACTCACCATGCTCCTGGCTGTTGCGCTTCTAAAGGGATGGATGTTCCATCTGCTCTGCCCTTTCAAAGCACAGGAGGGCAACTCACAGCAGCGTTTGGTTTTGCTTTGTTTTGTTGTGCAGTTGGGGAAATGGGGAAACTGGACATGTTAGGTGAATGTGTATATGAAGCACTTAAACGACAGGCAGCGTCAAGGACAGCATGTGTACAAATGATAAAAGAATAGAATGTGCTCATTTCCATACTTAGACTGCCCAAACTATATTGGGAGCCTGTGCAAAGCCCAAAAGCAGGACAGGAACACAAGAAAACTCTTCGTGTTTCCAGCAACTGGTATTCTGAAATATTACTGCCTCCTACCGTGGAGGCAGAGCATTGTTGCAGTTGATAGGCTTATCCATTAACTTGTCCAGTCCTCTTTGAAAGCAATCCAAGTTGATTGCCATCACTGCCCCCTGTAGGAGCAAGTTCCATAGTTTAACTATGCCCTATGTGAAGAAAGACTTTCTTTTGTCTGTCCCGAACCTTCCAACATTCAGCTTCATTGGATATCCAAAAGTTCCGGTGTCATGAGAAGGGAGAAAAATATTCCTGTTTCTCTATTAAACTGCAGCCTTGTCTGTGGTCTCACTAAGCCAATGGTGGCATGTTGTAATGGATGTAAAGAAATGAATGTAAAGATGGAAGTTTGCTGTTTCCGCAGATAACTGGGCCCTGCTTTTTTTTTTCTGAGCACGGCACTTGCATTTATGAGCTTGAAATTGACAACGGGGTTTGACAGTAATTATGTAGGCAATGATTACAGCAATATTCTTGTAATTTGGCAACCCTGCAAGTAAGCTGACACTGCTCTCTAGAGCTGTGGAGTGCACACACTCAGTAACCCAATACTTCATCAATTAATAATAATAATAATAAATTTTATTTATATCCCGCCCTCCCCAGCCGAAGCCGGGCTCAGGGCGACTAACAACAATAAAACAGTATAAAAGTACAGCATAAACAACACTCTAAAATCATTCATTATAAAATTAATTAATTCAAGCCACTGGCAACCATTGGGCCAGAGCTCCGCGAAGATTGCCGAGGGAGGGAGTCAGGCTGTGCCCTGGCCAAAGGCCTGGTGGAACAGCTCTGTCTTGCAGGCCCTGTGGAAAGATGTCAAGTCCCGCAGGGCCCTGGTCTCTTGTGACAGAGTGTTCCACCAGATCGGAGCCACAGCCGAAAAAGCCCTGGCTCTAGTTGAGGCCAGCCTAACTTCTCTGTGGCCTGGGACCTTCAAGATGTTTTTATTTGAAGACCGTAAGTTTCTCTGTGGGGCATGCCAGGAGAGGCGGTCCTGTAGGTACAAGGGTCCTAGGCCGTATAGGGCTTTAAAGGTTAAAACCAGCACCTTAAACCTGATCCTGTACTCCACCGGGAGCCAGTGCAGCTGGTGTAGCACCGGGTGAATGTGATCTCGCAGCGAAGACCTCGTAAGGAGTCTCGCTGCAGCATTCTGCACCCGCTGGAGTTTCTGGGTCAGTCTCAAGGGCAGCCCCACGTAGAGCAAGTTACAATAATCCAGTCTGGAGGTGACCGTCGCGTGGATCACAGTGGCTAGGTCAGGGTGAGAGAGGTAAGGAGCCAACTGCTTAGCTTGGCGGAGATGGAAAAATGCCGCCTTTGTTATAGCTGCAATCTGCGCCTCCACGGAAAGGGAGGTGTCGAAGATTACACCCAAACTCTTAACGGACAGTGCTGGCACTAATTGCGCCCCCGCAAGAGATGGGAGTTGCCCCCCCAATCCCATATCGCCCCGTCCCAGCCACAGGACCTCTGTCTTCGAAGGATTTAGCTTCAACCAGCTCCCACGTAACCATCCAGCCACAGCTTCCAAACATCTGGTCAGTGTGTCTGGGGCCGAGTCAGGATGGCCATCCATCAACAGATAGAGTTGGGTGTCATCGGCATACTGATGGCAACCCAGCCCAAAACTCCGAACAAGCTGGGCAAGGGGGCGCATAAAGATGTTGAAAAGCATCGGGGAGAGTATCGCACCCTGAGGTACTCCACACACCAAGGAGTGGCGCAATGACAATTCCCCCCCAAGCGCCACCCTCTGTCCCCGACCAGAGAGAAACGAGCGCAGCCATTGAAGGACTGTGCCCTGGATCCCCACGTCGGCAAGGTGGTGGTCCAGAAGTTCGTGATCGACCATGTCGAAAGCTGCTGACAGATCTAGGAGAATCAGCAGCCCCGACCCGCCTCGATCCAGCTGTCTACGAAGATCATCTGTTAGGGCGACCAGAGCCGTCTCGGTCCCATGACCAGCGCGGAAGCCGGACTGGAATGGATCCAGAGCCGATGTTTCATCCAGAAACCCACCAAGCTGTTCAGCAACCGCTCTCTCAATCACCTTACCCAGGAACGGAAGATTCGAAACCAGGCGGTAATTGGATAGATCTAAAGGATCTAATGATGTTTTCTTTAAGAGCGGGCGCACCACTGCCTCCTTCAGTTCCCCTGGGAATGTCCCCGTGCCAAGGGACAAATTGATGATATCCCCAGGAGGGCCCGCACCTCGTCTGGACACGCTCTAATCAGCCAAGACGGGCACGGGTCGAGAGGACAGGTGGTGGGCTTTCCAGCTCGGAGGAGTCTGTCCACATCGGCTGGGGGTATCTTTTTTTCTGGCTTTCTTGGAGCAATGCTACCGTCACAATTTCCCTACCCTATAGACACAGAAAGAGAACTTCAACAGGGGAGAAGCAATTAGTGAGCAAATCCCTGAGCAGCATTGGGACTTTCAGCCGGCTTCCGAATGGCCAAGACCAGCTCCCAACGTCTGTGTCCTGGCAACCATGTAAACACACAGGCCTGGAATCCAGAGCCACAACTGCCCCTTTTTAAATCAATACAAATGGGGTTGTTCTTCCAGGGCCCAACAGGGAATAATCAAAGTTGTCAGTTGTTCTCCAGGCTCTGCTCCTGTGCCTTTTCAAGCAGTCTAACATCTGAAATTGTGCTTAGGGGTAGGCTTCCACATGTAAATTTCATATGTGTGAAGAAGAGATTTGGCAGGATTCTGGCATGACAAGATGCAGCTGTTAAATTCCCTCTTATCCAAGACTACAGCCTTTTACCTATAGGAGGAGCCCCGGTCAAGGGGCAGAGCCATGCCTAGTACACAAGGTTCCCCAGTTCTATCCCTGGCATCCCCATATCTAAAAGGCTCTCAGGTGCCAGAGCTGAGCAAGGACTTTGTTGGGGGTCTTGGAGAGCTAGACTGTCCTGAGCTGAATAGACTAATAGTCTGGCTCCATATAAGGCACATAGATGCTCACAGGCAAGCTCAGCTTCTTAAGTTTTAAAATGCTCCTAATCCTAGATGCACCCTTGCTACAACAAATTCTCTTTCCACTGACTTCAGCTAATAGGCCACATGCTGAATCCTTAGTGTCATGCTCCAGGGAGATGCAGGGCTCAACTGGATTCAGGGTGCCAAAGGATCAAGTGACAGGTGCACCATCCTAGAGGACCTCCCCCGGAAAACCCCAAGGAGGTCATTACCTATGTGGATTCCACTGTTCCCCACTTTCAGTATGAAAACCCCTGAATACTAATCCAAGTTATGCCATCTGTTTCCTACCCTTCTCTCTCCTTCATCATCACCTCTTTGGGGGCAGAGACGCTTCTTTTCCCAGCTTAAGAAACACTGCTAAATTCTGCATATATGTATTGATGGGGCTGCTTTTAATCATAATAGATAGGAAGCCAGATGTCATACCTTGCAAGAGGAGCCACTGGAACCACCTCTTCCCTGACATGCAGCAGATGAGTGTCTCTTGGACATTATGCAAAGGAGAGCAGAAATGCATCTGAGTCTGAGGGAGGGATGGACTGGGTGGGTGCTCAGCTACACTCCATGCCAGTTGGGGCCAGGGTGCAGTCAGGTATGGAGGCCTCTGAAAAATTTGACCCAGTGGGTCTGTTTCCCCCTCCAAACTGTGGCTGGGGGTGTCAACACTTACTCTGAATAGTCTCTTCTGGAGGGCCCTAGCACAAATCAACTGGCAGGAGAGACTCCCACCTACCCCGTACCTCTGCCTGCAGCCAAGTCCAGAGAGGCTCCACAAGGACCGCTTCACAGTGAGTCAGGCTCAGAACCCCATTGTCATGGCAACCATGGGTGCCAACTGTCCTCGGCCCCAACTGCCACTTTCAGAATGAAAGAACTGGGGTGTTTTGGGGGGGTGTTGTTGGGAGGGGAGTTGCTGCTCTTCGTTTCTTGTATCTTTATTTTAGATTTTGCGGTGATTGATGTGGAAATTGTTCAGTTTGGTAATTTTTAAATATTTTATTTATTGTTCAGGACTACCTTTGTTATGCTGAAGTTGCATTTTTTTTTCACATTGTAAGCCCCTGTGAGTGTGGTTTGATCTGTAGAAAGGTAGCATAAAAGCATGACCATTACCTCAGGACCACAAAACAGACAAGGTTGCCCAAAAAGGGCAAGGAAGAAAGAGTAATTTGACCAAAAATAAGTGAAATGACCCAGTCATCTGAGGGGAAAGTTTCATGAAATTGCCCCACCACCAAATCATTTCACTGGTTCTTTGGCATGTTTTCTTTGGACAAAAACCAACTGAGTTCTCTGGGGCTTACCGGTACCTCAGAGTAGACATGTGTAGTTCTTTACTGCTCAACTCTTCCTCTCTTCCATCCATGCCCCCCCCCATGATATGGAACACCTATTAAACCTTTTAAATAAAGCTGTAGAGGTACAAAATAGTTCACATTTAGCTAAATGTCTAATACCAGTCATGTGACTTATAACAAAAATACACCACTATCAGATCAAGAAATACAGACTAAACTAGGAAACTTACAAACCCCTTGGCTGCTACTCCACCAAATCCACACTTTTTTGGCTAGTCCAATTACCAGTATAGCAGCCACCCTTGTAATATCCCCAGAAGAACAAGGACCAGACAGAACATCTATAAAATTCTACTCAGTGCATCAGTGGGTTCACTTGACCCTATCAACATGAATGCAATTTTGGCTATAACCTTGAGCCAGCTCAATGGAATGGACAAAAAAACCTATTTATTTTGGTGAGTGATAGAGAATTAACTGTAAAAACTCATGTAGGTTTTACCTAACCTCTAGGAAGCTGGCAATGATCCATCCTGGTGCCTCACCACATTGCTGGAGGGGCTGCCCAACAACTCTCCACATGAGGTGGGGATTTACAAAAACCCAGCCTTTCTGGAATGTGATATTCCAAGAAATTAATAAAATAACAAAACAACAATTGGAAGTCAATTAGCTTCATCAAATTAGCTTCATCAAATACATTTCAAAACAACAATCTGGATCTACATAATAAAGGATTAATAAGCCATTTAGTACAAGTGACAAGACACAACATAACCAGACACTGGAAAGACCTTTCTGACACAACAATAGACAATTGGTATAAAACAGTTTGGGAACCATCCCTCCTTGAGATATAACAAATAAACAACAGTTGACATGTGGACAGATCAAGAAAGATGGCTTTATCCCGGTGTGGTTTAATTTCATAACATATGCTAGTATTCCAGAAAATGAACAATCAGCATTTGGCTCAATCTGGTTGAAATAAATGTAATAAATTATAAAATAATTATATTTTATAATTAATTATAATTAAACTATAAAATAATTTAAACATAAATTTGTATCTTCACTTTTAACCCCCATCTCACTTTCATCACTATATCAAATCTTTATTGTTTCATTAGTAACACAAGAGGAAAAATGACTATTATACTCATACTGAATCTAAGCACAACCACAAGGACTCTTGATTAGACATTTACCCTTGTGATGTTGAATGTTATCTGTTAACTCTGTTCTATCCTGTTTCCTTTTTCCTTTCATTTAAACCAATTCACGAACCAATAACTTATACATTGACCACTAATATTACTGCAAACTTATTTTTGTGATATACAATTGACAAAAGAAGAAGAACAAGAAATTGTTAATATTTAATAATAGGGTTGCAGGATATGGTTATTGTTGACAAATATTTTTCCTGTCTTTGTCTTTTCTCAGAATGAGTTGTCAGGGCGGGGGCAGTGAATCCACTTCATAAAAGTGTACATTGTGTCACAGACACTCTGCTGTCCATTATAATGGCAGCTCCAAGTAAACAGCAAAGGAGGCAACCGTTCTTTATGATGGCAGCTTTTACAATTTCCTCAGAATTCAAACACCATCTCATAACAGGGATTTCTGGGGGAAACAAAATGGCAGATTTTCCTGTTCCCTTCTCCACCAAAGAATATTGTTTCATCCTCCAAAGCATTGCCAAAACAAAACAGTTGATATCAATGTAAGTGAAACAAACAAGGAATAGTTCAGCCAACCCTAACTTAAATATGAATTTTCTCTCATAAGTATGTGTTTAAATGTGTGTTTTGATACATATAAGCTGTCACCAACTATGTCATGACATTCAGAGAAGTGCAAACTCCCATGTATAGCTAAGTTCTGTCCCCTCACCCCCACATTTTGTCCAAGATCAGGTCATTTGTTGCAGGAATTTGCCAAGGTCAATTTCAGCAGGTTCCCCAAGCCTGATTAAATGTTGGGAACAGGGACTGGCCCACTCACATAATAGTGGAATCTTGAGTGGTGAAATTTATGGATAGTAGTTTCAGAACACAGTCTAAAACCATTATTTCCCCCTACATTGTGTCCCCCTATCCAGTTGTAGCAGAGTATGTTGACCATCATGGACTTAGTTGCAGAGGGGTGGGTGGGTGCCATATCTATATAGCATTGTTATCTTGCTATTCTGCGGGTGGTGGTGGAGAGCTTCCAGAATGGCTTACAAATATTAGTGATGAGACATATCATAAAAGGAAAGAGCACAGGGAGAGAGGATTGTTATAAACTCAGCCTGGATAACCAATATGAGAAGTCCTACCAGCGCTGAGAGTTCCCGTGGAGGGTCCTCTGTCGGTCGGGAAGAAGCAGAATTGCAACCAAGCAATTCAGAGCAAGACGACTAATAAGCCAGTTAAAACAGGATGACAAAGTTTCTGTGGGCGTGCTCACATTACCCCCTTGGAGGGCAATGAAGTTGTCTCACAGCTCTTTCCACGCTACCTGTTCACATCAGCACAGCTTACTCCCTTTGTGGCGGGGCGCGCCTTTGCTCTCTGCACAGGTGTTCACACCTTGGCCAGAGATTAATTAGGAGTGGCTTAAGGACTCCAATCGGCGTGAAGCTGCCTGGTTTGAGAAGCAACGGCTTCGAGCAGCAGTCTCTTATAACAAAGTACGGGATATCATACACGTGCATTTTGGAGAACTGCGACCACGTGTGAAAACCCCAGCACCGGAAACGCAGTCAATGCAGAGTCAACGGGAGTGTGAGTGAGAACAACCTTAAACTCCCATCGCCCCCGACAACTAGAAAAGCTGGCTGGGGCTAATGGGAAATGGAGTCCAACAGAGCCACGATACCTTTGACCTGCACAGGCGGTTCTTGGTTCTTCTTGCACTGATCGTAAGGTAGCAGCACCTGCTCGCCCAGAGGGATCTAGTCCCCGAGATACGCCGCCCTGCGGTATCTCTTGTCCTCTGTGGGTGCCCCCCAAGAAAGGGGCGGACACGCCACCACCCCCCCATTCAGGCCGGGACCATGCTGCACTTTTGTGCCGCCATCATGGCTCTGCCTCTTCGTGGCAAAAGAATTGCGGTCTCTGCCCCGAGGCGCTGCCCGTCTGCATCCCAGCAGCAGAGCAGCGGCAGCTGCTGCTGAGGAGGCGGGCGGTGCTGGCTCAGGCGGGTCTGTGTGAAAGAAGGCGGGGAGGTGGCCCTCGCAGCCGCGCGGCCTCCTCCCGGGGCCCGTCGGCGGCTCGGGAGCCTCCCTTCCCTGGGAACCGATCCAAGGGAGCTTCGCTCCTGGCCGCGGGGGAGGCACTCTGCACGCGCTCAGGGCCCCTCACCGTCGCTCGGCGGAGGGCAGGGCCGGAGCAAGCGAGCGGCCGCCCAGCCAGTCCGACGAGCAGCAGCACGTGCTTCCCGCCTCAAGCCGCTTAAAGGGCCGCCCCGACGGCCGCGGCGCGCCGGATCCGCCTGCGCCCTGGCCGGGCTGCCGCTGCCACCGCCGAGCTGGGCGCCAGGATGCGGCTCCCGCCGGCCCCGATCCCCTTGCTCTTCCCCATGCTGCTGTTGCTGCTGCTGGCGGGAGAGCCCTGGGCCCGCCGGGCGTCGAGCCGCGCTGCCGCCTCCTGCCCGCAGCAGCAACAGCCGCCCCAGCAGCGCCGGCTCAGCGGGCGAGAGCGGCGCGAGATGCAGCGCGAAATCCTGGCTCTGCTGGGCCTGCCGGGCAGACCCCGGCCCCGGACGCGACCCTCCCCGACGGGCACCAAAGCCGCCGCCCGGCAGCAGCAGCAACGGCAGCCGCCCTCGGCCGCGCCGCTTTTCATGCTCGACCTGTACCGCGCGATGGCAAGCCAGGACGACGACGACGACGACGAGGAGGAGGGCAGCCCCTGGACGCCGAGCTGGGCGAGGAGTCCCCCGCGGAGCCGGGCCGCCGACGGCGCCGACACCGTCATGAGCTTCGTCAACCTGGGTGAGTGAGTGAGCAAGCGAGCGGGGAGGCCCTGCCTGCGCGGCTCCGACGGCACTGCGATCCGGCGCGGCGCTGCTCTCGAGGAACCTGCCATGGGAGAGCGGCCGCCCTCCGACGCCAGGGGCTGAGAGCCGAGCGGTGGGCGAGGCCGGGGTGGGTAGAGGGTGGTCTGCAACCGGGGACCACCGTGCGGACCAATAATAATAACTAAACCCCTGAATTTGGCTACTGGCGTGGAGAAATAAGCTTTTGTGTGTGTCAGGACGGCTGGCTCTTCTTGGGTGCTTCTGAATTCCTGGGCAGAGGTAGCCCATTTTCTGAATTACAATGCTGAGGTGGAGGTGGAGGTAAGGAACTGAACTATTATTTTGCTCCTGGATCCACCTGAGTTACCTTCGGGTTCTAGTCAAAAAAGCAAGTAGATCCTAGAAGCCGGAAGTCTGCCCATGCTTGGCCTCCTCTAGGGTGTGCAAAGGGCCAGGTGGAATTCAAGGTCTGCAGATTTTACGCTGTGCAAGCGGCAAACTGAGAATGAAGTAAATTTGCACCTTTTGGGAATGTGCATAGGATTGCAATCTTGGTGGCATGGTGGAGCCCCACAAAATGTCACGACACTTCATTCCCAGACCGACTTTGGGGAGGAAGCCATCTGTTGAAAGGGACGGATCCATGGGGTGGGAAAGCCCTTCACCCCAAGCAAGGCAGTCCACCCAGCAGTCTTTCCACCAGACCTGCATGGGGCGGGAGGGAGACTGACAGGGGCAACAAATCTCACCCTGAGAAGAGAAAGCAGACAGGGCAGCAAGGTGTTTTCAGGGGGTCCTAGGGGAAATTTAAGCCACTGACTGAGCACTGGGGTGAGGGAAAGCACCAAAGAAAGGAAGCAAACCTCCCCACCCTTCACGTGATTCAGGTCCCACCTTCCAAATGTGGGGTCAGCAGGAGTCACCTACTTCCAACAAATATTGCAGAAAAAATTGGAGGATGGGGAAAACGCACCTGTCGCACTCCATTGCCAAGAAGAGCAGGGCAGAAATGTGATCATTAACAACAACAACAACAACAACAACAACAACAACACCCTTGCTGTCCCAAGTTGGAACAATACAGTAAATGAAAGAAGCCCCCCATAGGCAGAGTTGGCCAACTTGAACAAAATATTGGGGGAGACAGGTAAGCCCCCCAACATAATCACATGATGTGGTGTATTCACACCCTTTGAATGGCAATACCCATCAACTTTGAAGGGGGTGCCCTGGCCCCCTCAAATATTTTATGGGGGTGAAGACCCCATAGCCCCTGGGAGTTGGCTCCTAGGAACATCAGAATTTCAAGCACGGGGGGGCAGAGATAGAGAGACTGCATGCATTTTTATACAAGCTGAAGTCTTCAAGAACTTCCCTACCACTTGATGGCATATCATTGTTTTGGCTTTGTTTTGGGGAGGCATATCAGTCTGGGTGGCAGAATTCCAACCTGTCTGTACTTTGAGGATTTTAGGACTAGTCCAGATTCACAATCCATCTTAGGGTGTAATGTTATTTGGCTGTTTGCAGCCCGGGGGGGGGGGGGGCAAACAGACGGTCCTAGAAGGACCACTGTGCAATCCATCCAGGAGCCAAAGGGGTCCTGTGGCCACCCTGTGCTACATCTTAGTACAGTACATTCAAATGATTCTCTCCCTCCAACTCCCTGTGTATAGACTAGCCTGGTGCTTTTTGCTGTTGTTTTTTGCATTCTGTTTTTTTATGGGGATGCTGAAGCATGCAGCCACATCAGGACCTGCATCCTGATAAGCTTGATGACTTAATTGTGCTGATTGCGCCCTGACCTGCCCTCATGCACATGGTGCCACTCTGTAACTTGCAGGTGGTGGTTTTTAGCAGTGAGTGACTGGTGGAGCCTGGGTGGGGGGTTCTCATGGTGAAATGTAGCACAACTGCCTTTTATCCCAACTAGGAAGAGCAATGTGGCCAAGCCAGAATGTGTTGGATGGAGAGCAGGGGACTCAAGGGCTTCTTTGCCACCTACTGCCAAGCATCCCTCTTGATGGGGGTCACTGCTCCATCAGCACTCGAGGGCAAGAGGGAGGAAAGTGGGGTGGATCAAGCATTGAGAGCCAAGGTGGGGCTTCCCCTCTGGCTGGACCAGGCTCGCAGCCTTGGAGCAAAGATTCCAAGGAGTCCCATTCCAGGAGGCAAGCAAAGAGGCACTGGAATCCTGTTGAGCCAGTTCTTGTGCCTCTGAACTGCTGACTTACTGAAACTTGGTTGTGTGAGCAGTATATGAAGCGGCTGTTCCTTAACCTGCATCCCTCATGTGATACTTCAATTTTGAGCTGGCCCTCTCCTGAGGGTACGCGGTAGGTAACAATTCAAGAACCGGTATGAAATAGATGCAATCAGATTGAAATGTCTAAGTTGGCCTGAAGGAAGCAGCCTTGAATGGCTTCCTTCCCTCCCAACCCTGTCCCATTACTAGTTTATGTGAGACACAATCCTCCCCACATTCATTGTCCAGCAGCACAGTCAATCCTGGGGGAAATCTGTGGGTGCTTCCAGATGGGCCTTTATTCTGGGATGGGGGATCCCTGCTCATTAAAGCTTTTTGCAGCATCCACACGAGGTGGTTGTTATTAAAATGTCAGCTTGCATTGCCACCCTATTTAAACCATTCAGCATTACATGTGAATGCTGCCCATAGTATTGCTTAAAGTGGCACAATCCTGGTCTAGCTTTGCCTATTCTGCCCCTGCTCTTGCCAAGCAGTGAGAAAAATAGGGTAATGATTAAAAGGCCCGCCTTGGGTGGCAGAACACAGGCTCTGATCCAGCTCTGGTCTTGCATTTGCACATATTAGCATTCCAAATACTGGAAGTGGGGGTTACATATTAGCATTCCAGATACGGGAAGTGGGGGTTACATATTAGCATTCCAGATACGGGAAGTGGGGGATACTTCTCTTCCTTCTCACTGCACCCCACAGCGGGAATCCCGCCCTGTAGCTGGTGCCAAATCCCCCAAGCAATACTAGGAAGCTAATTAAAGCACATATCCTAATTAGCTTTGAAGTGTGTGGGAAGAATCCACATAAGAGGCAGGTGACATTTGTAACTGTGGGAAAGGTTGATGGGGAAACATTGATGTGCCTTTCTGTGGGTTCTGGCAAAAAAAAAGGAGGGGAAGGAAGACAATGTGCCCTTTTAAATGTTTTTGGACTACAACACCCATCATTTCTGGCCAGTTGCCAAGATGGCAAGGGCTGATGGGAGTTGTAGTCCAGCAACATGGAGGGCACTAAGTTGCCTGCCCCTGTTTTAATGAGAGGGAGGTGGTGCAAGCTCCCAGAAGTGAGAGGTCTATTTTGGAGGGACTCTTGCGCTCATAAAGACTATTGTATGGAGGAGTTAGCCCAAATGCACAAAGGAGCTTGCTTTGTGCACAAAATGCACAAGAGGCACCAGCTTAGGCCTCCACAAGAAAATCTGCACAAATGGCTTAGAAGAGGAGTCCCACTCCCATCTGCCCCACCAAGCTCAGTTTTTCCTCAGCCAGCCTCCACCTGCCTACCTTCACACTTGCAACCTCTCCAGGTTTGTGGCACTGCCTGCCATGTCTCAGTGTTGCTCTTGCACAACTAAGGAAGGAAGAAAGAAGGGGACAGAAGTAGAGTCAGTTGGTTCTGCCTGCTGTTGGCTCTGGCACCACCTACTGTTGACCTCCCTGTCTTCCACTTTACCAGTTGCAGTGGGCACTAGCTGCCACTGCTAGCGAGCATGACCGTGTTGCCAACCCCTGACTTGGAAGCTTGCTGTGCATTTCCCCATGGAAAGCAGGGCAGCTTTGTGCCTACCTGCCTTTATAGTCCACCTAGTCCACTGGTGCACTTGGAGTGTTCAGAACCTCAGCCACTACCTGGATATATCCAGGTGCAGACTCCAACCTAGCTGTGAACTTTGTCTTCAAAAGGAGCACAACCCCATCCAGAACAGGTTGTACTCCCAATCGCCAGTTTGTCACCTCTGGCTTCCCCAGATTAAGTCTCACTTTGTTAGCCCACCACTTCAAGATCTCCACAGCTTCCTGTAAAAAGTACCTTTGGGAGACCCTGGATGACTGGAATTTGTCATGTAGGATGAATTGCATTTTAAAAAACAACAACCCAAACCCCTCAAACTCTACTATTCATCATTTAGCAAAAAAGGAAGCCACATCTACCCTTTTGCCAAGTTTGTGAGGTGATGCAGGTTTGTAGCAGTTTCTGAGACAACACAGGTTTAGGTCTTCCCACCAACTGGTGTTGCTTTGGCTATCAACACAGTGGCTTGTTCATCTGGGCAGAGTGCACAGAGGGCTGTAGCTCACTCCAGCAATACCAGCAGCATTACACTTTCATCATGCAAAAGGTCCCAGGTTCAATCACCAATGGCATCCAGATAGGGTTGGGAATGTCCCCTTTCTGAAACCCTTGAGAGCTGCTGCCAGTCAGTGTAGGCAATATGCCTGACTTGGTATAAGGCAGCTTCCAGTGTTTGGGAAGGGAATAAAACCACCCTCTTACCCGAGACCATTAATGAGATTGGTTCCCTGCTCATATATCACTTGCTGGTTTTTAGGGTTTGGAGTGCTTCGGGAACAAGTTGGTTGCTTCCCAACAGGCTCCTGCCAAAAGGTTTTAACACACCGCAATTTCACACTCTACGTGCTCTGGAAACGTAGGTTAATTTTCTTGATAACCATAATTAGTGGGTTTTATCTCTTCATGGCTTACAAACCAGCTATGCTCACCATTGAATGCTGCGGGGGGGGGGGGGAGCAAATTCTGATCACGGACTAGCAAAATATGTTGGCATAAACTTAAGTAACCGGGAAATAGAACCAACTTCAGCCTCATTTTGTTTGGCATAATTTGTTCCTGGTTTTTAAACATTCCAGAATTCTTGGAAGGGAAGGGGCCATAGAGAAAAGGATTGAAGAAGGAAGGAGAATGACACAGATATATTTTGGAGTTCTTTCATAGACACGAAACTTGCCCTTTCTTTTGTTTGGTGAAAGGCATTGTATATCTTGTGGTGCTGACGGCGTTTCAGAACAAAAATGTTAATAATTCTATACTACACCTCATTTCCATTGTTACACAACACCACTTAAATAGGCTCAGGTTTTTTTGTTGAGCAGATTCAAAGGGAAAAAAATACGCCGACATCAGACATTACCCGTTCTAATGAATTTCTCTATCTTTCATACTGTTTTTTTCTGTATGGTACAAATAAAAGATGCCAGCCTGTCCACGCCTGTTCAGTGCAGGGCGAGTTCATCTTTGGTAGCCTCCCAACAAGGAAACATATGGGAGGCCTCTTGCACCAGAGAAATTCTGAGGACGTTTTAAATTTAGGATTCTCGCTAGCCGCCCTGATTTCCAGCGGAAAGGGCAGCTGCATCGCGCTCCCTGCCTCAACCGCAAGAGCTTTGGACCAAATGCCAAGAGGAAACTGAGGTTGTCTTCTGGGAGTCGCTCGCTGTCCATGGCGACTATTTTTGGGCAACGCAGAAAGCTTGGGGGAGCCACCCAGTTTAATGGCTTGCTTATGTCCTAGGAATGACGGAGCTGGGCCTGCTGCCTGGGCCTTGCCTGGGCTCTTGGCAGCCTTGCCAATAAAGTCTTTGGGCACAATCTTGGGAATTTCACCTGCACAAGCACCCCCTCCATCCAGAAAAGAGTGGGAGTTTGCATCTGCTTCCTCGTGGCTGAATTTTGCAATTGGATAATCAGCGGTTGCTTCTGCTGCCATTGTGGGTGGAGCTGCAGCTGCCAATAATCTTCCTTCTGTCAAAGCAGTGCTGTTGCCTCCATAATTCAGCAGAGTTGTAATTTGAAAACAGCAGCAGACTCTTAAAAGGCCAGTGAGACTGCCTAAAAACTGTGGCTATTTCTCCAACTTCCAGGAATTTAATATCAATCTATCTAAATGGATATTAATGTTTAGTGCTCTTTCTCTAGAAAAAGAGGTGCCGAAACTCACCGTGAACGCCTCTCTTGTTCTCTTATAAAGGCAATAGTGCCCACCTGAGAGGTGCCGGAACTGAGTTCCAGTAAGTTCTGGCTCGAAAAAAGCCCTGTTAGTGTTCTGTATTATATATTTAATATATAATATCTAAAATATATCTGTTTCCCAGACAGCAGCACAAGAAAAGAGCAGTGGCATGCAGTCCTGGCATCAGCACCTGGGCTAGTTTGGGCATTCCTGGACAGGTGCTGCTCACTGTAGTGTGTGTGTGTGTGTGTGTGTATGTATGGGCAGATAGGCATGTACGCAGTTACAGGTGCTTGGTTTTTTGGGGGTTTTTTTGTTCTTTAAAGTACAGTATCCTTTCCTACAACAAAATGATGCTTATTCCCAAGTAAATGTCTTTAGCACCAGGCCACTCTACTTTTTTGAAGCAAGCTCTACTTTATTCCTCTAGCCATTGTGGTGCTATGATTTAAATGACTTAATTTAAATGCATTTAATGATTTAAATGCAAATCTGCCCATACTCAAGAGTTCTTCTTCTTTAAAAAAAAATCGGGGCTGATGAATTTTTCTTCTTCTTGTTTTTCTTTTTGCTTTGATGTACCAGGAAGGTAGAAGCAATTGTTCTGTGGTGTGTGTGTGTGTGTGTGTGTGTGTGTGTGTGTTAACAGTGTGATTTTCAAGTAACATGCAGGGTCGGTTAAAGCCATTAAGTCCAAATTCACCTATTTGTACCACTGGCTGAACCCTTCTTCCTTGCAGGGTCCAAACTCCTGCCAAGCTGTTCTACAGCTTCCCCCCACCAGTGGAAGACTTTGGGCTCTCAAATTTAGCAGCACCCTGTGCAATGCTAAAATTCGGGGAGGGGGGCTCACGCTTCATTCTACATCTTGTTCAAACCAGTTGTCCTATCCTAAAACCACCTCTGCCCCCACCCCCCTGGTTGTAGGAATACAGGAAGTTGCCTTAGACCGTGTCAGACCAATGGTCCATTGAGCACAGTATTCTCTACACTGTCTGGCAATGACTCTCACGGCTTTCAGGAATGAGGTTCCCAGCCCTACCTGGAGACAGGCCTTCTCAGAGGTCCAGAGGGACCCAGGCCACTTCTGAGGCACCAGCCATAATAAAAATGAAAAACTACAACACACAAATAAAGCACGTAGAAAAAAGAATGAGACATAATCTGAATGTTTTTAACATTTAACAGATGCTTTCCTAGCCTTTTTCTGTGCACATGCACTAACTATTGAGGGGGGAATCCCGTTTTCATGCAGTAGTGCTGCTGATATTAAGCCCATTCAAACACTTTTGCCCCATAGCTGAATGGGGATAGTTGTTTACCTGCTTCAACATGTTGAAACATTTTGGCCTGATGTACAAAGAAACAACTTGTGAAAGTTATCCAATGCTAAAAGCTTAACAAGCTGCTGGATTGGAGCCCCGCTTTGAGATGGAGGCCCAGGTTAAACCTCTCTCCAACTTCAGTTGAACCTGGGGACTTTTGCTCTGCCCCTGAGCTGCAGTGCTTCTTATCCGGCTCATCTCCCCGCTCAGTAGTTGGAACCCTTAAACAATTAAGCCTTTGAGGGAGGTCTTGACTTTGGCATGCAATTTTAAGGTTCACATTCCACAGAGGGCTGGCATTTTGTTCACTCAGCAGGGACAGGGCAGAAGCTCCCAAGTATGACAGTGATGGCCTCCCTAGTTCTTTATCCTGGCATTTGGAGGCAGACTGCCTCACACCATGGAGATCCCATGCAGCTTTCGTAGTCTTCCAGTTTATGAATTTGTGGTGCACTTGGGTCATTTTGCACTCTGGTTTATTGCAGCCTCCCCCTTTAGATGGTCCTGCATATTACTTCATAGTGTGGCAAGCCAGTGCTTCTGCTTTTGAGGCCACAAGTATCCACCACCACGTCTTGTGGCTGTGAATTCTGCATTATTTTCCCCTTTAAGAGGCCAACTGAGGTTCCCTCTGTTGTTTCCACCCCACCCCCTGCCACTGCCAAGACTCCCTTGTGGCAGGCTGCTCCTTCCTCCCCCCCCCCCATTTTCTGACTGTTGCAATGGCAAGGAGTGGTACCAGACTATATTTGAAATAAACGGTGAACAGCCCAGAACAAAGTAGTGCAGCTTTTGAATTAAACCCACCTGCTGCTTCATCCTTTAAAGTTAAGAGGGCTCCACCTCAGAGGCTCCCAGGCAGGCAGCTGCCAGTTGGGGTGGGAAGCCAGGCCCGATGTCTACAGCAGGTGCTCTTTCTGCTCCTGGTTCTTTCAAAGCCTGAGGCTGGCTAGAGTGACTTCTCTCATACCCACAGCTGAAGGGTCTCCTGGGAGAGCATAGTGGGTGTTTGGCAAGCTGGCAGGCAACATGGTTGCCTCTCAGAGACAGTGTAATTGCTGGCTGGTGGTCTTCAGCTGCGCTTCAGCTGGATTTGGTCTGGCCTCTTGTTTTTGCACATAAGGCAGCGGAACAAACCTCAGTGCAGATAGCAGAGGATTATGGTTGCACTGATTAAGTGGGAAAAGATTCTTCCTACCCACAAGAGAGAAAACTCTGCCCATATTCTCCACATAATGGCACACAGGAAGCTTTTTTTCATTCAAATGCCAATACTGGCAACTCCTAACTTCCTTGGGATCCAGGCCTTGAAGGAAGCCGAGAAGATTTTTAAATTTCTGGAGACCAGCATGAAGAACGAGGGAGGATGGGAAGTCAGGGGCAGCCACTGTGGTGTCCTCCAGACCTTGTTGGACTCTCAACACCCATCAGCCCCGGCCAGCTTGGCCAGTGGTCAGAGATGAGGGAAGCTTGGTTGCCAAGAACATCTGGAGGGCACCACGTTGGCATTCCCTAAGCTAAGGAGGCGCGTTCAGCTGTCTGGGTTTTTTCCTGTACCACGTATGGAATTTTTGATGCTTGTTTTTTTGTTTGTTTAGATTAATAAGGGTGAGCTGGAAAGCATGTGGGAAATGTGTGGTAAGAGGTTGGAAGCCAAAGGAATGGTATTCAGTGGTCTAGTGCTGGGGGCGTCCCAGCGCTGCTATGAGAAGAAACCATGCAGGAAATAAACTGAGCTGTGGAATGATAGAAAACTTGCTTAACCTGTGTCATGAATATCCCTAAGGCCACTGGCCAAAGACATTTTGCTGTTTATGGGCGAGGGGCAAGATGGTGCCTCCTCACCTGCCACCACTGGCAATGGGATCCTTAACCGCGGGGGTAGTGGTGTGGGACACCACATCCTCCACTGTCTTCAACTGAGGAGGCACAGAGCAAGCCCATCCACTTTCTTTCTTTCTTTTTTTTTTTTTAAATGATATTTATTAAAAGTTTAAAAATTACAGAAAAAAGGGGGGGGGGAAATAACAATAAAAAAGAACAATAACAAAACATATAAAACATATAAAAGCCATACAACAATACAGCAAAAAAGAAAAACAAAAAAGAAACTAAAACACACACCCAGTATTCCATATCTTTACCTTTCCTTTACTTGTTTCATCGACCTCCTCACACCTCCCTTTTTTTGTATTCTAGTTCAATTCACTATTTCAGCAAGTTCTTCCCATCTTTCTCAATTTTTATTCCATAATTTATCTTAACAGTCTAACCTTGAATTTTTTCAATTTAACCCATTATCAATCAGCTTTTACTTAATTCTTTGTTGCATTTCTACTAAAACCATGTAAGTTCATTCCCACATCCTTCTAACACTCATTAATTTTACAATGTTTCTGTAAGTATACTTTAAATTTTTTCCAATCTTCTTCCACCGACTCTTCTCCCTGGTCTCGAATTCTGCCAGTCATTTCCGCCAGTTCCATGTAGTCCATCAGCTTCATCTGCCATTCTTCCCTGGTGGGTAGATCTTGTGTCTTCCAATACTTTGCAATGAGTATTCTTGCTGCTGTTGTAGCATACATAAAGAAAGTTCTATCTTTCTTTGGCACCAATTGGCCGACCATGCCCAGGAGAAAGGCCTCTGGTTTCTTCAGGAAGGTATATTTATATACCTTTTTCATTTCATTATAGATCATCTCCCAGAATGCCTTAATCTTTGGGCATGTCCACCAAAGGTGAAAGAATGTACCTGCAGTTTCATTACATTTCCAACATTTATTATCGGGCAAATGATAGATTTTTGTAAGCTTGACTGGTGTTATGTACCACCTATAAATCATTTTCATTAAATTCTCTTTTAAGGCATTGCATGCCATAAACCTCATGCCATCCACTTTCCACACTTCAGCATCTGTCGCCTGAGGCGACTGCCCCATTCTGCCTTATGATAGGGTTGACCCTGAATATTGGAAAGCAAGAGAGGCCCTTTACAGGAAGAGAAGTTCAGGTCAAGAAGCCTCTTCTTTTCTATGTCTGCTCTTGGGAAGATGGGCAGCTCATCATGGGGGGGCCAGATACATCTTTGTGTATGTACCTCAAAGTACCTGTTAAGTCACAGGGGGAGAGCAAGAGAGATGGTTTCTGCCCATGAAAGTCTGGTTGTGTAGTGTAAGCAGCTTATATAAGGCTGGGGGGCTGAAGTGTTCCACACTCTCCCTTCCAGACAAAGTCTTGCATTCGGCTTATTTTTTTGGCATGGATTCTGATAGATAGAGTTCTTTCTGCATCTCATTCGAATATATTTTAAGACTTCAGATTCTTTTTGTGGTTCGGTGTGCCAGAATTTCCTTTTAATTTAGTGTCCGAAAAAGGCACATGGACCACTCTGAGGCAGCAGAGACTAGTATAATTACAGTGGAGGTGTAATTTATAGAATAAAATGACACTGACACACACACACACACACACACACACACACACACACACACACACAGCTGAAGCTAAAAATACCTTGAAACTGGCAGGGGTGTAAAAGACGTCCTGTGTGCAGACCTGCAGAGATTTTTTTATGGGGCACGCTGGAAGATGTAGAAAATAAATATACTGGAATTATCTGCAGAAATGGAAAAGGTGCTGGAAGGGATGGAGTTTTGTTTGCGTTTTAATGAGAAACTACCTAGTTTGCACTTCTCAAACCTATATATGAACTGAAATACAATTAGCTTTCAAAATTAATACTTGGTCAGGAGCTGATGCTGTTGTGGAGAAGCTTTTAGTTCAAATCTACCCTTAGCCATGAAGCCCTGGTTTTGGGCCAGGCTCCTCACAGGGCTGTTGTGAGGACAAAAAAAGGGTGCTGCCCTTGGAGATACAGTGGGGCACAAATATGAGATGATATTAAAAGCACACTTAAATAGAGCTGCTGAGAGGGGGAGTTTCCACTGAGAAATCAGTGCCTATCTGCTCCCCACCCTGCATTCCCCAATTGCACTGCAGACAATGGTGGGGCACAGAGCAAAGTCACCCAGGGATCTCTTAAGAGGTGGGCCATCATTGGGGAGGAGCAGGTAGTCCTTTAGATACCCTGAAATCAATGTATATGGGGCAGCCTTCCCCAGCCTGGTGCCCTCAAGGTATTTTGAACTACAACTTAAGGTTACCAGATGTCCCCGTTTCCCATGGACAGTCTCCAGATTTACAAATCAGTCCCTTGACAAAATCCATCTATTGGAAGTTGAAAAGTGTCCCCGGATTCATTGAAAAAAATCTGGTAACCTTACTACAACTCCCATCAGCCTCAGCATTCTACAGTTGTGCTGGTTGGGGCTGGTGGGTGTTGCCTGGAACATCTGTAGGGTACCAGGTATAGGACTTTAAAGGTGACAGCCAGCTGTTAGAGTGGGCTTGGAACCAAACTGAGAGCCGATTTAGATGACAAAGGAGTCACATACTCTGAGTAGCAAGCTCCTGTCAGCATCCCGAGAGCTCCATTCTGCATCAGACATTAAAAAAAACCACCCACGTTATTAGGCCAACCAAAATATCACAGAAAGAGCAGGCAATCTTTTGAATTGTTCAGAGCTCAACATCCGGCCAGATAGTAAACAAAGCAAGTGGGGGAGAACATCTTAGCTGATAGTAACAAAAGAATTTGCTTTCTTTAGCATCCAGCCTAATGAAGAGCTCTGGGGAACTTGAAACTAGGTGTAGTCCTAATATAGATCTGAGTTTTTTGTCTGGACCAACACGGCTAACCTTTTTTCTTTTTCTTCTGTGCCAGCTGCAGCTTCTGAACATTCTTCCAAGGCAGCCGCACCTAGGGTGCAGTGTGGTGGTCCAGCACATGAGAGCCCGGCTGTGCCCAGGCTCAAACTGAACCATGATGAAAGCCTGTGGATGCTCCCACTCCCCACCCCCAAGCTCACAACAGGACAGCAAAATGTGTTTGTGCTTGAGCAACACAGGAGGGGAGAGTGCTCCTGTGCTCAAATCCTGCTTGCAGGTTTCCCCACAGGCATCTGGTTGACCATTGCAAGAACAGAATGCCAGTAGATCTTGGCTTGATCCAGCTGCAGGCTCTCCTTATGTTCTCGTTGAAACACCCTCAGCAATCCCAAAATGTTTTGGCTGCTTCCTTTGCCTGTGGTGAGTTCTGCCTCCTCCTCCTCCTCCTCCTCTCCTTCAGTGGCAGCAGAGTTGCCCATCCCTCTTTGCCAGGCCCAGACCTCTGGCCAGGAAGAGCTCTGTGTCCGCATCCGCCCAGGGTCGGGCACCCTGCCAGAGTCGCCTTTATTTTCTTTAAAAACAAAGTGAGGAGTTTGTGGTGAACCCAGTAGCTGGAAGGAATGACTTTTAAAAGACGGAGATGCATAATTAAAATCTCAGCATTCTGTTTGGGAGAAGGGCCCTCCGTCGCTCACTCCCCTTATGTAAACATCCAGCCTGACATGATGATCAGAGTTAACAAAAGAGAGTGGAAAATATGAAGCAAACACAAAAGCAATTAACATGCCAAATAACATCAAGCTGTGTTTTCTGTAGCCTCAAACTATTTTGATTTCATTATTAAAGGACACAGTCCTAGGACTTTCCATCTAGCATGGTTTTATTAGCAAATGATTTAGAGAAAGATAGCAATGGCTAGAAGCTAGGAATTGGTACCGTGTCTGTAGAGTACACAGCATCAGAGTTTTGGTGCTGCCAGAGCATGGACCTGCCTCTCCTGTGCCTCAGTAGTACCACACAAGGGTCTCTCTGCCATGCTGGAATGGGTTCAGAGTTACCTTATAAGAAAACTATAAGTCATATCCATTTTACTACATTTTAAAAGCACCTCAAAACATATGCAGGTGCAAACAGCATTGGAAGTGGGTTTGCATGTAGCTGCTCCAATATCATCATGAGCATAAATCAACAGTGTCCAATGCAAAGGATGCCTACAGGGGTCTCAAAATTTCCATTTGTAAAGGCAGGGCTAGGTGGGATGTCCTTGGTCACCAGATGGATTAACCTTCAGCTGCAGGTGTTGGTGTCAGTGTAGGCTCTGTTCTCCCTCTCAATGTTCCTTGGTTGTCTTTCAAAGCATCCAGTGTCTTAGGTTGGTGACTTTTGAGGGCTGCTTCCAGATGGGTGTTTATTGTGGGATGGGTGCATCGTGCATGCCATCTTTTTGCAGCACCCACATGGCATGGTTGGCATCAAAATGTCAGCCCATAATCCAGATATCCCCTTTCCATGGAAAATTCAAAGAGTTTTTAGAAACCTGTTGCCAAGGATCTGTTTGGCACATAACCAGGGCCCATTTGCAAATTAAGCCTTCATGGAGACGCCCAGAGTGTTTCAGAGCAGCAGCAAGCGATTATCAGGATCCCCCAGTGTAGATGAATAATTGTCATCATCAAGCATCCCTGAAAGGCAGTCCTGAGAGAGCGAGAGTGTACGCACGCACGCACGCACACACGTTTGTTTGTTTGTTTGTTTGTACGTTTGTACGTTCTTCTCTTTCACATTCCAACCATGAGAAGCTTATGGGGTATGGCCCTCCCCCAGGCTTGGTTTCCTTGAGGAAAGCAGCCACTGGAGCCTTAGGGTGTTTTGTAATATTTGTGGTTATTTACAAAGGCACAGATGGGATATCGATGGAGACGCAGCTTAAACTCTCCAACAACAGACAGCAAAAGTCCACTAGGACCCAAGTACCTACGGGACCGCCTCTCCTGATATGCCCCATGGAGGACCTTAAGGTTAGATTGGTCTCAACTAGGACCAAGGCCTTTTCAGTACTGGCCCCGACTTGGTGGAATGCTCTGTCACAAGAGACTAGGGCCCTGCGGGACCTGACATCTTTCCTCAGGGCCTGCAAGACAGAGCTGTTCCGCTTGGCCTTTGGTTTGGACTCAGTCTGACCCTTATGTTTCCCTCCCCTTATGGTTTTGATTTATGGGCTACTTTTAAAATGAGGCTGCATTTTAGATTGCATTTTAACCTGTATTTAAAATTAGGGGTTTTCCCCCCCATTAGGTTTTTTACTGTAATTTTACTGATGTTAGCCGCCCTGAGCCCAGCTCTGGCCGGGGAGGGCGGGGTATAAATACATTTTATTATTAGTATTATTATTATTATTACTACTAGTTCCACATCAGATAAATCAGTGAAATAAAGTAGGAGGAGAATAGTGCTTGAATGTACATTAAAAGATAAAAATATTTGCCTAGCCAGTTTTAGTGGGTCAAAGTGCATTGGGATGTGAAGATGTATGCTCTTAACCCTTTGCTTTTAAAAACAAGCACATGATTGCTTTAAGTGATAAATCCCAGAGAAGTTATTGTCTACGTTCTTCCCCTCACAACCCTCCATCCTGCCCTGGCAGTTGTTTAGGAAGAAGCATTTCTAGGAAAAGGGGTTCCCCTCCCCTTTCATTGCAGAGTGCCTCAAAGCTAAATAACGTCTCTATTAAACTCCCATAATCCTGTAAACAGATGGGAAAGAACATGTGGGTTTGGTTTAGGTTTGTTTTCAGTGTTTGCAAAGTACTAATGAACTTCATTTACAATCCCCAAGGTGAGAAATGTTCTCTGGGTGCCTGGCCTGCAGGCACCATTAGTGGCGTAACAGCATTTTTTGGAATGTGCAGAAGACAGGTCTCAGCCTGAAAATAAAGGGCAGATTAAAGTAAAGAGTGCATCTGAGCACATGAAGGTTGCCTTTCCTTTTAATAATCATCATGAGCTACACATACACACCACACACCACACACCCCATGGGGTAAAGGTATCTAACCTTCTATTCTGGCTTGACCCTCAGAACTTCTGTTTTCAGACATTGCCCATGAGTGCAAAAACAGTGTTTTTACATGCTCCTGTGCTTTATAATATGGTCACATTCTTAGATGCAGGGGTGGTAGTCTGGGAGCACACAAAGCTTTTGAGACTGGTGTCTCCTCACCCCCTGAACAAATATAAAATTGAATCCATCCAACTATCACTGCGTTTGCTTGCTTTAATGCCACCCTTCAATTAAAAAGTCCCAGGGCAATTTATAGTAGGTTACAAAAAGGCAGCAAAATGACATTAAAGCGATGTTGCCAAGAGGAAAGGGCAGCACGGAAAACAATCAGAGCAGAGATGTTAAATGATCAGAGATTAAAAGCCAGGAGAACTAAAAACGTAGTTGCCAAGTGCCTAAAAATACGGCCAGCCCAATATGTTTTGCTGCCTGAGGCAGACAAGATGCCTCCTCCACTTCACCCCCTGGACTAGCAGCTGAATCTTATTTCAACACTAGCTGTAAGGCAGAGACCTCTATCTCATATGGCTAGCTTAGGGGTTGCCAGGTAAGCAGTGTGGTACATGCACAGGTGAGCCCTGTCCTCCAACATCTCCTTGCTCCCTGTTCATCACATTGCTTGGCCAGACATGTGCCGTGGGAACAAACCAGCAATGCATTCACGTACATGGGGCCAGCTGGAGAGTATGGCCTGTGCTGGCTGCCTCTCTGCCTGCTCACTTGGCCAGGGGCCTTTCCCAGCACTGCCATGTATGACATGGGAGTGGAAGATGATCAGGCTAGCCCAACCAGGTCCACATCCCCACCAGGAGGACAACTCAAGAGGAATAGCTGGGAATGGTTGGGCCTGGAGAAAGTGGGTGGAGAGAAGTTCTTCTCCCTCTCCCAAAACTCTAGAACTCGTGGCCATCCAATGAATCTGAATGTTGGAAGATAAAAGAAAGGACTTCTTCATGCAGCACATGGTTAAACTGTTGAACTTGCTCCCACAGGAGGCAGTGATGGCCAACAACTTGGATGGCTTTAAAAGAGAACTGGACAAATTCACAGGGGAGAGGGCTATCAATAGCTATGCTCCGCATCAGCAGTCAAAGGTAGCAATGCTTCTGAATGCCAGTTCCTCGAAACTAGAGGAGGGGAGAGGGCTTTTGCATTCAGGTTGTGCTTTGGGGCTTCCTGTTGGGTCATCTGATTGGTGCAAAGGACACCTTTTGGATGATAGCAGAAGGCGGCAAACGCTTTGCTCAGGTGCCAGACCTGCTTCCCGGTTTGAGAGTTTCTGTCAGTGTAGCTGAGATGGCTAGAAAAATGGCAAAACAAGGAAAGGATAAAGTGTGTGTGTGTGGCTGGCTTAAGCAGACAGCTCCTAAACTTGAAGATGTTTGTCAGACTTGGAAATAAAAACAAACACAAGCAGTCCAACCCCCATCAAGTTCTCTCTGCCTCGGTTCCCTTAATTGGGAAGGGAAGTATTCCTTTGGAAACCGCAGCCCACCCTAACCTCTCCTGGCACGTCACAGACAGTCAAGCCCTTTTCACACACCAAAAAGGGGGGAGGAAAGCAGCTGTTTTCTCCCAGCTAACCGCCAGGCCTCTGCACTGCTACTTAACAACCACTAAATTCCAGGATGCTAGAGTGCCTCCCCCAACCTGCTGCTCTCCAGATGTTTATCTGGGGAGCATCAGGTTGGCGAAGGATGCCCTATGGAACGCTTGAGTGCAGTTCTCTCCTAATTCTCCTGACCGCCGAACTGCTATGAACTGAAATCAAGAAAGGTACTGGGGGATCTTACTAGTGTGGCCTGAGAGATGGCTTTCAGAGGTCTTCTTTGAAAATAAAGACGGTCGATGGCATTTGTTCTTGTACATCCCTTGTTCCTCTTGCCAGGTTTTAAGAGCCAGTTTCATGGGTGTAGCCAAGGGGAGGGGCAGGGGGGCAGCTGCCCCCCCAATCAATAAAAATAAATAAAAATACATAGCTAACAGGTTCTGTCCCCCCAAAAGGCCTGCCCCCCTAACAAAAATCCTGGCTTCGCCCAGGGCCAGTTTTATTCTGTTACTCCTATAGCGTGTGTTATAGATTAAGAGCTTGCAACCAAAGGAGATTCTGCCATTATTTTATTTTATTATTTTAACGCTGCATCTCTCCAGCTGTATCTATCTGTCTTTTACCATATGAGGACTGTGCTTCTAAGCCATGGAAGAACTGTGAGACATATTGATTAGTCAGGAGGGGAAATTCCCTGTGAAAAATGTGACCCATAACTTCATGATGCTTTACCTCCCTCCTTAGGAGGAGGACATGTGTTTTATGTTACATAGATTGACTCAGATCCATTGCCTTTGCCACCCCTCAGCCCTCAGTCAACAAAGTTTTCAGAAGGCATTTTCTCCTGGCAGATTGGGTGTGTGCTAAACTTGAATGTATTTTAAACTCAGTAAATAGAGCCAGAGCTGTGTAGTGGTTAGAGTGTTGGGCTAGGACCTGGGAGATGGAAGTGGAAAGCCCTACTTACCTGTGAAGCTCACTGGGTAACCTCGGGCCAGTCACAGTCTCTCACCCTCACAGGGCTGTTGTGAGGATAAAGTGGGGAGGGGAACAACCACCTTTAGCTCCTTTGGGGGGAAGGTGAAATAGAAATGTAGTAAATAAATAAGATTGGAGTAATGTGAAGTGAAGGCTAAAGTGCATTCCAAGCATAGCAAAAGGACAGCATCAAACTGTGTAGTGAAAATTAATAAAATAAATAACCTCCATTTTTTTAGTTAACTGATATTTTATTTGGCTATTTTATTAAGATTTTACTGGTGTTTAGCATTCTGGTCTTTTAAATGATCATTGCATTGATTTGTCTTTAAATGTATACAACACTGTGATAACTATGGTGGCTTGCTTACTATGGTGGCTTGCTTGGTGCCATCATATATCTTTAGGCATCATGCAAAAACCTTCCTTTATAACCAAACCTTTATCCTTTAGCTATCTGTGGCCTTTTAGAAGTGGGTGGGATATTTTTAATGTATTTCTTTCTGCTCTTCGTTTTAATGTATCTACGTGGGGTTTTTTGTCTGTCCTCAGTTGTAAGTCACTTTGGGTTGCACCGGGCAAGTTAAAGCGACTTAATTCAGTAAACAACAACAATAGAGAATGTGACTTAAAGATGTCCCAATAATCCACGTGTTGGGGGGGGTGCATCTGTGTGTGTGTAATCATGTCCCAATTCTTTCCAGTTGAGCTAGATTGGGACATCTTCCACCAGAAGCCTTATTGGAAGGAATTCAGGTTCGACTTGACACAGATCCCAACAGGGGAGTCTGTAACAGCGGCTGAATTCCGAATTTACAAGATGCAAAGCTTCAGTTGGCATGTCAACAAAACCCTTCACGTCAGCATATATGAGATTGTCCAAGAACATTCTAACAGGTACAGTAAGAGCAAACCCACTTCTGACCCAGAACACACAACTGTCAAACCATGGGGACTAATAACTGTTCGACATTACAATCCCATTGGAGCAGGAGTAGGGAACTGCTTGTAGCCCAAGGGCTGAATTAAAACCCAGCCAAAACATTTGCTGAGTCCCAGGTAGGGTAAGGTATTTGTGGGTATGGCATTTTTTAAAAAAGCCAAGCCAAATCAAAGAACAAACATTCTCCCAAACACCAATTCCATTGCAAAAGTTTCATCATGAGCCTCACAGAACATATTGGAAATTAATGCAGTAGAAAAAAGCTCATATCCAATTGCAGACTCCCATCAGATACAGCAAAGTGATGATCTGAGGAGCTGGGAGATGGAAGGAGGAGCAGGAAAGCAGTTTCTGGATGCTGCAAGCTGAAGGTGGATAGCATTTCAGGCTCATAGCAGCATCCTTAGAGGCAGATGCTTCCTCTTGCTTCCTGGATAAGAAGAGAGCAGCTCAGCAATTTTATGCCTTAGTCAAGTTGGGAAGCAGTTCTCAAGCCATGCCTTGCATGGCAGCATATGTGGAAAGTTGTAGAAAGTCTGGCTTTGCAAAAAAAAAATGCCCCAAAATTGCCACAGTTGCTGGGATTGGCATAGGATGATGTCACATGTTGGTTGCCCCAAATGGCCTTGTGGGCTAAATGAGAAGGCCTGGTGAGCCTAACTAGATGCACAGGGCCAAAGTCCCCCTCGGCTGCACTTAGAGGCAGTATCCCACAGGAAGAACTCCTACACCACGTTTGACTGCAAGTAACAACGTTCTAGTGAGAGTCATACAGGAGACATTCCCTATGGGTTAGGAACATAGACAGCTGCCTTACTCAGTGCCAGATCATTGGTTCATCTAGCTCAGCAGCGACTTTCCAGGAGATGCTGGGAATTGAACCTGGGAACTTCTGCATGCAATGCAGATATTCTACCACTGAGCTACATTCCTTCTTTCAAATATATACAGTCATTTTTACACAATAGGAAGTTCATTTACACCAAGTCAGATCATTGGTCCATCTCTCAGTAATGTCTACACAGACAGGCAGGTTTTCAGAAAGGTGACATTTCCACCCCTGCCGGGAGATGCCAGGGATTGAGCCTGGGATCTACTGCATGTAAAGCAGATGCTTGACCACTAAGCTACAGCCTTGCCCAGTATTCTCGGGTCATTCCAATTATTTTAAAATTTACACATACTGATGCCAGGCTCGGGATGCAAAAAGGTTTACTAGGTAGGGAGAATCCCCTGTGAAACATAGGTAGTAATTTTTAAATAAATGCACCTACACTACAAGTGCACCATGCATACAATTATTAAGTGAACAAATGCAGAAAATAAGAAGTAACTGCTGCAAAGAAAATTTCCTTGTCAAAACACTGTAAAATCTTGGGGAAGCCCGATAGTAGCTTTCGCCAACCTAGTACCCTCCAGATTCCATCAGCCCCCAGATAACACATTCAGATGATGCTGGGTCTGATGGGAGTTGTACCCTAAGTCTTCCGGGGGCGGGGCACTAAATTGGGGAAGGCTGCCTTGTATCACAGTGGTGTTGTTTATTTTTAAAAAGCCAAGCATTTTTTACTCCGAGCAGTTGTGCTTATACTTGCTTTCTGCTACTCCAGGGACTCAGACCTGCTTCTCTTGGACCTCCAGGATATCCTGGCTGGGACAGAGGGCTGGCTGGTGTTCGATGTCGCAGCTGCAAGTAATCACTGGCTGTTACACCGCAAATACAACTTGGGCTTGAGGCTCTATGTGGAGACAGAGGACGGTAAGGCTAATGGGATTTTTGATTGATTTATTTTTTTTGCAGTTTTTAGGAATCCCGTTTTGTGGTAAGAGTTGTTGTTATGTTGGCTGTAGAGAACAAGAGGAGCAAACTTGATAAGGTGGTATTGCATATGGAACCACCTTCTGTTCACGTACGGCTTATTTATTTATATTAAAAAATTGTATTGCTCCATAGCATAAAAAATAACAAATAGGTTTACAAAAGTATCCATATATCCAAAAGGCAGCAGCCAGATTACTGGCTGGGGTTCCATTTAGATCTCATATAGCCCCCGTTATATGAAAAGAAAAGAAACACTACTTACCAAGCAGCCTAAGCAGCAAAACTCTAGGAAGAAAGAGCAGCTGGCAGGGCAATAATATGAGACATTTGGAAAGCCTTGAGCACCCTTTGGTGGAAAGGCAGAATACAAATTTCAACAGGCAAATAAGATTAAATGTGTAGTCTGATACATATCAAAGTTGGAAAGGCCTCAAAAAATGGAAGCTAACTTTTCAAGGAAGGTAAAGCACATTATGACTATAATCTGATTTCCATCTAGTCATTGAAAACTTGCAAATGCCATTTGCTAACAGCCAAGGAAAGCACCAGAGTCTCTGTGTGCCTGTTCTCCCTTTCTCCCTCTTCAGGATTCTTGTCCTCCCTAGTGGGGTGCCCTGGGCAATGACCCCTAAACAGATTAACACCCCTACCTATTAATCTGATGTACAGCAGTATTAACATAGTGGAAAGGGTTTGTTTTTTGGATTCTGCAGGACAGAGTGTTGATCCTGGATCAGCTGGCTTCTTGGGTCGCCGCGGACCACGCTCCAAGCAGCCCTTTGTGGTGACATTTTTCCGGGCAAGCCAAAAGCAAGTCAGAGTCCCGCGTGCAGCCAAGCACCTGAGGAAGAGGCAGCACAAGAAGAACCACAGCTTCCCGCACTCAAACAGGCTCCCAGGAGCATTTGGTAAGGAGCAGAAGGGCTGGAGAAGCAGTTAGGGAATCGGCTTAGTGAAGGACAATCAGACTTTGCCCCCAGGCTGGGCCACAGAGGGTCATTTGTTCTGTCACTCAGGCACATGCAGCCCAAGCATGGACTCAGAAGCAGGCTACTGCACCAGGCATCCAACAGGCCCTTCAGTGCTGCGAGGTGACTGGCAGGCTGCTAGCAACAAGAGACCTAGGATGCTTCCACCTGGAAGTTTATTGTGGACTTGGGTCTTAAGAAATGGGGAATCAGCCATTGCTTCTTCACCCCAGAATCCTAGGTTGTAAATTGATGCCTGCCAGCACTTGGCAGAGACCAATTCCGTCTGTGCCCAGCCTCCGTCTTTGGAATGAATCTAGATGCAGAGTTCAGGGCTTTCCAGGCTGATTTTTTATTCCACCCCCTGTGACACACATAACTTTCTGTAGCACCTAGGAAGAGATCCGGAGAATTCTGTTGTGGCTTTTGGGTTGGTCCTAATAAAGGCACTGCCCAGCACTGGCTAGTGAAATATAAACCACGCCAAGTTAAAGCTAATGATAAAAACGACAAGAAAGATCCCGATGCAACCAAGTGCCAAGGAGAAAAGCAATTGGCTTGAAGCATAAAAACATAAGCAGACCTCTGCTGGATCAGGCCAATGGCTCCTTTCATCCAGCATCCTGTTCTCTTGGTGGCCAACCAGATGACCCAGTGGGAAACCCCTAAGCAGGACCCGAGCACAAGAGCCCTCTCCCCTCCTGCAGTTTCCAGCAACTATATTCAGAAGCATTGTTGTCTCCAGCTGTGGAGGCAGAGCACAGAGATCATGGCTAATAGCCCTTTCTGAACAGCCTCAAGGTGGGCACCAATACAGAGAATGGCCAAGTCCCCTTGGCATCAGCTGTGCCCCTCAGGCCACACCCCTAATTCAAATCCCCCCCCCCCGAACCACTATTAGCGGCTGGTGGAGGGGAACCTGCAGGCATCCATTGTGCTGTTACCTGTAGCGGGGGCAGTTTTGATCATCAGGGTGATGGTGTGGAAATAGAGGTCCTGGTCCTGGTCCACTTTACCCACCCACCCCACGAACAGTTGCTTTAATAATGGTAGTAATGTTGAAAAAGATGCTGGAGACACATTTCCTCTTCTTTCCCATCTATTGTGGCCCCGAGGCTTATCAGGCTCATCAACTGGCTGCCGGGGCTTGGCTGAGTCCATTTAGCTGGTCAGCACTGCCTGTAAACTCCTTTGGATGCAGCCCCATCTTCGCCTGCCCTAGACCCAACATCATTGGGCAAAGGGCAAGTAGGCACAGTGTTGTTCAAATGGCCTGCTGGGGGGCAGAGGTTGCCCACCACTGCCCTTCCATGGTGCAGATTTCCCTTTGGCTTATTGCCCATTCAGTGAATGATAGAGAACCATCTGCCTTTTGATGGACATTCTTGGTCCTTTCCCCCCAGATGATGTCCACATTTCTGAAGGGCGGCAGGTGTGCAGAAGGCACGAGATGTATGTCGACTTTCAAGAGCTTAAATGGATGGTAACTATTTCAATAATGTTCTTCTTTACATAAGTCATTTCCCCCAGAAAAGTTAAATATCTTAGCATCACCTTCCCCTTTTCCTTTCCAATCTTTACGGTCGTTCTGAACCCATTTCTTTCAAAGTCATGGCAGATTTATATAAAGCATATTTTCTCAGGGATTCCCAAGGTGACAGCCCAGAGAAGTGAATTGCTGCTCCCATAAACCCAGTTTGTGGGCACCCAAGCACCCCCACACCCCCATGCAGGAAACCAGCCCTAACCCACATTGCTGTGGCAGAGTACCAATCTCTGTCTGTGTCTCATTCTGATCAGCAACTTACAAAGAAAAAGTGTGGCTTAGATATCAGAAGTTTTGGGGACTCACGTAGATCTCTTAAAAAGAAAAAAAAAGACTACCAGTGCAGTCCTAGAGCTAGTACAAGCCAAGGGTGAAGCTGGCAGTAGTTTCACTGCTCTGCTAGTGCCCTTCCCTGTGGTCTCATGCCAGCAGGGTAGAAATGAGCTCCTTCATCCCTTTCAGGATGGATTTTTAAAAAAAAACTAATTTCCCTTCCACTGGAAACAAAAAAAAAGATTTCTCCTGGGTTTGGGGGCTAGGAAAGCTTGGATCCTTCAGATTCCTCCTCCAACGTACCCCACACTGCCCCCAACACAAACCTCGCCAACACTGGAGGGCTGGCGTCTGAAGGGCCAGGGTCACAGACATTTCTGTGGTGATGGGGAAGGGAATCCAGTGGTGTCTGATCTCTCTCCCTGACCTCATTATCATTATCATGTTATTGTTTTATTTATCACCTTTCATGTGAGTCTCAAGGCCATTTGCAAACACACCATAAAAACTAAAATGGTTTCAAAACAGTACCAAAAGACTCCTGAGGCAGAGATGTTTTTACCCAGGTGATAAAGCCTTTCAAAAGATAAATGTCTTCCATTGATTCTGGAGGGTGCAGATAGCAGGTGCCTGTTGTATCTCAGTGGAGATGCTGTTCCACCCAAGAGGAGCAGTGACACTGAAAGCCCCGCTCGGAGCTGCTGTGGAGACAGCTGCTGATATTTTGGGGTCTTCAAGCAGAAACTCAACTGGTAAAGTCAGAGGGCTCTTTAAATGCCTTTGCTGCAGGTAAGCTTTTTAGCCACACCTTCTCCTAAGTTATTTTGCTTTGTTCTTCCAGGACTGGGTGATTGCCCCGCGGGGCTACTCTGCCTTCTACTGCGCAGGGGACTGCGCTTTCCCTTTGGACTCCTGCATGAATGCCACAAATCATGCCATCCTTCAGTCCCTGGTCAGTGTCTCCGCATGGCAGAGGGCACCTTGGAACAAGAGAGGCAAGCTAGAGGGGATTGTCTGTAGGTGTTGGGGAAGCCCATAGCTCAGGAGCAGAGCAGGTTCAATGGCATCTCCAGTTAGGGCTGGGATAAGACTTCCGTTTGAAATCCTGGAGATTTTCTGCCAGTTGACAGTACTGAGCTAGGTGCACTTTGAGCAGCTTCCTGTGTCTTTCTGATCAGAGTTGAAGAAGTGGGGTGCACCCTTGTTCCGCTATCGCCCTTAGGTCAGTAGCCTTCACTGATGCCTTTAGTGCACTTGGTAGTGTAGGGAACTGGATTGGGCTGGGCAGTTCTCCTACAGCTTGCGGGCCAGGTTTGATGAATCAGAAGGGTTGCCCACTTGACAAATCATCTGATGTCACAATGTCAGCTGGAGACTTGGGTGTGCTTTAATTATCTGTCCCTCAAGTGTGGCAGATGCTCCAGGTCCCTTTCACTTGCAGCATCTTCCCTCCTGTGTTAACGCCCCTCACCCAAAGCCTTAATGCTCCTTTCAACCCCAAACCTGATCACGTATTTCCTTTTCCTGGCTTTTTTTTAAATTACAAAGAGATCTATAAAATGCAACCACACACCTGACATATAGTGTGGCCCTTAGTGAAGCTGAAGCATAGATGCCATGGTGGCCTTCCTTCTTGCAACCCTCAGGGAATTCTGGTGCCTGGTGAAAATGCACCTGGTGGTGTATCTATGGACTACAACTTCCATCAGCCCCAGCCAGTAGGGCCCTGGCTCCAACTGACTGTGTTTCAAAACAATTGCCCTAGTGTTTGCATGGGCAGGGGACAAGTCAGGAGAGGCAGAGGGAGCAAGCTTGCGATGCTGTATCTCTCTCACCCCAGCTACAGAAGCTGTTTCCCATGCACAAAGATGGTTTTCTAGCTGAAATGAGTTCCCTTGCTCTCGGGACCCAATGCAACCCCAGAGACCTCATACATTGGGCCTTTAGACAGGCAACTGAGCGTGAGGCCATCTTTCCCTGCAAAGCAGGTGCTCTCCAATCGGTTCTTCCCTCTGTTGCAAGAGCTTCTTGTTCACTTCATTGGGGTGGGGAGGCAGTTCCAGGTGCATCCTGATCCCTCGAAAGGCATCGTGATAATCCTCCACTCCCCTTCAGCTGGAATTCAATGGGATAAAAGTAGATGTGCAGTGGAAGCAACAGCCGCTGCAATCTGACTTCCAGCCCCTCGATAGTTGCCTTCCAGCGATGGTGCCTTGAGAGAGGCTCCAACATAAACTGCAACTCAAGCTGCCAAACGGTTTTGAATAAATATTTTTGCCAACGCGGACAAATAACCTACTCATGGAAATTGATGCCTTTTCTCCGTATAAACAAGTGCTGCTTTGAAGTTTTTTCCTTCTCCAAATCAAGATGCTAGGGTGGGGGGAGGCTGGGGTGTGCACATTCAGCCTTTGGACCTCGGGGGCTGGTTATTCAACGCTCCAACCAAGCCGGACAATTTCCGATGGAGGAGAGCTCCAATGACTGCATCTCCCTTTAACTCCATTTTTAGGTTCACCTGATGAAGCCTGAAACAGTCCCCAAGGCCTGCTGCGCACCCACCAAGCTCAGCGCCACCTCCGTCCTCTATTATGACAGCAACAACAACGTCATCCTCAAGAAACACCGCAACATGGTGGTCAAGACATGTGGCTGCCACTGATGCCTGGGTGGACATTGGACTGCTGCTGCATGCAGGAAAGAGGCAGGAGGGAAGCCTGGCAGTCTGCGGGCCCTGAGCACCTGTTGGAGAGGAAGGGGACTAAAATCTTGCCACTATGCAGTAAGTGAAGGAGTCAGCTCTTCCCGCCTGACCTTGAGCTGACACAGACTCGGGCTGTTTGGCTGGAGGTCAGTTGGTTCACATCCTCAACAAACTGAACAATCCCCCACAGAGGAACCTTTGCCAAGCAAACTAAAACATGATCTGGCTGCACGCATAGGCCTGTTTTGTGTTCTGTGCCAAGACCCCGCCCAGTTCCTGCACTGTAAATTAAATTAAACTTTAAAAGCCACGGTAGAGAAGCATGCAAATTAGGATGCCCTGTTTGTACACTTTATTTCATCCCTGACATTTTCAGGGCTTTTGAAACAGAAGGCAGTCCAAAATCTTGCAAGGAACAGCGTGTGCAAGCGTTGGTCAGTCCAGAGAGAGGAACACACTTGGGGAGTGTCGCCTTTGCCCTTTGGGGATGCTGGAGCTTTTCATAAGTCCTCCTGCACATTATCAGATCTCTCTTTGGCTCTGCACATGACAGCCACACTTTCTTTGAAACCCTGAGGGTCCCAAATTTCAGGCTTCCATGCAAACCATGTCCACATGAGGCGGACCAGAGGCAAGGAACAATCCTGGCAATTGGGGGCTGCCACCATGTAGGGGAGACTGCTCTGTGGTGCCCCCTCAAAACCCAGGGCTTCAGCTGACAGTGTCAGACCTTTTCCCATGTGGCATTAAGGAAGGTCTGCAAGAGACCTTGTGGAAGGCTCGGCGGAGGATGAGGTTTTCCTTAATATAGAACACCCTAACTAACCCTGTCCCAGGTCAAAGAAGTGTCCCTCTGGTGCAGTGGGCTAGAGAATGTGGCTCTCCTCACCCACTTCTTCTCTTTGTGTATAAAGTAGCCAATGGGTTCCAATCATCTGGGGCATTTCCAGAGAGCAGGCACTCCTCCCCCCCCTCACACACACCTGGATTGACCCTGGATTAACAGCCAAAAGGGACTCTGGGCATTTTTAGGTCTGCTAGTTTCCATTCTTTGCTGGAGGTGCACCATATGCTAGAACCAGGTTGTATAATCAATCTGGAAGGTGTTGGCCACATGCAGAAGAAAATTATGTCCAATGCCCTTTGGGAGCTCCATCCAAGCAGAAGTGGGAGCTGCACCCCCTTCCCCGAAGTAGAGCAAATGATTAAGGGCACCGAGCATATGGAGCAGTTTCCTTGCCCCGGGCCTTCCTCTTTGCAGCAAGTCTTCCTTTGGACGCCACAACCCACAGAAATGTCTTCATTCCATCGCTTTCAGCAACCAGCTTTCCCGACTGCCTTGCTCAGCACATCTGCAGCCAGGGGGGTTGCTTGTTCCCTTCCTAAAGAGAACAAGGAACCATTTTGCAACTTGCACATAGCTTTGCTCAGAATAATTACGCGCGTCTCTCAAGCGCCCCAAAGCACCCCCTTACTCACTGTCCCCAAGCAGAGGATCATTCAGTGACTCCCACACCACAATCGCTCTGTAGGCCAGGAAGATTGTGCAGAATCCTCAGTATTTCCAGCTTGATCTGTTGGGCATCTCCTTTCATACACCTGAAGAGCCAGTTCCTCTCCCCAGCAATTAGAGGCACGGCAGCCCACACCCATTCCTGTGGGCCTGTGGCCTCAGTTCACTCCCTTTGGCATAGCCTGCTACAGCTCCAGTGACGCATAAGAAGTTAAGTAGGGAGAGGCCGGCTGGATTAGGCCATAGGCCCATTCAAGCGTAGGTTCACTTCCCTGGAATCTCACAGCCATTGCAGCAACAGTCCATGCCTGTCTGCTCCTGAATCCGTTCCTCAGTGGTACATTGCTGCTTCTAGACACAAGTTTCATTTTTAGCCATCAGTGATGATTCCAAGATGATAGGTCTTAATCTTCTTTTTCAGCCACTTATGGTAGAGACTGTAACAACATCCTGTGGCAACAAACCCCATAATTATACATTGTGTGAAAAGAAAATCCTTTCCCTTGGTTGTTCAGAAGGTTTTACCAATCAGATTCTCTACTGGATATATACAGCATGTCTGGATTACATTTTTTTTGAACAATGAACCATGTGTGTTCTGGCTACTCCAATTTCCACCCACACCCCTTCTTGTAAGAGCTCACCAAAACTTGGACAGGGAGCTGGGAAGGAGATGCTGGTGGCAGTTTACCCCACCAAGTTTGCTGGAGCCAAGCGTACTCTGAAATGTATCATGTGGTGAAAGAAACTGGTACTTAAGGGTATTCTGCATTGGCACATGGAGGTTCTACCCTGGCTGATAACCACTGGGAGCATAAGTAGATCTAAACCTCTTTTAAGTGAGCTATTTTAGGATGGCTAACCTATAGAGAGTTTAGAGGGGCATTAGACCCATTCACAGAAGGCCTCTCAGCGTGATTTCACAATGATTTCTACACAATCAGTGTCACCTAGGAATGTTTTATCAGTCAACAAATAAATTGAAATAAGAAAACAAACACTAGATTATCATTTAACGTTGTATATGAATGTAACCACCAGCTCTCCAGATTTAGTGGTGACAAGGTGGCCATGCTGGCATCTTCTTGGCACAGGACTTAGGCTGGTAAGACAAACCACAACTTCACTGTAGATTTGGGATATTAAAGTTAAGGCCTGAAACATCTATTGAAGTCGACTAACTGCACCAGGTCTCATCAGGTCTGAGCCAGGTTTTCCTAGATCTAAAGAATCTCCACAGTACCTTTTCAATCTCTTGAAAATGTCCAGAAAAGGACACTGCAATGTCTCAGGGAGGCTTTTTCCTGTGTTGAAAGAGTTCGGTTAGAGAAGTCTATAGTGTTTTAACCTAAAAAGTTCTAATTGTAGTTCAGAAAGACAAACATGGCTGAACCGGCAAAAAAGTTTAAAAAGCTAAACTCTTAAAAGGCCAGGTGTAAAAAAATAGCTATAATTTATTTATAGGAGGAAAAGTTCTGTACAAAATAGATTTCTTTAGAATCTACAGATCTCAGTAAGGACATACAAATACACTTTTTGTAACCATGTGATGTGGTGCTCTGCTCATTTCGTTAGGTATTTCCAGTTCACTTCTGCTTGCACAAACATTCACACATATTCACCACAGTCCGAGATGATAACTTTTTGCTTTGGTTTCCCATCTTTGCTGCCTTCGGCCTTTATAATAAAGAGAGAAAGGAGCAGATGTTAAAGTCAGGTTAAAGGAAGAAATAAAAACGTGCCAGGACATTTCAGTCCCTCTGGCTTTCTAACCTCAATCTGCCGCACCACGTCCATTCCTTCCGTCACCTCTCCAAAGACCACGTGCTTCCCATCCAGCCAGTCAGTCTTATCACATGTGATGAAGAACTGTGAGCCGTTGGTGTTGGGGCCAGAATTGGCCATGGACAGCAAGCCTACAAAGACATAAGCCGTCCTTTTAAGAATTTCCTCCAAATCTGGAATAAAAAAATCTATCTCTGTGTGTGTGTGTGTTTATAACAAATTGAGGAAAAGGGAACAGGTGACAAGACGAGACAAGACAAGGAGTTGAGACTGAACTCCTGCACCTCCAGCTTTGGAAGACTAGAAGATCCTGTAGCATCTTCTAAACCTGCATTTAATTATATATTTTTAAAAAACCAACTACCACCATTTGGGAGATATAAATGTTTCACACTTTGCATTTTTGCAATATATCCCCGCCCCAAAATCTAACAACTCCCACTTCCTTCAATTCTTTGCCTGGAAACTTGAAATTTGAAAGATTATGTAAAAACTAACACTCTTAGAATAAAGCTAAGTAAAAGAAACAATTCTGCCTCATTTGCAGTAAGCAGTGTTGAGGAACCTGGATTCTTTTGTGCAGAGCTAGCTTCAATGCAAGAAGTAGGGGACCAGGTGTCTTGGGCAAGATGGCCTTAGGAAGCCCACTTGACTATTTGATGGTGGTGGCTGGTTGGAGTGAAGGGAAGGAGGATAACAACACCCCAACTTATCCCTGCACCACCAAAGAGCAGACTCTGGGGAATACGCCAACTTGGCACAAACCTGCTGGATATTATTAGTATTCATTAATGTATGCATCTGCCAAAATAGGCTTCTAAGTCATTTACAAATTATAAAGTGGTTATGCTAATATTAAAATATAAGCATCCATAACTAAAATACACAATAAAATAATTCAAAACAACACAGCAATTAAAGCAGGAGGCTCAAGTCAAAAGATCAAGAGAACCTCGACTCCAAACTGCCTGACCAACTCAAGGGCAAATAAGTGCACCCTCCACCCCAGCAACTCTTGTTACTTACCTGCCCCTGTGTGCTTCAGGATAAAATTTTCATCATCAAATTTCTTCCCGTAGATAGATTTGCCCCCAGTGCCATTGTGGTTGGTAAAATCTCCCGCTTGGCACATGAACTGAGGGATGACACGATGGAAGCTGCTCCCCTTGAAGCCAAAGCCCTTTTCATGTGTGCACAGGCAGCGGAAGTTCTCTGCAATCCAGGAGGGTCAAAACAGAAATGTTCAAAATTAAGGAGGACAACGAAGGGGGTTATAGCAGCTAGGGCTGGGCGATACTAGGTTTCAACATCACCAACCCAACATCGCAATTGAAAAGAGCTGCATGGGCCCCAGCCTGCGAGGCTCCAGTTGAGACTACTTCAGCTCTCTCTGTGCAGCAGCTGAGGTGCTTTCAGCAATGCAGCTGGCCCCAGCCCACTGCTCAGCTGGAGGGCATGAAGGCTCCCGTCCCCCCAACTGAACTAGCCCTCCACTCCCCAAGATGGGAGGGAGCCCTGTGACGGAGCCCGACAGACTCAGTTTGCAAGGCTCCCTTCGCCTTTGCCAGCAAGGTGTGAGGGGCGGGCAAGCAGCCTCCTTTTCTTGGGAGAAAGAAGTTGCTTGCTTGCCCTCTCCTTGTCGGCAAAGATGGAGGCATCCCTGAGAACAGAGCCTGACAGGATCTGTTCACAGGGATCCTTCAGCTTCGCCAGCAAGAGTGTGGGTGGGTGTGCAAGCAGCCTCCTTTTCCTATGAGAAAGAGGCTGCTTGCTCGCACCCTCCCTTGCCAAAAAACAGAGGAAGCACTGCGATGGAACCTGGCAGACTCCGTCGTCAGGGCTCCCTTTCACCTTCGCTGGCACGGCCCTCTCAGCCAGAAAGCGCAAAGACTCTGAGCAAGATCCCCATCCATCTGACACGCGCGCATGCCGGAGGGATGGGGGCTTATTTGCACACCTCAGCCAGGGAGCGCAAAGCCTCCCACTCCCATGCATGCTAACAGGAGAAGGCTCAAGGCTTCCTCAGCCGCGAGCGGTTACAGTTTAACGGAGCCTCCACGCCGATGTTGCCTCACACGAGCCACTGGCAGGTTGGGGGCTCTTTAAAACTGCTTGGCTGTGGCGAGGGCAGCCATGCACTTGTCAGCCAAGCAGTTTAAAGACTCGGAGGGAGGAACAAGCTGTATCGGCACCTGGCCAATGCAGCTTGGTTCTCCCTCTGTGTTGGCATAAGGGGCAGACCGCGATGGCAGTTTCGCGCCACAGCTCTGAGTTCCACTTCTTCCAGTGGCCAGCTGCAGCTTGTTTCTCCCTCACTGTGCTGGGCACTGGCGGGACAAGGGAGCAGTGGGGATTTCACTAGCGATATACCGCTTAGTGAAACCACATTCACAGTCTACCCCTCATACTGGTCCTGGGCAATATATCAATATATTGCCCAGGCCTGACAGCTACAAAAACAGCCTCATTTCATACAACAAAACGTAGCTGAATGAGGTAATAGTTCAGCCTCTTCAGTCTTCTTTAGAATAATTCTACTATACTCTGTGCTATTTTTCTAGAAAAAAGGTGTCTGAACTCACCATGAACACCTCACTTATTCTCCGATAATGGCAATGGCACCCACCTGAGAGGAGAGGGGCCAGAACTGAGTTCTGGTTAGTTCTGGTTGAAAAAAAAGCCCTGACTACACTGATAATGTAAAAATGATTCCAACTGAATTCTAAAAATTAAAAACAATGCAACGGTATCTAATATATGTAGAAATAAACAATAATGTCAGTACTTCTACTGCAGGAGAAAACGAGACAAGTAAAATGGCCTTTTCCCATGTTTGCAAAGGATGCAGAACACAGTAAAGGAGAGGGGCTTCTTTAGCTCACTTCAGAGCAAGGAGGAAAATAAGGGAGTAAGTATGCTGCTTCAGGAAATGGCAGAACATTAATGGATAAGCAGGAAAAGACAAAATTATTCTGTTTTGACTCAGTCTTATGTTCAACTGGGAAGGCAGAGGGATTTGCAGCCCAGGATTAAAAGAAACAATGCTAGAGAACATGTAACTACTTGAAATCAAATCTCCAGGGCCAAAGGACGCTTACAGATGTTACTTCAGAGCTGCTGTGTGACATCTAATGATAGTCACACTCAGAGTAGACCCACTGAAATCAATGGGTCCACTCTGAATGCAATGAACATTGGATATCAGCAAGTGCCTGCCATCTATAGGAATTCTTAAGAAAGAGAAAGGGTGAGGTGCTGAAATGTTGTCCTCCATCTTCAAAAAGCAGAGCGAGGCGGATCTAGGCAGTTGATCTGAAATACTACGGGGGGAAATCTGGGGTTTCCAACCTGTCACTGTACAAAAAGGAGCCTTTTCTTACCGGTGGTCATAGGTACAATATCTGATCGCAACAGGATGTTCAATCGACCAGCAGGCTTGTTTCCAATCTTGATGTCCATGTAAACCTGGGGGTTTGCCCTTGATTTTTTTGCTGGTGGTTCACCCTAGAAGAAAAACAGAGCTTTTTCCAAGTCCAAAACCCTAGTCGCCTCAACCATGAGTTTGAAAGCGACCACAGCAAAGCCGCTATCTCTATGTGACCAGCCTTAACAGGATTGTTGTAAGGATTACTGTGATTATGTACAGGAAGCAACTAAATACTTCAAAGCACTTTATAAATGTATTATTATTATTGTTGCCGCTGTGATCTCTAAGTGAATTTTGCCACCTCTGAAAGCAAAGAAACCCCTCTTAAGGTGTGTGTGATGTGGAAGAAGAGCATGCCATGCCTCCAAACTGCACTCAGTTGTTAGGCAACCTGGTGTGCACTGGCGTAACACTACCATCCATTGTGCAGGTAGGCAAAGAGGCTGTGCAGGCTAAACTGTGCAGGGGTACTCTGCAACTTAAGGTGCTCAGCAAGTGAAACAGATTATTAGTAAGAAGCCCCCTGTGTAAATGTGGCTCAATAGTTATGTCCCCCAAAAGATGTTGCAACTACAGAGCGCTGCATGCTCCCACCACAAGCCAAGGTAATGCCTATGTACCTCCTGGGTCTCCGATCGGGCAGGCTCTGCCCCTTCTTCCTCCACATTCTCCTCCAGCGTCTTTCCTGAAAATTTCTTCAGCCAGTCATCATCTGACCAAACTGTCAAAGAGAAACAGAAGGTGCTCTTGAGAAAAAAGAATCTAGTATTGATCTTTTTGCCATCAAGGTATAAAATACAATGGTTTCCTCACACACAATAGCTAAGACTATTGGCTTGTGGCACCAATCTCAGTTCCATGCCTCACCTGGGCGGGATGATCCTTCCTTAATCCTCATCGGCTTGGCCAGGTTGACACGAATAGTCCTCCCAAAGAGCTCAGATTCATTCTAGAAAGGGGGACAGTATTATTTAATGACATATTTTTATCCCACCCTTCTGCCAGAGTTCAGAGCAACACCCCTTCATTTTATACTCGCAACTACCCTGTGAGGTAGACTAGGCTAAGAGGAAGCAACTAGCCCAAGATCACACCCACTGGGTGACAAAGAAGTCACTTTGCCAATTAAATGGTATATAAATTAATTAATAAAAACAGCTGGTTTAGTGTTGTGTGAATCAGGCCAATGAATAGCAAGGAGATAACAGATCTTTCAATTCTTAGTTCTCAAAGGCCACCTGAAACTAACATTTTTGCATGAGGAGGCTGTGTAAAGCACCACAGAAGGGTGGCCCAAGGTGTCTGGGCTGCTTTCTTCCCATGAAATGGAATCCAGAGCAGGGGCATCATTTGAACTTTCCAGAAAAGCAAGTAAGATCAATTTACCATGTTGTCAATGGCGGCTGCAGCATCCTAAAAGGAAAAATATAGATTTTACTATGTGCTTACTTGCTCATCTAGTTCACTCCAGCTTGGTGTCCCTATCCCAAGAAGTATTAAGTTTGAGAGAGAAATTGTCCCTAGGACCCACAAGAAGCAGCAGATAGTCAGGCACATTATCGCTACAGGCTTACAAAGACAGAAATACACTTTTGAACACCAGTCTACAATTCTGCCCATTCACAGTTTCAACAGTTGCATGCTCTGAAATTTAACTGAAGCAACAGGAATGTAATGAGGAAGAGTCATGATTCTGCATGGTTAAGCAATACAAGCTTCTGTTCCACTGTAATCCTAAGGGTGCCTTCAAACACTGCTTTCTGACCCAAGATACATTTACATTTACTCTCTACTGCTCATTCAATTTTAATTATTCAAGCAACTATAAAAATATTCCTGGAAAATCAAGAAGTTTCCCCTGCCCTCAAAAGCCTTGATTATCTAATGGCCAACCCTTCCTTCTTTGATTAAACCCAGCCACTACCCAAGTCAGCACCCTTTTTAACCACCACCGCCACCACCACCCCACCAGCAGTTCAGCAAACATGAGGGAAAATGGATGAGGAAAAGATCAACAAATCTGAAAATCCACCTCAAAATTCCCCCCTCTGCTATTCCTCACCTCAGCCAGCTCAAATTCAATGAAAGCAAAACCTCGATGTTTTTCTGCAGAAATACAAGAGAAAAGTTAGCACTCAAAGGCTCCAAGGCAGACAAAAAACAAGATTGCAAAGAGAAGCAAAATGTCTCACACTGACATTTCAAAAGCCCCGTCCAATTGATTAATGGCATGTTACTAGCAGACCATTTAGTGAGCAGGAGTAAAGTGCTCAGAAATTCACTTTCATTCTACCACCTGGATGCTGTTTTTTCTCAGAGAATATAGGAAGCAAGAAACCACAAAGATCATGGACTAAAAGTTCTCCATAAGAAGTTCTGTTTTTTGTCAGGATCAATTTGTAAGTACAGATCTAAAACCAATCTGCATCATGCTGAAGTAGGAATTCAGAGCTAAACTCCTAATACTACTAAATAAAAAATAATAATTTATTTATACTCTGCCCATCTGGATGGGTTTGAACTAATCTAAGGTCGAAATGTCTGGAACAGAACAACGCAATTAAATAATTAACAAACACTGTGGAGTGAAATTATTATAGATGGTGCAAAACATTGGGTACACTCTTTTTCATATTTCATTTATGGAAAAAATGTTTATGGAGCTCATACACCAGAAGCTAAAAAGCCAAAGAGGAACTCAGTGGGTCATTCAGGAGTTACGATGAACAGTTGCAGCTCATGAGTCTCATTTGAGAACAAGTACAGTATGTTATGCTGTCAAGACTAAACCTAAGGATACCTCACCTCTGTCACAGTTTGGAAAAAGTCTTAGCATCTGAGCCACCTGCTATTAGAGTCCCCACTTAAGGCATACAATATCAAATGTAACGTGGTGGCCTAAAAATTCAAGTATTTCCTTAGGAATCCAAAGCATCGCTTCTCTCCATGGGAAGACCTCCAGTAGGAGGAGGCAAGAGAGGACAGGGCTCCAGCATCTTGAGCAGTTGTGCAAACGGAGCCATTTCAACAGGCACGGCTTCTCATGCCAGGTGTGGGTTCCCCTCTTTAACACGACTGTTCAAGGTGCAGGATCTCTATCCTCTCTGGCATCCTGCACACCCTAACACACAGGGCCCATTTTCAAACCCACTTGCAGGGGACAAGCAGGGATTTGGGGAAGAAACATATCCCACGCCAGAGGGAAACGCCTTTCAAAGCAGCAGGAATCACTGCATGCCGAGGGTGGCCGTGATAGAGCTCCTGCACCTTCAGCATTAGCCCTGCAGCAGAGAAGATCCCCGTACGCCATGCATGGCAAAGTTACCACCTGCAGGAATCCTCTCTCGGCTCAAGATGCAGGAGAAAAATCCCGCCCTCCAGCTCAGCCTTCCCCAACGCCGGGAACTCCGCCCTCCACAGGTTTTGGACCGGGGCTGATGGGAGTTGTAGTCCAAAGCCTCTAGAAAGCCGTCCGAGGCTGCTGCTGCTGTAGCTACGAAGCCACGCGCCCCCCGCTTCCTCCTCCTCACCTGTTTCGTAGTCCAAGGGGATCTGGATATCCGTGATGTCACCGAAAGGGATGAAGGCTGCGTGGAGCACCCGCTCGTCCACCTCCTCCGCCAGCCCGCCTGAAAGACGCACCAAGGCCACGCGCTTAAGTCGGGGGTCCCGGGGGTCGCCATCCCCTTCCCCCTTCCCCGCCCCTTTTCCCCGCCTCCCGCGCTCTCACTCACCCACATAGAGCACCCTCTTGGTAGACGCCATCTTTTTTTCCTTTCCCACAATCCTCTTTTCCGCGCCGGAAGCAAAACGTCATCGCTGCGCGCCTCCGCCCCACGGAAGCGGCTCTGCAGCGGGGCTCCTCGGGCAGGGCGGGGCGCTGGTGTGCCCAGCCCTAGGGGAGAGGGGGCCAGGTGGGCGGGACCAAGACCCCCGCCTGCAATCCTGAAGAGCCACTGCTGTCAGTCAGTGTGGACAGTATTCCGCTTGGGGGGACCCAAGAGTCTGCATAAGGCGGCTTCCCATGTTCCGATTTACTTCGGCCCTTTTGCTCAGAGCCATGAGGACTAGAATCTCTCCAAGCGCCCTGCCTGAAACCCTGGGCAGCCGCTGCCCATCAGTGTAGGCAGCACCGAGCTAGAGGGGTCCGGAGTCTGACTCTGTATCACCAACAGGTACAGGCAAAAGTTTGTGGGGCACCCGGGGCCCAACAGGCAGCCGTTCATGCCTGCAGTGAGACAGATTTCCATTGGCAGCCTACGAAATACTATTACTGCGTTTTTCACAAAGAAGCCCATAACTGGAAAAGGTGCAGAAAAAGGCAACCAGTGTAAACACAGGATTGGCGCACCTTCCTAACAAGCAAAGCTAAAAACGTTTTGACAGCAGGGCAACTAGTTCAGAGAAAGGGGGGAAAGGCAGCTAAGGAAGGAGATGGGTGGTAAAGAAAATACATCGCGCTTCCTCCTCTCACAATACTAGAAACCAATGAAGATGGGTAGCTGAGTATGGAAACCAGAAAATGATAGCCACCAACTTAAGATGGCTTTAAAATGAAATTGGATAAAATGCACAGGATACAATTTTACCAATGGCTACTAGTAATGATGGCTATATGCTACCTTCAGATTCCAGAGGGCAACTGTTTTGGAGCTTTCTGGAAGCATCTTGTTAGCCACTGTGGGAACAGAACACTGGGCTAGAGAGGCATTTGGTCTGACCCAGTCGCCGCCTCTTGCGTATCTTTCTTGACCAAACAAACTTAGATCATTTGAACAATTGTCTTCTATAATGATAAAAGGAACAGAATAATACAGAATGTTAATTTCATTAGTGTTTCCTAAGCTGTAGCCAACTGATTTCTTTCCCAAAGTATCTGCTCGCTGTTGAAATGCATAGGTGGGGATCCGAAGAGCTATTAATAAGCTCACCCAGGAGAGCTTGGGCATGCCATAGGATTCCTCTGCCTCTTAAAATAGCAGGGCCCTGAGCTATATTTCAAACAAGATTCTGAAAGGCCCCTGCAGTTTCCATAGTGGTCTGATACAAAGAAACAGATTTGTAAGGCATGCAGAACTACCTGTGGTTCTTTAGATCTTAAATATCAGAGACTGGGTATCTTTTCTCAGGTTACACTGGCATGGCCAAACTTGGCCCTCCAGCTGTTTTGGGACTACAGTTCCCACCATCCCTGACCACTGGTCCTGTTAGCTAGGGACGATGGGCGTTGTAGTCCCAAAACAGCTAAAATAGAGGCTTCCCAAGCAGCCTTGGCAGTGCTGGTAGTTGGAAGTGGACTAGGAAATCATCTAATCCCAATCCAGGGAGTAAATTGCAACATTTTAACAGGTATATGGCCTCTGCTTAAATACCTCCAAGCAAGGGAAATCCCAAAACCTCCTGAGACTGACTGTTCCACTGTTCTTTTTTTGTTCTTTTTTTATTTTCAATGCAAAATTACAACAAAAATCACAAACATAAAATCCAAAAAAAGAAAAACAAAGCAAAACAACCCACGCCTACAAAGAAAACCATGCCATCATAATAATCTTTACATACATATACACATATTGACTTCCTTCAATATGTGACTGTTCCACTGTTCATCAGCACTTACTATTAGGAAATTTCTTGTAATGTTTAAGCCAACAGTTCTAGTCTGCCACATGAGAGCTCTTCAGACCACTTAGGATTGCTATTACATCTTCCAGTAACCTTCTCCCAGCTCTTTCAATCATGACTTGGTTCCCAGGCGCCTCACCGTCTTCACCCTCCCCTGGAGACACTCATGTCAGTGTCCTTAAAATGTGAGGCCCATAAATAGTATTCCACCTGTGGCCTGACACACAATCAAGTGGACTGCTAGACCAGCTTTATGTCAGTAAAACACATCTGTACCTGCTCTCAAGCTTACAATTTATAAGACACGACACAAAAGGGGGAGGGAGGGAGGAGGAAAAAAGTTAGTACAGTTACCAATTCTTAAAATAACTGGGTGGGCTAGAAGCACTTCAGGTAGCCTGTGGAATGGCTACTGCTAGGTAAGAGTTGAGAAAGAGCCAAAATGCATCTGGTTTCTCAGCAGAGCCAACAGAATACCCCTGCTTCTAATCTCTCCTTCTGCCGCATCCTGATGGAACTTTTTCTCCTCCAGATTTGGGCATTATGCTTCTGTTAATGAAGTCCAATATTGCATAGGCTTTTTAAAAAGAAGCTATACTCCGCTGTTGACTCATGTTCAGCTTGTGATCACAATTATACTACCCACATAGAAAATAGAATGCTAATGTCAATCAAGTTGGTGCTGTGTGGCAACATGAAAATAAGGGGAAGCAAAAGCAACTCACCCTCAACAGTGTTTGTACTGTATATAATTCCTTCACTTCAACCCAGCTTTCACCGGGGTTCCTACCTAAAGGGGTTTGCACTCAGAATAATTTGAAACCTGGAGGCCACATTATCAGGAGGCTTGAAGAAGATTCGGGCAATTACTTGAAATATTTTAATTATTTTATTGATAACACTTTCCAGACTTTCCAAACAAGATTGTTTGATCAAAACCAAGAACCACAAATGAAAATGTTCAGTCAGAAAAATGTAAGTGCCTGCTCATGGGAAGACAAGGTAGCTGCAACCCTGGCTTCAAGAAGGAAAACTTGCATATTTAAATCTTGGAATCCAAAAGCAGTAGAGGATTTTTCTTTAATTTTTATTTTTGCAAATAAGGCATATTAACTTTTTTTACACACTGGCAATGAATTATGTTGCATGATATTGAAATGTGCAGTATAATGTTATTTTCTAAACAGCTTCAGGTGGTTTCTTCAGGGGGCTCATTTGGCTTTCTACAACCTATAAAGAGAGAAAGAATGCTGTAATGCTGAATTAGTTCCTCAATTTCTTTCTATTTACTCACTCTTCAGACAGTGTAATTATGTATGTTGTTGCACCTCACAGGTTTTAAGAAGAACATAGATATTTTAGGGTTACTTTGCAAAGCAATTATGGATCAAGGTGAAGTACAGGTTATGGGGAGGAGGAATTAACCCTGAATTCTGTTAAATTCTCTACTGATTTTAAGTAATTACTTGAGATTATCAACTGAATCTTTATGCAAACATTTTGGTCTTTGAAAGGATGTAATGATAGCCCACGGAACCTGGGATAATTTTAACATTCATTTTGGCAAACAGAAGACAAGTAATCCTTATCGGGTAAGCCTAGAACCAAACCATACTTGCTTTCTTGATGCAGCTTTTTGGTACATACAAGACAGAAAGATCCACAGCTTCTCCATATCCGCTCACAAAGGCAAGTGACAGCGGTGAGCAAAGAGAAGAACCAGGCCAGCTGGAATACTTACCAGCCTCCCTAGTTACGAGGTAGCAGCAACTATGCCCACTTTCTGGGCAGCTTCTTTCTTGGCTTGGTGAGCTTGCAGCACTGCCACAGCCTCCTCCACCTGGGACAGGAAGAAACCAGGTTCACTATCACCCAAGAAAGCAAAAAGAAGGGTAAAGGTAAAGGGACCCCTGACCATTAGGTCCAGTCGTGGCCGACTCTGGGGTTGCGGTGCTCATCTCGCTTTATTGGCCGAGGGAGGCGGCGTACAGCTTCCGGGTCATGTGGCCAGCATGACTAAGCCGCTTCTGGCGAACCAGAGCAGCGCACGGAAACGCCGTTTACCTTCCCGCCGGAGCAGTACCTATTTATCTACTTGCACTTTGACGTGCTTTCAAACTGCTAGGTTGGCAGGAGCAGGGACCAAGCAACGGGAGCTCACCCCGTCGCAGGAATTCAAACAGCCAAGCTTCTGATCGGCAAGTCCTAGGCTCTGTGGTTTAACCCACAGCGCCACCCGCGTCCCTAAAAAGAAGGATACTCCCCCTTGAATGTATGCGGCAAAGAGAATGGGGAGAGCCATTACCTTCGAACGGAGGGATTCTGGGGATTCTAGCATGTGCAGCAACTCTGAATTGTCAATCTCTAGCAGCATTCCTGTGATCTTTCCTGCAAGGCTGAGATGCATAGCTTGGATGAGCGGGAACAAACGTTCTCCTAGGGAAGCAAAAGTTAAGCCAGTCAAGAGGAAGGGTGTCAACTTCAGGCTCACACAGCCAGGGCAGTGCGGGGGGAAGAGATCCTTGAGTCTGAAGGAATTTTGAGTTTCTGTACCACCCAGTCAGCTAGATGATGGGTGAGAGACACTGTGTTGGCCAGCATGTACAGTAATGGCTTTTTCCACCTGCCCTGTCCCATCCTCCCTTCATAAGGGAGCTGTTTCCAGAGGAAGGACTGTGAAGGGTGAGAGACTCCATTTCACCTGTGCTGCCCCACCTCCAACCAACCAAGGAACCTTCAGAAGGGAGTTGATGCCACAGGTGTCATGTAACATATAATACACATAAGCAGCATAGAAATATAATCAACTGTGTCAAAGGGACCGTGACTGGAGATCAACACAGAAAGCAGGTATCTTCCTAAATCATAATATTAAGTGCCATGGGATATCAACACACAAGACTCTGTTGGTCCTATATGTCTATGAAGCTTCCCAGGAAAAGCTCTACATGGGAGTTGCCCACCACCCCACCAAAGTAAAATCTATGGCTTTCCAGTACAGATAATCATTTACAATCTGAGAAGTAAGATATTAAGCTATTATGTACCCTGTCACTTCTGTACACATGTGCTTAACATATTGTAGACAAACTTGCTTTTACAAGATTTTGCCTATGGCACTTGTGCCCCAAATCTCAGAGGGACAGAAAGGATTGGCTTACCCAGCATCTGTTTTTGCTCCTGGGGAGGGGCAGCAGCTAGCATAGATGCAGTTAAAGGCTCTTGTCCTTGCACATGAACAGCAGGCTGAGGGGCCTGTAAAAGAGAATAAAACTTTTATGTTTTGAACAACCCTGAGATCTACAGATGAAGGGTGGTATATAAATTTAATAAATAAAACAACACAGTAAAAAGTGAAAAGGGAATCGGTTCTTCGTTTGTTTTAAAACAATAAACTTATCAAAGAATTATATGCCAAAAGTTCTCTTTTTAGAAGTCATATTTTGACTAAAATGTTCACAACAGTAGTATATCATCCTTACAAGAACTCTATCTTAGTTTTGGAAAGAACTTGTTAAAGTCAGGGAATAGAACTACACAATCAAATATTAACACACACTGAATAGTTTGGGGAGAAAGTTTCTCTCAAAATCCTCAAACTTTGAAACTGGGGACGTAAGAGGAAATGCCTGAATCTTATCAGCGAAGTTCTTTAATACAACAGCAGGATGGGGCTGCTGGGAAAACAGAGCTTCCATAAAATGCCTGATGGAATAGGTCTTTGTCAAATGCCTGAAGTTCAACAGGGCAAGTAGAGGAGGGCCTGTCTAATCTCAGCTGGAAGGGCCACAATACTGCATAATGGCTTCTGGTGGATACAAGCCATGCATCTGAGCCATCAACAACCACTAACAGAGACTCCCCTAAATAACTGTGATGAGTCAGGATCAGGCAGTCCTTAAGATATCCTAGACCCAACATATTAAGGGCCTTTTAAATTCAGAACCTTGACTTTGTCCCACAATCACATGGGACAGCCACTGCAAGCTTTTAAGCTTCGGTGTTATATGTTGGCAGTAGTCTGCCCGCACCAACAGTCCCAAGGTAACTTCACTTTATTGTTTTATTCACCCTGTCCTATTATGCTAAAGACATAACACAGTTCCCTTGAAGCTAGTGGAGCAAGCACCTGAAGGAGTTTCTTTAGGTTAACTCAGTTACTCTGCACAAAGCTGGACTGTTGATTTCTGCCCAGACTGTACATGTTTATGGCAAACTATCTGAATTATATGCCATTTTTATATGTCAAAACAGAAAACAGTTGCTTACATACAGAATGCTTGCTAAACTGCCTACTGACCACAGATTTGGTTGAGATTCAGAATCATGCTGCATTGCAAACAAAGGGGAGAAAACAATCTGCCACATTAAATTTAAGAAAAGCAGGTCTGAACCAGCATGATAGGAACACACTGTTTCAGCCTGAGACTGAAAGACCTGACCATGACTTTCCTGAGCTCGAGAGGAAAAACCAGAACACAGATATTCCCTGCAGTCTAACACTGATGTTTTCATGTGAAGCGTCTTGTGCTACCTGCAAAGGCTGTACAGCTGGGTGGGGGCTGCGGACACTGGAGGCATATTTGTATGGCGGAACAGCCCTTGGAGCTTGCGCAGCTACAGGTGGTCGAGGCGCTAAATTTGGAGCTGTGGCAGGAACCCCTGGGGTGTTTTTAAGAAAGAAATACAAAATGGAGAATCAGAAGGTGTTTTTTTTTTTAAAAAAAGTCAACAGTATCACACCTCCCTCTCAAAAGCTCAAGACAACATAGTCCCACTACCCTCACTTTATCTTCACAAGTAAACTGTTTGCAGATCACATTAGACCAGACTGTAAAGCAAACTATGGCTTAATAGGAATGAGCAGCGTGCTAATGCATGCTTCTCACACGTTCCTGTGCTGCTGCTCCCCTGCTGCTGACAAAACGAGCCACAGTCCAGCTGTGACGCTGTCTGAACCTGGGCTCATGGCTTGTTTCCTCCAAACGAGAAGTGGTAACCAAGGTTTGTTTGTGGCTCACTGTTCACGATTTGCTGGTGCATGCTGCTCAGTCGCATTAACATGCAGATTTTTAAAACTATGGTTTAACTTTAATGTGACATGCAAGCTGGGACTGGGACTGACAGCTGAGTGCGAAATTTGAGCCTGGTGTCCCCAATCCTAGTCCTGTTAAGCAAGTTTATTTGAAACTGGGGCTATTATCTGTCAATTCTTATAAGATTTGCCTTTTAAGTGTTTGTCACCCTGGGTTCCTTTGGGAATGAAGGGCAGGTTACAAAATTAATGATCAATAATAGTACTGTACTAAGTGCAAGGACTAAAATTCTCTGCTACCAAAATGTCTATAGGCAGACGCATCTACCTTACTGTCAAGTGTCATGCAACACTATCAGGTGCCCTCAGAAGGAATGGGCAGCAGAAGCCCACCACACTTTGCACACACCAGAAAACAGAATGATCTACCTTCTATCCACATCCCAAATCAGCTTCTATAAACCAGTAGGAAACCCTGCAAGTCCAGTCACTTACCAACCCTTTGGGTTGCACCAGGCATGCCACGTGAGGCTTGAGCATTGCTCGCTGGAGCCAGGTGGCGTAGGGCTGGTCTTGGTCCAGACTGGCGCATAGTGTTTGGCATTCCTTGGAAGCCTAGAGTGGGGGTTTTTTTTGGGGGGGAGGCAGAGAGATAGAGAGCACAAAGCTACTGGTCAATCACACTAGGACAATACTACTGAACTAAATTGTGGCAAGGACAACCACAGGGATTAGACATTTGTGACACACAGTTTCTGCCAGGCTACCATATCCTGGTAGATCAAAAAAGGAGATGACTGCCTTTACAAGGGTGATCAACTCCTGGCTCAGGGGCCTGATAAGGCTGCCCCAAGCAAATGTTTCTTCTCCCTGCCACACAAGACTATTTTTGGCTGCAGGGGCAAAAAAGAAAAAAACAGATACAGCACAGGGTGGGTGGATTCAGCAGCCTGATGGGGATGCAAACTGCCCCCTCCCTACTTCATTTCCTCAGCTGATCTGCACAGGACAGCTACTTTTCCTGTATACATGTGTTGTCATCACATGTGAGAATGTGGGATGGCCACACTAACCCACCATCGAAATGTGACCCCCCAGAGTTGGCCAAGGGTAAATGTGGCCCGAGAGAGAGAGAGAGAGAGAGAGAGAGAGAGAGAGAGAGAGAAGGTTTCCTGCCTCTGCCTCCAAGGTCCAAGTGGCTCTTTCATGCTCACCTTGAGGTCTCCCTCCTTGCTGCCAGCGTGGATTAGGCCTCATCTGAGTCATCTGATTAGGTGCATAGTAAGTGGGTCTGTTCTGAGCCTGAAAAGCAGAGCAGGGCATGCAGTCACATTGCGAAATTACTATGAACATTTATCAGTTGCTTTAGACAAAGGAAAAAGTCTCAAAGCAACTTGATAAATGGTTCTTAAGCAGGTTTAAATGCCCCTGTTCATATGTTCCAACCCCCAATTCACAGGAAAAGTGGGGGGAAATATCCTGTATGCTTCATTATCCAGTGACCAAGAACCTACAAATTTTAAAAGGTGACAAGTTTTGCTTATTTCAGGTAGTTCAATATGCCATAGACAGATCATGTATCAAAGCTAGTATTTTGGACAGAGTAGCTATAATCCTTGAAGAGCCACAACCCATTTTTGCTGAGACTTACCTGGGGCACAGCTGGCATGAAATACCCTCCTGCAGCTGGCTGGAACTGATTGATGATGGCATTGGCAGGCAGGGCTCTCATTCCAGCAATGCGCTGCATGTATTGGTTGGTGAGGTGGGCTTTCCGCTCCTCCTTTCTCTGTGCCAATGCAACATATAGTGGTTTGGAGCCCACAATGCGCCCATTCATTTCCGTTACAGCTTTGGTGGCCTCTTCCGGAGAGGAAAAGCAGACAAAGCCAAACCCTTTGCTTCGCCCATCTTCCAGCATCACCTAAACAAAGGTAGTTTTTAAAAGCAACACGGGAAAGAAAGCCTCATGCTTTCTGCACTGATGCTGCGTCAAGTTGCCTAAGCTGGGGGAACACCTCAAGATGGCAATGTTAGAGGAGCCCCATTGTTAAGAGAATTCATGCAACACCACTCTGGTTCTGCCCACTGGCTTTCTGCCAGGGATAAGTTTGTAACCACAAACAGAACATACAAGAATAGCACTTTGGAAGCAGGCTTGCTCAATAACCCCAGCCAGCCCTCTCCCTGCCCTTAGTTCACACATGGATGGTAACTTTATCCCTGATCTATCACTTGCTAATTAACAGTGCAGATGAAAACCACCACAGGACCACTGCAGGCTTTAACACCCAAATGGCAGAACCTGAGGTACCCCTATGCCTCATCATGTGATTTGCATAGCACCGCTGAACTTAACTCAGGAAACTGCCCTGCATAAGCCCAATGTTACAAAGTTGTAGAGACAAGACCTCAACAAAGAGAGAAGTGACTTGTCTGGATTTGCTTTGCATTGCTTTAGCACCATGTGTCCCCAGACCTACACATATTCTGCCAGGCCTGGGAAAGATTCAGGTGCAACCCTCTCACAACAACAGCAGCATGGATCATACAACCATCAGAGGCAAAGCTGCAGGTAATTTCACTATCCTCTTGCAGCCAGAGGTTTCAACACATAGCACAAACAAAGTTTGTTTTATGGACAAGATCCATCCAAAGCAGGTTACCTGAAATTAAGTCCCACTGAGTTCAGCAGGTCTTAACTAAATATATTTAGGATTGCACCCTTAGGCAGATTCCTCAACAGTTCCTACTTTTGAGGGACTTTCAGTTATGAAGCCTTACTCTGTGTCTGTTAAATTCCATCCAGTCTTTACCTTGGCACTTGTGATAGACCCAAAAGGAGAGAATTCCTTCCTCAGTTTCTCATCATCAATTGTATCATCCAGGTTCTTAATATATAAGTTAACTCCCTAAAACAGAGAGAAGAAATTGGCATGCCACAGTAACAATGCAGAAGGGGACAATAATTCATCTTTACAAGCAGTAAACTACAAGCAAAGCCAATACGTACTGATTGATCTTTACAAACAATGTTCCATCACCTGCTGAAGGCAAAAAAAAAACCCCTGAAATGTTACAGAGTTGTAGAGGCAAGTCTCTTGTAAGAGAACATAAACTTGCCTGGATTTCCTCTGCATTGCTTTAGCATCACATGTCCCCGGGCCTGCACCTCACAGCAAGGAGCGGGAAAGATTCAGATGCAACTCACATCAGCCCCCTTCCCTGGATTTGACTTTCTTCTATGCTACATACAACCCACGTATTGTTACTACCATCCAATTATTGAATTTACTCAAACAGGACCTTCAGCTGATAGCCGCTACTCATGGAACCAAAACCTTCACACGTGGCCAATCCCACTAAGTGTCACTGTTTAATTTGACAGTGTCCATCTTATTTGACACAACAGAGAATGTACAAGGAGAACAGAGCCCAGATGGCAATCTAAGACAAAACACACCATAACGATTCCACTCCACAAATGTGCGATGTTAGAAACCTAATCAAATCAGGAGCGTATTCCTTTTACCTGATACCGGCTGATTCTCTCTTGTTTTAGCTGCTCAAATTTCCTTTTCAGCTCTGCCTGGCGCTCCACTTTCTTCTGTGCCCTGCCCACAAACACCATTTTCCCATTGATATCTTTTCCATTCATTTCTTCCACTGCCTGTAAGGGATTTCAAAAGAGTAAATGTCTCTAAGATGCTGAACTGGTTACAAACACTCTTATTAACACTCCTATTTCTTCTCCTGGACTAACGACCCCATCTGAAATTTGGCATGCTTCATCCACTCAGTAGTGGCAGACATCTTCCAGTTCTGCCAAAAATTAAAAAGGGATAGCCGTGCGTTGATTTCCCCATCAGTCAACGGGGAGACATGCAAAGCTACATGAAACAAGCCAGAGTGAGGCTACCCTTTGGGCTGAAAGCAAAGGGCAAGGTCCATCCAAGCCCCCAATCTAAAGCGGGCTCCTTTTTTTCATGTGCACCGCTAAAAATAATTGCAGAACCACCACATTTTAACCATAAATAAAACCCTTTAAAGTCCAAAACCACCTTGTTTTGTGGTTGCAGGAAAACAGCTGACAGATAGTGGGAAACAGCTCCAAGGCATAAGACTGGCTCTGTGTTTGGGTGCCACCCATAAACATTTGCTGAATGCCTGTTTTCCAATCCAGAAGGAGGTAATGCATATTCTGTAACCCATATACCTTGTTGGCTTCTTCATGCTTCTCAAAGCTCACAAAACCAAAGCCTTTTGACTTCCCAGTGGGATCTGTCATGACTTTAACGCTGAGAGTCTTACCTATTACCAGGAGAAGAGAGTTAGCAAAGGTAGCTTACAGCAAAATTTCAAGGGAGAGCTTTCAAAATGAAAACCTGTAGCTTAAGGATTATTCCCCACACCAAGGAGAAACACCCTATTTTATTCTGCTTTGCAATCTCTCTTTCCTTTTCCCTTTATTATATTTTATTGCCAGGAACTATTAGATAATCCTATGCATAAGAATTTAAACAATTTTGCTCTCAAAAAGAACACCCAAGTGCTGAAAAGTAAGTTCTCAATTCTCTCTATATTAATTTGCTCCAGTGAGTACATGGACAGTAACCAAAGAGCCAGAATTACAACAAAAATAAAGTCAGTTTAAAATGGGGGAAACTTGTAAATACTAACTAAAAAGTGAAGTCATAAACAATGTATTGCATAAAAGCTTAGTTAATGAAGCATTATAATATGATGACAAACTATATATACGTATTTTTTAAAACTATCAGTTCAGCATATCTAACACCCTTCAAGTTCAGATAGTTTAAAAGCAACAGCAATGAAGAAGGTAGGAAGAATGGCCCCCTGCACTCAAGGATGCTTTGTTGGCATCTTTTCAGCTCTTTCAGCCTTTGGCTTAGCCGTAAGGGATCACTGTGGCTTCCTGAAACCAAACTCTTGACTGTCCTTATGTGAGGATGCTTCACGTGCACAGCACCCAAGAGCCCAGATGATAAATTCAAAAATGAGTCAACAAAAAGGTACCAGCTATGATGGCTTCAGATTGTTAACAACTTGCTGCTGGAATATTTACCGTATTTACTGAAAAGCTCCTTCAGCCGTTCATCATCCATGTCATCCCCAAAGTTTTTAATGTAGACGTTGGTGAACTCCTTTGCTTTGGCTCCCAATTCTGCCTCACGCTCTTTACGGGATTTAAATCTCCCAACAAATCTGGATGGGGAAAAGAGAAAAGTTAAGATGAAAAACGCTCCCCTGCCAACAACAGAAAAGAAAGGTTTAAAGAAACAAACAAAAAAACAGGCAGCAGGTAGGTGTGAGAAGGGCAGAAATAAATAGGGTAAACGACCAAGCGGAAAAATCCAGTCCTGATATGGAAGCAGCAGCACAAAAACACCCACCCAGTGCTACTCAACAGGGCAAACCAGAAGGGAGTCAACTAAGCCCAGCAGCAGGGAGGCAGAAAGTGAGGGGCAGGCCCCTACGCCAGGGGGAGTAGGCTGTGGCTCGGGCAGGGAAACTCACCAGCCCTGGAGTAGAGAGGCAGCAGGCCAAAGCTGGGCCAGGAGAACCAGCAGCCTTGTGGGTTAATACTGAGATGCATCACGGCTCATGCGGTGGCTGCCGCTGCTTCTGGCCGAGACACTCACACTTTGCGGTCGTTCAGCAGCATGCCATTCATCTTCTCAATGGCCCGGTCCGCAGCGTCCTGTGTCTCAAAGTGCACAAAGGCATAGCCCTTAGAGCCATTCTCGTCACACACCACCTGCAAGGCAATTGGGCAGAACTGAACAGCATGTACCAGCACCCCAAGGTGTTGGGTTGCTCACTTCTCTTCACCTGAACTGAGCTTCAAAAAACCTGAGTTTTTTTGCACCAGTATTGTGAATGAGATCACAAGAGCTGTTGTTCAATGTCTAAGCAAAGTTTCCAATCAAGGAAAGGAAATGAAATGCAGTTAGAACACCTGGCAAGAACTTCTTGTCTCCAGATCATTTAAGCTATCTTTTTACTGGATTTCCATATTGTAACTTAACTTACACACACACACACACACACACACACACACACACAAAAATCCTATTCCATTTTACATGCATTTAAGACCCAAACCACCTCATGATATGTTAAAATACATATAAGCAGATCTTCCTGGAATCCTCGGAAGATAAAAAGTCTCACCTTGCAAGAAAGTATATTTCCAAAAGCCGAGAAAGTGTCATAAAGTGCCTTGTTGTCTATGGATTTGTCCAGGTTCTTAATAAAGACATTCCCTACACCTGATTTCCTCAGGGAAGGATCACGCTGAGACCACATGATGCGGATGGGTTTCCCTTTGATCACATCAAAGTTCATGGTGTCCAGGGCTCGCTCAGCTGTAGGATGAGAAGCAATAAAAAGACTGTCCTTTGAGAAAAAGGGAAGCAAGCCTTCACAAGCAGGTGTCTCTAAATTTCTCTACCACATCACACATTTAGGCAACCTTTTTTTTTTTTTGATAATTTGTATTTTAAATAAATGAAGTATTTCCTTCAGCTAAGCAGCAAACCACCTGAAGACTGAGAGAAGAGGTGGAAAGGTGTGTTTATGTACATGCACATCTATGCAATACTCAACATCTGACTATTGCCAATACTGACTATGACCTCTGCAGGTGATTCAGTAAAGGTAAAGGGACCCCTGACAGTTAAGTCCAGTTGCGAACGACTCTGGGGTTGCAGCGCTCATTTCACTTTACAGGCTGAGGGAGCTGGCGTTTGTCCGCTCCGCAGGCAGTTTTTCCGGGTCATGTGGCCAGCACGACTAAGCCGCTTCTGACGCAACGGAACACCGACGCCAGAGCAGGACACGAAACGCCATTTACTTTCCCACCGGAGCAGTACTTACTAATCTACTTGCACTTTTTGGCATGCTTTTGAACTGCTAGGTTGGCAGGATCTGGGACCGAGCAACGGGAGCTCACCCTGTTGCGGGGATTTGAACCGCTGACCTTTTGATCAGCAAGCCCAAGGCTCAGTGGTTTAGACTACAGCGCCACCCACGTCCCAGGTAATTCAGTACATCAGCACTAATACAGACAGGTCCAGGAGCACAGTGCAAATACTGCACCTAGTGTATGTAGTAGCAAGCATACTGATGGAAAGATTTTCCCTAACCAGGTGAGACAGGCAGGAAACATGCTTAGTGCATATCCAAAACTTGCCAGTGCCAGGTTTTTTTTTATAAACAGCAACAAAAGACTTGGAACCAAGTTGGTATTACCATGTGTACTTCAGCATCACTGCTTTCTTCGCCATTCAGGCATTATTATGTATGTCCACCCTATGCCAATACAGAATCAGAGAAGTCCTACTCAAACTAAGTAGGGCATCACATCCATCGTATTCTAAAGCTTCAGCAATGTAGACTCTCCCTTAACTCACACTAATCCTCCTTCAGGATTCTATTTCTGTACTGAGTAGCATATTAAAAGGATGATGACATATACACACCAGGATCCTGTTCATAAAATTCAGAGGCTTGGGACTCAGTTGCACGCCAAGTGAGTAGCAGGAAGGAGAGAGCAGGCAAGCCTGAGGCTAGAATGAGAATGTGCTACCTGATATGCTACCCACCTATTTGCCTCTAACAGGCAAAACTGTCCCAACTGGGGGTGGGGGAGGAACCCATGCAGGGCTTTCCTGGCTGCCTCACCTAAAAAAAAAAAGAGCCCAGGTAAAGCAGGGGGGAGCACGGGCAGCAGAAATCAGGAGAGAGAATGAATGAATACAGGCTTTCACATGTGTCCCCAGAAGTACTCTTTACGAAGCTAATCATATGCCTTCTTTACCAAGACCTCACCTACAAAATTAGAAAGCTGCCAGGCCAAATTGAACTAAACACCTGTGGATTCTTTTCCCTGATATAGGATATTCTAAATATAGGGAGACTGAGTGGAAGAAGTTAGCTAATTTAATGAATCACTCATCATTATTGACTATACCTCAAAATGCATGTCCTTATTAATATTAAACTGCCTGCATCTCAAGGGGGAGGCAAGGCTGTCTTTTTTGCCATCAATTCATTTCAGCGCCTTCCCAAAGTAAGTTTCCCCTTTAAATAGTTCTCAACAAGTATGCCCAAAATACTACACAGAACCCTTAAAAATTAACCCTCACTGGCTGACCACCTGCTGTTGTTGCCTAGTGTTTCAAGTTGCCCATTGCATCATAGTATGATGCAGACCAGGGCTGTCACGAGTAGTGCTTAAGGGGCGGCTTGCTTCCACCAACACTCCAGGTCACGTTACCAGGCAGGTGGTACTGAAAGCACCTACTGAGCAAGACATAAACACTACCCAAGAGTGAGCCATGCCTGAAATTTTCAAGGACTCTTACTCTCATTCCATTCCCTTACTGTCAATCACTTGCAGAAAGGGGGGGAGGCACCATGATTTTAGTTGAAAGGGAAGATTCAGTTGTGTTGCTTTAACCAAAAGAATTCCATTTCAAGTGGCACCTCAGCCCAGCTAGTCAAATTTGGCAGCGTTTATTTATAGCAAGAAGAGGTGCTCCAAAGACATGTGCTGGCAAGCACAGCAACCCTTAGAATACACCACTTGCAGCTGAAAGGGGATGAACAGTTGGAAGTAGGCATGCAACAAGAGGTTCCACCACAGCACTTGTTGCACCGTAAATATGCTGGACCCTTTGCCCTGCGGAGGTTCCCTAGCAGCATGTGACCATGGGCTTTGAGATGTTGCTGTAAAATAAACATTCCCCCATGCTCAAAGTCATATTTCTACAGCACTGTAGCAGATGGACTGGCAGCCTTCTGAAACACTTACTGAAAAATGCTTTTAATTTACTCTACAAACCTCCATTATATTCAAGTTGAGCTTGCACAAAATAGAATTCCAGGTGATGTACCCCTACATTTATCTATTTGATTTATATCCAGCTTTTCAATGCAGAAAGCTCCTCATTGAACTTACATGAAATAATTACATTAGGGCTGCTTCTCTCACACAGTATTCATCCAGGGTAGCCAATATGCTCCCTCACCAAAACTCTGTATATCAGTCATTAGCAGCTCTTCCAACTGCTTTTTATTCTCAACTTCCTACAACTGTTGTGCCCATTTGCCTAACTGCAGGCTCCTTTAGTTCCTTCCCCTGTAGACTGCAATGCTCAGACAACTCTAGTTTCAGCCAGTGCTTGTTTCTGGGAGACCACATGGCTGGAAGGAAATGGTGAGAAGCAAGTGGTGTGTGCAGAGTGCAAACTTTGGGATACCATAAGAAATAATCTTGATTTGCCCCATACAGTACTTACCATCAGCTGGTTGCTGAAAGTTAACATATGCATATCCTAGGGAGCGACGGGTTATCATGTCTCTGCAGACACGGATGGAGAGCACAGGACCCGCAGGACTGAACTTCTCATACAGCATGGCTTCTGTGACATCAGGGTGCAGGTCACCCACATACAGAGATGCCATCGGGTAGCTACTAGCAGCTGTGTTCATCTTTCACTCAGAGGCCCAGATGCTTATGTTAAACTTTCTTAAAAAGTATTTTTTAATATATTTTTTTAAAAAACTTCACTAGCTTTTAGAGGAATGGGGTCAGAGCTAAGAGGAAAGGCTGAAGAAATGCTAGAAAGTATTGGAAAATAAGGGAAAGCAGCTATAAAAGAAAAATGCAGTGCAAATTTCAAAAATATAACTAATATTTGACTTGATAAGAGAACTGAATCAGATCTGGGTGGAAATTTGTACAGAAAACTAAGTTAAGGGACCTGAAATGTTTCAAAAAGCTGTTTAAATGTATTTTTTAAAATGAAATTTCCAATTCTGCCTTTTAAAAAACCCGTATATCTTTCCCATGCAAAACGAGCAATTGTGGATTGTATTTTAAATTTGTAGTTTAATACTTCTGGATTAACTTCTTTCCCTGTCTTCCAGATATTAAAAGGATAACTTTTTAGGAGCAGGGGTCAATAGCCCTGTCCCATTTTAAATTAATAACTAACAGCTGTTGCCCCTATAAGACTACTTTGCAACACAGATAAAATCTGGTTTAAAAAGACAACAATATGTATCTACCAAGGCCTGGTATGGCTTTAGTTGTTTTTTTAAAAAAAAACTTTTAAAGGGCAAATTTTAAAGGGCAGGAAAACAGTACAGAAGGCCAAGCAGATCAAGACGAAGCGAGAGACCTGCAGTCATTAAGAGGGAGAACGAAGGGTGGTGGTAGGAGAGGAGAAAGTGCGCGGAAAGTGGGGCGCCGGCGGCAAGAGAACCACCTGCAGACGCGGCGCAGGGGCGGCAATGAACTGGGGAGGCGGCAAGGCAAACCTGAGCTGTGGCTTCAAGGAAGGTGAACGGGGGGAGAAAAGAAACGGGGTTCCGACCCCACTCTGGGTGGGGGAAAGCGATTCTAGGGTGGCGGAAGGTGGGGCGAGGAGATTAGAGGCGAGGTGAAAATAAATAGGAATAAATACGGGGGGGGGGTGCTGAGGGGAAAAGACACACCAAAGACGATTGAGGGGGGAAGAAAAATCACGAGGCAGATTTGGGGGTTAGTAGAGGCAAAAACAGACAGACAGACAGACAGAGAAGCGTCAGCCAAAAGCGGCCCCCGCGCAATTAACAATTGCTTAATTATATTATTATTATTAAATTAATTACCCTCCTCCTTATTCCTGTTTGTTATAATCAATTTTTTCCTTTGGTTTTTTTTCTCTTTTGCTGTTTTTAAGGCTTTTTTCTTTTTTCTTTTTAGGGTTTTTTCCCCCGCGCCCCCCTCCCTTCCTCTTCCCTCCTCGGAGGCTGCGAGCAGAGAGGGGGCAGCGCTGGCCGACCAGGACCCTTTATAGGCCGCGCCGAGGCGGGCCGCCGGCCGAGGGCGACGCTGCTGCTCGTGCTGCCGGCGCCGCCGCCGCGAGGGCTTCTGGGCCGCCTCAGCGACAAGGAAAGCGGGGAAGAAAGAGCAGCACACGGAGCGGGACGGAGGGGCCGCCGCCAGCTGCAGCGCCACCGCCTGGCCGGAGGAGGAGACGGCGGCGGCGCTGCTTTTCAGGCTCTCTCCTCACGCCCGTTTCTCCCTCACACTCGTCGCGCCAAGGCGCCGGGAGGCTTCTCCCTGAAATCACGTAGTTCCTTAAGGAGGCTGAAAATTGTAGCTCTGTGAGCGGGAAACTACAGTTCCCAGGTGGCTGAGGCGGGGTGCAGCATGAAATATATGGTGTTGGGACAGATGAACTCCATGCATTTAAGGCACATCCAGTACACATTTAAAGCACGTTACTTCCCCGCAAAGAATTATGGGAACTGTAGTTTGGGCATTGTAGCTTTGCGAGAGGTGAAATACAGTCTCCAGCATTCTTTGGGGGAAGTGGTGTAATTTGGATGTGTGGTGTAGCTCTTCTGGCTGCTCTCTCCTCATATATTAATCTCACTCTCACTCAAACACCCCACTCCTCATTTAGATGCATCCTTCTGTCAGAAAAACATGGTCCATGGTTTGGCATTGAAAAGACAGGGGGGCCAAGCAAGGAGGGAAGAATTGTGTGCCAATAATCTCAATATTATTGCTGCTCAGAATATTTATAACCCACTTTCTATCCAAAGATTTCAGGACTAGATTTTTTCCTGAAGCAGCTGATGACATAATGCATTTGTTCTTATCTGTTGCGTTTATTGTATTGAAATAGAGGCTGTCAGTATTTTGTGGGAGAGACTCAAGCACATACCAGAAATTTAGGTTAGCACAATTAAAGTGGATTAAACTGCTCTGTTGGCTTAGTACAAATAACCCACCAAAACAAAGGTCAGGGGTTAGGAAAAGGACAGGGAAATACACGGATAAATATGAGTTGGGCAAATGATTAACAGGAAGTATCCCATAAATCAGGATAAATTCAAAATAAATGCTCATTGTTATATAACTTCCCGTCAAACAAATCAGAACAAATGCTCAGTAAAGTCTGGACATACTGTAATCTAACCTCTGTATAGGCTTTGTGCAAGCAAATCAGGATAAATGCTGAATAAATGGGTCGTCTTGAGGAGCTCAACCTCATTTTAATCTCCAACATTTCCAAGTCTTTCATGGCTTTGCCAGCAGGAGACAAATCGTAGGCTCCATACATTTTTTGAAGAGCCAAAACGATCCTGTGATTCCACTGTGCATATCACACTTAGGCATAATGTAGCTGGGATCATCCTGTTAACTTACAATGGGAAAGCAGGAAACAAAGTATAGCCTGTGTGAGTGGAAGCCATGGCTCAGTGGGCCCACTGTCAGTCTGTGTAGACAAGATTGAGCCAGACCTGAGATGTAGCAGCTCCCTCTGCCCCCCAAGAACAGACAGAGCAGTATTGACAGCCACTCCCACAGCATCCCCAGCAAGGCAACACCTCCCAAACACAATTCCACAACCCAGTGATGTTCTGGATATCACCTATGCAAAGGTGGTGCCAATGAAATCACAGGAGCAGCAAAGGATGCCCATGATGTTGCCTTGCCCAGTGCACACTCCTTCCACACACACCAAGATGCCAGGCAGAGGAGTGCCTTTCCCCTAACACAACCTCCCTAGTTAAGAAGAGGGGAGGGTGGCAAAAGAACCACCTGTAGCCAGAACTTTCTGGGTGACCCCTTATAGAGAACATCTCAAGTTCCTTGCACAGTCATGCAGCAGCCCAGAAAGGTGCACCCATTTGCCAGCCAGGCAGCAAAGGAGGCTCCAAGATCCCAGTCAAAGCAGCAGCCAGCCAGCCTCCTGGTCCAATGGGTAGGAGGCCTGCAGAGAGGAAGCCTCCCCTTCGACATAATAGCACTCCACAAAGCAAGCTCATTGCAGGCAATTGTAGGAGCTGCCTTAACCCTGATAATGCCTTTTGCTTACCAGTATAGAGGTGAAAGAAGCGGGTGCGAGTATGTGTAGAAACTAGCATACTGTAGAAAGGTAAAATTTACTTTCACTGCTCCACCCACTTTTGCCTCTGGACCCACCCACCATGCCCTTGAAAGGTGTCCCAAAGTAATCCCAGGGCTGAAAACGTTTGCCCACCGCTGCTGAAGAGGGAGAAGATGCAGAAGGGGAGCTATGAAAGCAGTGAACACCATTTCCTCCCTCTCTCCGTGTGTGTGTTGCTCCAAAAGATTAGAGGGAAGTACATCAGCTGAACCAAGCAAAAGGCAAACAACAGTATTATTTTTTACTGGAAGTACAGCAGCAGATGGTGACTTTTTGCTATTACGGTGCCACAACAGCATGCTCAGCCTCTAACAAGCATGAAAAAGGAAAAGGGTTTATAAAGCTGAAACAGTGCAGATTGTCCAAGCACTACCCACTCTATGTTCCTGTCCTCTTGACACTTGCATGCATATGGCCCAGAGAGCACTCCCAGTCCCAGCGGCAATGAAGGCATGGTAGTCAGGAGGAAAGAGCATTTTCCTTATACAGTGGTACCTCAGGTTACAGACGCTTCAGGTTACAGACTCTGCTAACTCAGAAATAGTACCTCAGGTTAAGAACTTTGCTTCAGGATAAGAACAGAAATTGTGCGGTGGCGACGCAGTGGCAGCGGGAGGCCCCATTAGCTAAAGTGGTACCTCAGGTTAAGAACAGTTTCAGGTTAAGAACGGACCTCCAGAACAAATTAAGTTCTTAACCTGAGGTACCACTGTATAGACTGTGTCCACAACATAATCAACAAATTGCCAGGAAAGGTTCTTCTAATGTATGCAAAAAGCAGGATTGAGGGTTGAGTTCAGCTTCACTTCTTGTTTTTATTCAAGAGAAGGCTGCTGAAAATCTCTCTCTCTCTGGGGGTGGGGGGAGGATCACAAAGGTCCAATTTCCATAGTCCAGGAATGGCAGAGCCTAGCAGCTTTCCCGATTTTGATTCCTGGTCCTTGAGCAGAAGCGTTCAGAACTGGACGTGGTGGAGGCATGTAAACTGGTGCTGCTGGACTGTGAGCCAAAGAGGAGGAGGATGAAGAGAAGAGAAGGGCTGCAAACTGGCTGCTCCTGAGGGCCGCTGCCTCCCTCGGCCTCTCACTAGATGCACTACTGGGGGTGGCTGTTGTCATCAGTGGGTGATGCTTACTCTGTTGGGGTGATGAAGTTCTACTAAACAAGGTGTTAGAGCAGACTGATGTGAGAGAGTTTGGAATTTGGCAAATGGGTGTTCCTCCCAGCATGGGGCCAAGATAGATTCCTGACGAAGCAGCCAGGACAGCCAAGCCAGGGTTGTCCTCCCTCTTGAGGAGGTGGACTTGGGGGGAAGAAGGAGCTAGAGATTTATGGAAAAGCCACCAAGGCCAGGACTGGAAGGGCAAGAGGGAGGATGTTGCTCTAGGAGGAGATTCCATTTCAGCCACATAGTTGTTCAGGTGGGAGAGGAGCCGTAGCTGGATAGAATCGGTGCCACTCTGCTCCTTGACGGTGCCCAAGTATCTCACTACTTCTGTAAAGCACTCACGAAAACCAATTGTCCTGTAATCAACTGCCAGCACTCAAGCATCTAGTGTTTTGAAAATAAAAACAGATACGTCACCATTACTTCCCTCAGCAGGACACACATGACTTTGATGCCCTCTGAAATGGGATTTGGAGGCAATCCTGGCTGGCTAATGCACTTTGCAAGAGAGTTTAAGGCACATATGTTGCCTCCTGAAGGTACTTTCTGTCAGGAGATGCCACTTGAAACGGACTGGCAGAGTCAAACGCAATGTGGCATCATCTGTGCAGTTGGCAACCATTATCTGATTAAATGTTGAAAAAGAGGACCAGGCAGATGCAGCAGCAGGTCTCCCAATGCAATCAGGACTCTGGCTACAGCAGGATGGAGGTGCAGGGGGACTTTAACCCTTTGCCACACACACTCTGTAAATCTATTCAGGCAATTGCTTATTGGGGTCACGTCTAGTTTGACCTCAGACCACACTAGAGTGAGATTAGTGCTGGGGAGCCATTTACACAAAGCCTAGCTCTACATGCTAATTTCTATGGTTGGCTGAAGACATTTTGTGGCCCCTGAGGCAGAGCAGCAAATGCACACACCCCCACACACCCCAGTCAAGGAGCAAAGTATTCCCAGACATGCCCAGAACTGGCTTTAAAGGAACTTTTTTTTTTATGTCAGGAGGTAGCCAGAACAAAATCCATGCTACTATGCGGCTTGCCTCATCTTCCTGCAGGGCCAAAGACAGGGGACCCCAAAGCCCCAAAAACTGGAGTTGGATATTTGCTACGAGGCCCAATGCATCCTCTGGGTTTTTACATGATTTACCTACTTTTTTTATGTATGTGATATACCCATGTGGAGTTACTTGTACCCTATGATCGAAAGATCGCTGGAGAAGTTTAGACAGAATGGCAAGAGGGAGGAGAGCTTTTGCTGCCACCACCCTCCAGCTTCTGCCACCTGAGACAGCTGCACTGCTTTGCCTAATGGCACTGCTAATTGCAGCAGCAGCATCTGACTGGCCTCCATACATGGCATGGCAATAACATAACATGGATGGCAAAGACTTGAGCAGAGTCCGTTGTTTTTTTTACCTGTGTCTCCAATGGCATGAAGCATTTTTAAGTGATCTACTGTCATCTGCAAGATCTTTGCTTTCTCCATTTTGGAAGAGCCCTGTTCATTGGAAAAAAAGAGGACTCCCATTATATGAACACAGATTGTAATGTGTGATAGTGGCTGCTTCCAGAGCACTAGTACAGTGGTGCCCCGCAAGACGAATGCCTCGCAAGACGGAAAACCCGCTAGACGAAAGGGTTTTCCGTTTTTGAGTTGCTTCGCAGGACGAATTTCCCTATGGGCTTGCTTCGCAAGACGAAAATGTCTTGCAAGTCTTGAGATTTTTTTCGCTTTTCGCCCCTTTATCTAACCTGCTAAGCCTTTAATAGCCTTTAATAGCCTTTTAGCAGCTAATCCGCTAAGCCTTTAAGCCTTTAATAGCCGCTAAACCGCTAATAGCGCTAATCCGTTAAGCCGCTAATAGGGTTGCTTCGCAAGACGAAAAAACCGCTAGACGAAGACTCTCGCGGAACGGATTAATTTCGTCTTGCGAGGCACCACTGTAGATGTGTTTGGTTGGGAGGGGAAAGAACATGCTTGGAATATTGGAAGTGAGAGGTGATGGGATAAGGGCTTGAAAGGGAGTTCCAAAATGTGTGCCTGGCAGCTGGGAGTTTACAGCTGTTAGCTGGTATGAGAGGTGGAGGTATCTGGATGATGGCTGGGTTAGTTTGATAAAGGAGGGTCAGCATTGTTCTTCCTTATTGTATTATATGAGCCTAAGTAACCAAAAACTGAACATACACTTGTATATACCGAGCCCTTGATTATTCCTTTAAAAAATAAATTATAGCTTCATACACACGTCTCTTTACAGGGCAGCGCTAGAGGTGAGAAATATTCAGATACCTGGTATCTGTGATGGCAGCAGAAATAAAGGGAGTTGATAGAAATACCCATCAGAAAGCCTGGTCAGGTGGTCCAGGGTAGTTGAGTAAAATCTAAGGGTAGTGTCAGGGAACCACATAGTGGCGGCAGTGGGGCATGGCATGAGGTGCACAACTTAAGTGGATTAAAGTGTGCCATTGCCCTAGTGCAGTGATGGCCAAACTTGGCCCTGCAGCTGTTGGACTACAATTCCCATCATCCCTGACCACTGGTCCTGTTAGCTAGGGATGATTGGAGTTGTAGTCCCAAAAAAGCTGGAGGGCCAAGTTTGGCCATCACTGCCCTAGTGCAACACACACACACACACACGTGTGTGTGTGTGTGTGTGTGTGTGTGTGTGTGTGTGTAATGCATTTATATTCCACCTTGTTCTCCAAGCAGCTCAAGGTGGCAATTTTGACTCTCTCCCTCTCTATTTTATCCTCACATGAATCCTGTAAGGTTAGGCTACTGGCCCACGTTCACCCAGTGAGCGTCATGATGGCCAAGTGGGGATTTGAATCCAGGTCTCTCCAAGGTCCTAGTCTAACCATTCTAACCACTACACCACAATGGCTATCCACTTTGCTTTTTTCCTTTTTTCTAAAAAGAGGACTTACTGCTTTTCGGGAATACTAATAGTTATGTTTACACTGCCACTTACTCTGCCATAAGAGCCAACTCCAAGGGACTGAGGTCCCTTCAGCCCACCCCCACTAAAATATTTGACCCCTCCCTTCAAATTGATGGGCATTGCCATTCAAATAGTGTGCGTGCACCATGTATTGTGATCAATTATGTGTGTTGGGACTTAACTGGGCCTCCTCAATATTTTATTCAACTTGGCACCCCCATACTCTGCCCATATCCCTTGGGCTCCCACTGCTAAGCTTTGAAACCACATTCCCACAACATTAGCCAGAATCCATAAGAAACATTTATCGACAAATACCACTGTTCGATGTGTTTTTTTCTCTCTCAGAGCAGCTTCGATGCAATAGGAAAACGTACATTATCATCACTTTGTACGTTGGAATGGTGTGGATATTTGAGACTGCCATTGCCTATGAATGGATTGAACATCCATACACAGATGAAAGCTTAATGAATGCAACCAAAAAGGTCGTGCACATTGGGTTGAAGACATCCCCCCCCTCTGAAGTACACAATGTCATGCCAATGCAGTTTGAACTACAGCAGGAGGGGGACAACTTAAGCCACTAATGTGACCATACCAAAAGCGATGGGGAAATGCACTGCAAAGTGTACGGTGGACAATTCTTTAATGGGAAGATGTATAACCACCACACAAGCAAATCAGAATGAAAGCAGCATGAATGCTCATTGTTGTATAACCTCCCTGCAAACCAATCAGAACAAATGCTCAGTGAAGACCGGACACAGTCTAACCTCCACATAAGCTGTGTGCAAGCAAATCAGAATGAATGTATTCTGGAGGAGACTGATGTCAGAACTTGGAGGGGGGGGGACAGGAATTTGACAGGGAGATGCACTTACCTGCTTCTCAAAGGCAGTGGGAACCAAACGCCGTAGTTCAGATAGGCTGCTGTTAATGCGGTCCCTGCGCCATTTCTCGATTATCTGTAAGGGCATCATGGAAAAGGACAACTCTGCATCATTCATTTGCACCATGCACTTCATTGAAGAGGCTGCAACCCTCTGGACACTAACCCAGGAGTAAGCCTCACGGAAGTCCAGAGGACTTACTTTTCAGTAGACATTAAGTAGGCCTTAAGTTTTGATGTCTACATTAAGTTCAGAATTCATTTTAAAATTACATCATTTTTAAAAAGAGAAATTCACTGTTGCTGAAACTCAAAAAAAAAAATATACAAACACTTTAAAATATAAAAATGTTTTACAATTAAAAATCAATAAATCATCAATCTTTATCCACTCTGTTTAATGTTTAATCTCAGAAGAACTTTGTGAGTAACCACCCAACTATTTGCAAGCCACTTTTGAAGGCAAACCATTCCAAGACAGTCAGAAATGTAGAAACAATTCAGTACAGCCACATAATTAATTAGTAGAACAGCAGCACAATAAACGCCAGCATCAGATCACTCTGGCCAATCGTCCTTAGGGCCCACTTAAAACCCTGAAGTGAGGAAGCCAGTTGAAGTTCTCAAGAGAGGGCATTCCAAAGATGTGGGAGGGGAGCCTGAAAAGGGTGCCTGGCCATGTAGAGAGCTCCGAGGCAGCAATTCACTCCCCCACTCCAGCAAAGTCCTGGGGATGGAGGACCATAAACAGATACTGAGGTCTGGCAATTCTGATCAAACAGTGGATGGTCTTGGGACCTCAGTTTGAATTGCCCCTTCTCCATATGTGGACTCCTGGGAGGTTTTTTTAGAAAGTCATTATATTTCAGCCAATTTCCTCATTGTAAAATCTAAATGATAGCAGCCTACCCCACTGGTTGCTGTGAGGGCTAATGAAAAGGAATGCAAGTTATTTTGCAAATAAAAACCATTCTAAAAAAAGAATAAAAATAAATCAGGTTTTAGATCACACAGCACTCACCCCTCTCCGCTTCTTTCTTGCTTGTACATGAAAGATCCTTGTGGGGGATGGCGAACTGAGAAACACCATCAACAGATCCGGTAAGAAGCATTTGTGGCTTTAGCACTTTTTATCTAGACTACGATTCCATGCATTGTATTGGGCTGCCCTTAAATACTGCTTAGAACAGGGTAGTCCAACCCACGGCCTTTTTTGTTAACGATGGCGTATACATCTGTTTGTGTATTAAATTTGTTTAATAGTTAAATATATTGTGTATTTAATCACATATATTTAATTAATTGTATTAATTGCGTATATTCAATAATATGAAATATACTACATACACTTTAATTTACGATGTGGAAATTTAATTCAGTGTGGGGCCCACAAATTGTGTGTCAAAGTACTCTTGCGGCCCACTTGGTATGAAAAGATGCACAGCCCTGGCTTAGAAGCTGCTGCTAGGCCAAGAGAGTTGTTTTGGTGGTCCAGAATTTGAATGGAGTGTGGCCCGAAATCAGCTTGCATGAGGATACAGTGGTGCCTCGCAAGACGAAATTAATCCGTTCCGCGAGAGTCTTCGTCTAGCGGTTTTTTCGTCTTGCGAAGCAACCCTATTAGCGGCTTAACGGATTAGCGCTATTAGCGGTTTAGCGGCTATTAAAGGCTTAAAGGCTTAGCGGATTAGCTGCTAAAAGGCTATTAAAGGCTATTAAAGGCTTAGCAGATTAGATAAAGGGGGGGAAGCGAAAAAAAAATCTCAAGACTTGCAAGACATTTTCGTCTTGCGAAGCAAGCCCATAGGGAAATTCGTCCTGCGAAGCAACTCAAAAACGGAAAACCCTTTCATCTAGCGGGTTTTCCGTCTTGCAAGGCATTCGTCTTGCGGGGCACCACTGTATATCTTCTGCTCAATGGTAGGAAAATTAGGAATCTCACACAAGCTGAAATGAAAAAACTTGGTACTCCCATCTGAGTTCCCAAGTCAATACTCGCCATTTGCCCCTGAAAGGGAAATGAAAGGCACTCATGCAAATAAGTTTCCCATCAGTGCCAAGTGTTATAAGAAAAAAATGCCTATAACACAAGGAAAGCAAAATCTATGAACAGCTCCGTGTTAGAGAGTGTGTTTGCTGAAGCTGCCTCTAGTGGCTTCCCTCTACCAGCTTCCTTCCTTCCTGGGCAATTGGGCATGGACCATTCAGTGGTACCAGACCTCCTGCCTCCAAATGATGCAGTTCTATTCATTTGGCATCCTCACCACGGAGGTGTCCCCTTACCTGCTGCATTCTTCCTCCTCCTCTTCCTCCTCCTCTTTTCCCGCCACAATGGGTGCATGATCCAAGCCTGTGTCCGACAAGTCGTGGCCCTCCTCCTCCTCCTCCCAGCAGCATCTCTTCATACTGAGGCACCTGAACAGTGGAGAAACATCCTCCTTACTCTGCCCAGAGCAGGCAGGAGGACATGGGCCACCACTTCCCTTTCCCTCCTCCAACGGGCACAAGGAGGTGCTAAGATCTCCCCTCTTCAAGACATAGAGAAATGGGCTCTTCTTTGTCCCCCACTCAGAGATTTCGCCTCTCCTGCCTTCCCTTCCTTTTCTCAGCACATCTTTAACCTTCCTGTATGGTAAGTGAAGGTGCTCCCTCCCAGGGGTGAGAGATTACTGGCTTGCTCTTGCCTTCCCCCCTCTCCTCTTGCTGGTGGAAATCCGGGGGGGGGGGATCTTCCTGCAAAAGAGCAGCCTGTGTGAATTGCCTCTCCATCCCTCCATGGCCTCCACTGATTGGTCTCAGCTGCAGTTTAAAGGATCAGTGACCATCCTGGCAACAGAAAACCGTGGGAAAGAGGCGAGACTGATAAAGCCGAGTTGTTTCAGGAAAAGAAGGAAAGAAAGAAATGGGGTGGGGTGAGGGTGGGGGTGGGGGTGGAAGAGAGAGACCTGGCACATCATGTTTCTGCAACTCTGCTGGACTGGAGGCTGAATAATTTTTTAAAAAGATTTTTCAAGGCTCTTGGCTGCAGGAGAACACTTTCTTCAAAGGACTATTGACCAGGATCAGTTAGAGAGCACAAACAGAAGGCCCCAAGGTGGTGGAGCTATTAGGGCCTAAGGGGAGAGATTACTTTGCTAACCACACTGAAGGATCTCAGGGCCAGCAGCAGCCCACACAACAACCATAAACTACAAAGCACCAAGAATGGAAATAAACCCTGCACAATCTTAAACATGTACCCCAGGATCCTCAGCAGCATTTCAAAGGACTCTGGGATGCACCTTTCAGCTAGGGGCATAGGAAGCTGGCTTATACTGAGTCAGACCCACTGGTCCAGCAGTGTTGTCTACACTGACTGGCAGCAGCCCGCCAGGTGTTTCCTCCCAGTCCAGCCTGCAGATGCTAAGGGACCTTTTGCATGCAAGGCAGGGCTGTACCACCCTCCAGGGGGGAAGCAGTTTGGCAACTAACTGCAGCTGAAACTGAAACGCTGAAGAGCCAGTGACAGTCAAAATAGACAATACAGTACTGAACTAAATGAACCAGTGGTCTGGCTCAGTACAAAACAGCTTCTGTTGTTACTCTTTCATTTTGCCTTTGGTAAAGAAACGTGGCAGGCTTTATTTTGTTTCAAAAATTTGATTCTCTAGAGGCAGCAGTGGAACAACAAGATAAGGTGTGTGTCCACCACAGGAAACAAAACTTCTCTCCAAAAGCACTTCCTGCTTCCTTAAAAACCATTACCTGTCTCTAGCTGGGCACTAACAAAAACTCATTCCCTGAGAAACATGGTGCACGTTATATGATTGATCCCATTATCATGGCACATTTTCCTTGTTCTGGACAGAAACAGAATTGCTCTCCACTGCCAGCAGCCCTCCCCATACAGCCTTTCTGCGCTTTCTCTGAACTTTTTTCATGTCAGCTCAATTACAGTGCAATTGGTTACATGTTGTCTCTAGGATTACTCTGTGTTATGCGTGCAGCAGAGACCGCAAAGTGACTTAACTCCTTTATAATCAAATCCACATTCCTGCCTGCCAGAGCTCCCAGCCTGCAGTGTGGTCAGAAGCCCTCTATGTGCCAGGCAACCCCGCTCCTGGATTAGCTCGTATTTGTAATGATATGAAACAGATACTGCACTGAGTTTACTCACACTTCAATTGCAATGGAGACCACAGAGGAGAATGAATGAGAATTATTAATGGCCTGATAAGGAGGTGCCCAGTTAAATTAAATGTGCTGTCAATAGGATTAAATGAGAGGAAAGAGACAGAGATGTTCTAGTAGATGTAGCACACTTTCTACATCATAGGAGCCAACTTCTAGGGGCTGTGGGGGCTTCGGCCCCCTCAATAAAATATTTGAGGGGGCTGGGTCCCCACAAAGTTGCTGTGCATTGCCATTTAAATGGTGTGTGTGCGCACCGTTGGTACCTCTGTTTGACATTTTCCCCTTGATGGGGCCAAGATGCTAAAGGTTCTGAAAGCTGAGTCGTATGCGGAACAGTTGAGGTAGCTGGGTATGTTTAGCCCAGAAAAGAGAAAACTGATATGAGATATAATGTTGTTGTTGTTGTTTAGTCGTTTAGTCGTGTCCGACTCTTCGTGACCCCATGGACCAGAGCACGCCAGGCACTCCTGTCTTCCACTGCCTCCCGCAGTTTGGTCAGACTCATGTTGGTAGCTTGGAGAACACTGTCCAACCATCTTGCCCTCTGTCGTCCCCTTCTCCTTGTGCCCTCCATCTTTCCCAACATCAGGATCTTTTCCAGGGAGTCTTCTCTTCTCATGAGGTGGCCAAAGTACTAGAGCCTCAGCTTCAGGATCTGTCCTTCCAGTGAGCACTCAGGGCTGATTTCCTTCAGAATGGATAGGTTTGATCTTCTTGCAGTCCATGGGACTCTCAAGAGTCTCCTCCAGCACCATAATTCAAAAGCATCAATTCTTCGGCAATCAGCCTTCTTTATGGTCCAGCTCTCACTTCCATACATCACTACTGGGTATATAATATATACAATAAGGTAAAGGTAAAGGTACCCCTGCCTGTACGGGCCAGTCGTGTCCGACTCTGGGGTTGCGCGCCCATCTCGCTTAAGAGGCCGGGGGCCAGCGCTGTCCAGAGACACTTCCGGGTCACGTGGCCAGCGTGACGAAGCTGCTCTGGCGAGCCAGCACCAGCGCAGCACACGGAAACGCCGTTTACCTTCCGGCTAGTAAGCGGTCCCTATTTATCTACTTGCACCCGGGGGTGCTTTCAAACTGCTAGGTTGGCAGGCGCTGGGACCGAGCAACGGGAGCGCACCCCGCCGTGGGGATTCGAACCGCCGACCTGACGATCGGCAAGTCCTAGGCGCTGAGGTTTTACCCACAGCGCCACCCGCGTCCCTTATACTTATACTTATTATATTAATATATATAATAGCCATCTTCAAATATCTGAAGGGCTGCCGCATAGAAAATAGTTTTCCATTTGCCCCACAGCTTTCCCCTGAGAATACGTTCTTTACCTCTGAATTGGAACAAACAGCAATCTGTGAAAATCTGATTGGCATTTGCTCAGATTCAGCAGTAAAACACCGGTTTACCTGGGAAAAACAGCAGAAGCAGGAAGGGTGGGGGGGAACTGCTGGGGCCGGGACCTGAAAAGCCCAGACCAGAGCCTAGAAACATGGCACAAAAGTGGGGATGAGCCCCTGCATGCAAACACACACACACACACACACACACACACACACACACACTGTCCTGACAGGAAGCCTCCCTTCATTTCCTGTCCTTATCTCTAGCTCTTTTCATTTTCTCATGAAAGTTTAAGGACAGGAATAACACTTAAATCCGTTCTTCTTGAACTTTACCAAACGGCACCAGATCCTTCTGCCTCTCTTTCTGGTGGTTCAGCAGCACCCTCTTGTGGCACCTGTTTGGATTTTCTAATTCAGGTCTGCTAGCTGAGAGTGCGGATGGCGCTGTGGTCTAAACCACAGAGCCTAGGGCTTGCTGATTAGAAGGTCAGCGGTTCGAATCCCCACAACAGGGTGAGTTCCCGTTGCTCGGTCCCTGCTCCTGCTAACCTAGCAGTTCGAAAGCATGTCAAAGTGCAAGTAGATAAATAGGTACCGCTCTGGTGGGAAGGTAAATGGCGTTTCCGTGCACTGCTCTGGTTCGCCAGAAGCGGCTTAGTCATGCTGGCCACATGACCTGGAAGCTGTACGCTGGCTCCCTTGGCCAATAAAGTGAGATGAGTGCCGCAACCCCAGAGTCGGCCACGACTGGACTTAACAGTCAGGGGTCCCTTTACCTTTAGCTGACATATGCAGGTAACGCACATCTTATGCAGGGGTTACATTCCAGGTATGGTATGCATATGTAAAAACATGTATATTTGGACCACCTGCTTGGGAGGAGGCTGTTCCATGCATTTGCAACTACATTTGGGCCAGAATACAATATGCTGCCTTAAACCCTTGAGAGTTGTTCAACCATCAACTGGGAGGCTGACTTCCACTGCCAGTTTCAGGAATAGGAGAGTCCTCAGGCAAGAGGCCTCAGCAAAGAACACAGAGCTGGCAAGCTAAGAATTCATTCCAACTGCGTCTGATCTTTTTGGCTGTTTTATGTAGACTGAAAAAGATGGATCTGCTGGGACAGCCCTGGCCCCTTTGCTAATCTCAGCAAAAGCCTGACCTCACCCCTGCAGGGCTGCTTTGGGCAAATGCCAAATGGAGGATTCCAGTGGTGCCCTGGGCAGTTGCTGCAGACTGAGCTTTCATTTTAAAAGAAAAAGTGTTGTCCCCCAAGAAGGCGGCTGAATAAATCACTACAGTGGTACCTCGGGTTAAGAACTTAATTCATTCTGGAGGTCCGTTCTTAACATGAAGCTGTTCTTAACCTGAGGTACCACTCGCGAAAGGGGCCTCCTGCTGCTGCTGCCGCACCACCACTGCACGATTTCTGTTCTCATCCTGAAGCAAAGTTCTTAACCCAAGGTACTATTTCTGGGTTAGTGGAGTCTGTAACCTGAAGCGTATGTAACCTGAAGCATCTGTAACCCGAGGTACCACTGTAATGGATGTAGAATACTTGTGGGTTTATACAGTCCAATAGTCCTGCCTTGCAGGGAAATAAAGCATTAACTTTTGATGGCTTTAAACTGCCTTATTTTTTTAAGTTCCACAGTTTTCATGTTAATTATTCACTACCTGGGTTTTAATTTTTTAATATTTGCATGCCCAGAGTACTTTGGGCATTTCTGTAAAAAGAAGAGTCCTTAAATCATACATTCTGTACCAATAAAGCAACAAATTTAATGTTAACAGCAATGTATTGAAAAGAAGAGGTTGAGTCCCCTCTTGAGCTCTAAAAGAATCTCAGATGGCAGGGGCACCCACAGGAGGCTCTCCAGTGAAGGATTTGAAGCATGGGTCACCAACTTGGTGCCCATCAGCGCACATTCACCTGCAGAGGTCTTCCCTGGTGCCCTCAGCTATCATCGCCCTCACCTCTCCCTGCTGAAATTAGGCTCAAAATAAGCCTTTCGTTGTAGCCAATCTAAGGCATTTTCCCAAGCCAAATTGCAGTGCGGCAGGAGACAAGTACAGGAAGGCCTACCAGTGGGGGTGGCCCATGAGGGCAAATGGGGCACTGCCCCACTAACCTCAGTCTTCCCTCTGCCAGAGCCCACCTGACCTGTCTTCTCACTTGCAACCTGTCTAGAGAGTGGCAGTGCCCGTTGGCTTCCTCCTCCTTATTCTCAGCTTTGCCCCTTGCAGGGAGGTGGATGGGGACAAAGTTAGATTGTCTGTGTGGATACATTTCCTTGCTTTGGAAAAGGAGGTCTTTCCTTGCAGTCTCATGTTGTAAAGCCCTTTCTGATGCTCCCATGGCAAAGGCATGGATCATTTCATCTATAAATAGTGGGCACTGTCACAGGAATGCGATGCCTGGCAGAGGCTTCCAGTGATCTTGCAAGAGTTGCAAGCCAAGGCTGCCCTTGCCTCCCTGGTGCTGTGCCATCTTTCGTCCTGCAGAGTTCCCACCATCTGCCAGTCTCCTTCAGATGCTCTTTCCCCAAAGCAACACAGCCCGGCCTCTTTTTCCTTCTCCTGGTGCAATGGGGCTGCTGGCATCCCAGTCTCCTTGCTTCACAATACTGGCACAACCTGTGGAGAACTGTGGTTCTCAGGCATCTACCTTCAGCAAACCTCTTGCATCCTGACCAACATTTCATAGGCAAAATGTTTCCCCTAATACAAGCAATTTTGTAAATATTGTTTGAAGAACTGCATCGCAAAATTCATATGTGAATCTTGAAGAACAGCTGTATTTTGGTTCTCATACAGTTTTGGGAAGTGAAATTTTGATAAATTGATTAAATGCACACCGAATGGGATTTCTCCTCCATCTCTAGTCTGGCCACATCCACTTTTGGCCAGACCCAACTTTGGAGGGTTAGTCCTTGGGCGAAAAAGTCTGGCCACCCTTGTTGTAGTATTTATTTCCAGCTATTTTGGGGTCTTAATGGAGAGTGGTCTTTTCTTAGAGCAGTGGTGTCCAAACTTTTTTCAAAGAGGGCCAGATTTGATGAAGTGAAGGGCTGTGAGGGGGGCCGACCAAAGGGCCAACCAAAGTTGTTTTTTTAGGATTTTACCTCAGGAAATAAACTGCCACAGGGGCCGGATTAAACAGACCGGCGGGCCAGATTAGGCCCCCAAAACGGACTTTGGACATGCCTGCCTTAGAGCATATCTAGGGTGCAGGGGGGATGGATCATGGTGGCTAGGCTGTCTTTCAGGGCAGCGTGTCTTCCTTCGCTGGTCTTCTCTGTGAAGATTATGAGGAGGAACCTTGAGGTGAGTTTCACTAGGATACTGCCCCTGAAAGCCATTGTCTTCAGATAGCAGAGCAGAGACAACGGCCTCTGAATCTCGAGTGTATGACAAAGCGTGCCTCTTATCAAACGTTTCAGTAGCTGGAAAGGCAATGGTGCCAGATGCTCCTTCTCAGAAATATGGGTGTGCAATCTGAGTGGGCCTTCTAAATTTAACAGACCTAAAAATAGGCAGAGTTTGGGTGGGATTCAAATATGCACATTGGGATGGGAGGAAGCCTGAGGCAGTGGGGTTTTTTAGCCCAAGGCAGAACCCAAATGCAGAACTGGCAATGAGAAAAAGGTCGCATTTGTGCTCAAGTTGGCTTTGAATACACTTCTCAAATGGTGGGCCAAAAACCACCAGCGGGTCACAGTGCCACAGCCTACGGGGGCTCCTCACTCCTCTGCCCCCACCCCACCCGTGGCCATGCAATAGTTTTTCAGTTGGATGGGTGCCAGCACCAGCAATTCCCTGGATGCCAAGTGAAGGTGGCTGGGAGACAGAGATGTTGGCGAGGGGCAGGGGGAGGAAAAAGAGGTCATACTCCTCCTCCTCTTCCTCTGAGGGAAAGAGGCCAATGGAAGTGATAAGGAAATTAGAAAGCAAGGGAAAAGGTTTCAAAAAATAATACTGTAAGAAATTGGGGAATGAGACTGGAGAACTGCTTCTGTTAAACTGCTTTGGGCCTATTGCGGGGTGGAGAACATTTTTGGCCCAAGGGCCCAAGGGCCACATTCCTTCTGAGGGCCGCATGCCAGTGCTGGGTGGGGCCAGAGGCAAAAGCTAGCAAAACAAGAAATGTACATTTTACATTCGTACAGCAGACTAGTTCCAACACACATTCACACACACTGCTCTGTCCTTCATCCTGGCAAGCAAGAGTCATGATCGGAGTTCAAGGCAGCCAAAACCAACCAAGGGGGGAGTAAAGCAAGACCAGTAAGGAGGGTGGGCCAGGGAAAGGGGTGTGGCTTGGGTAGAGTCCAAGGGCCAGACAGAGATGCATTTGCACCCCTCTCCATGCCCAAGGTTCCCCACCCTGGTCTACAGTGTACCAATAACCCAATAATAATGCCCAATAACCCTCCAATGGCAAGATGTGGTGGATATTCTCCAATAAATGGTATGATAACTAGGTTTTGATTCACAAGAAAGGGAAAATTAGTACTATGTTAGAGGGGGTGTTGCTGTCACCTAGTTCCCTGTCACTCTTCCAAGTTTCTAGTCCTTATGTTCAAGAGCACTTCAGCTTGCTATCAACATACCAATGATCAGTTCACAAACAGGAGGGGGAACGAATGGTAACATAGACAGAATTTATTACAGGTAACACACCCAGAAGAACAGACAGGCATTGATTGCATTGTTTCATTCCTAAGCAAAGCCACCAGCAGACACAGAAGCACGACCTTTCGCAGCCTCCGCCTGCTTCCACTGTGGCAAATGAGCAGTCAAGCAGGGAACGGCTCCCCAGATATTGCCCCATGTTAACAGTACAGCCCATGAGCACAGCAGGGAAAATGCAACACTGGTTAAAAGTAGAAGACGCCACATTATTCAATAGACCTCTGGAGCCCTGCTGAAAAAACCGGGGGGTAAGTGGTGGAAAGCTCCCAGACACACTTGGAATGGGAAGGTTCCAGATTGTATATTTATCACATTTATAGCCTGCTTTTCCTCTAAGGATGGTGTATGGGCATACGTGTGTTAGGTTAGGCTGAGTGAGACTGATTTTTCAGTCTCTAACAGTGGCCATCAAGGCTCAGTGGGGATCTGGGCCTGCGTTGTCATAGTCCATGATCCAGCACCATCCACTGCAGCACACTGACTCAGGAACACAGCTTTAATTTACTGTCTTTTCTCAAAGCACTGAGAAATAAAAAGAAAACACAGATCATCCTGTGCTTGCTCTCTCCTTTTTGCTTGGGGTGGGGTGGGGATTGCTCAGACATGGAGCATTAAAGCACAGGCTTCTGTCTGGAAAGAGCGAGGCAAAATGTAAGTGTGCATAAGCCTGCTAGAGGTGAAGCAGATGCAGAGTTTAGGTTGGGGCAGGCATGGGGCATTCACAAAAGCCACATTTGATGAGCAAAATGGCACGAATGACACAAACTTGCATTCATATGTGTGTTTTGCATAATTATTTAGCTTCTGTTGGCCATGAGAGATGGGGAAAACATAGGAAGCTGCCTTATACTGAGTCAGACCATTGGACCATCTAGTCTAGTACTGTCTACTCTGACTGGCAGCAGCTCTCCAGGATTTCAGGCAGAGGTCTCTCAGATGCCGGAGATTGAACCTGCGACCCTCCACATGTAAGGTGGATGCTCTAAACACTGAGCTGTGGCCCTTCCTAATAAGAGTTCTTCCTGGAAAGAGTTGTATGGTGCATTTTTTTCTGTTGGCAGGCCTCCTTCTCAGTCAATCTCTTTGAGGGGCCCTTGGGCAATCCATTTGTGATGGGCCCCATTGGTCATCACTGCCTTTGACCGTTTTTGGGGTGCTCAATGTGGGTTGGGCACATTGTTGGGGGTAGTCTCAGGAGGTCACCCCATGCCCAGCCTTACCACCCAACCAATGCCTGCTCTCCAAGGCTTCTGATTCCAGATAAATTCCATCAAGGAATTGCACACATGCTTTTGCGCTCATCCTTGCAAACATAAGAGCTAGAAATTGCTTCTTCTTCTTTTTCTTCCAAAACTAGTGTTGAAAGCTGGGAATTTTACAACGCTTAAATTGGCACCATTAGCAAATTCTGCACAATGCAACTGTTGAAGCGTGTAATAAAACACAGCCCCCTTGCAGCAGCCCGCAAGAAAAAACAGTACATATCATGAATATTCAAGAGCAAAAGGTGACAATCAACCTTGAAACATTGTGAGTGGATGGCAGGGCAGAAGCAAAAGTCTACCAGCAGATACTGACAGCAATGGTGTGATGGGCACGCAAGGTTATGGTGAGGCAGAGGGAAGAGCATTTCTGTAAAGTGCAATGTGTACAGGTAGGTGTAAGGAAGCCTTATCCCAAACAACCTACCCCAAACAAGACACCCACCATCCCAACCCTTTTGGTTCTAGTCCTCATGGAAGTGTTCTAAACTTTTCATCTCTCCATAGAGATGTTGCTCTCCGTGTATCAAAGGCTGGCCTAGCCCAGTCCCACTCTTTTCTGCTACTTGCTATTCTCATTTTGTTTCCCCTGTGCCAAGCGCCTAGATTTCTGAGCCACCCCGTAAGGGACGTGGGCTGCGATGGTACCCATCTCCTTTGCCCCTTCCACATGGAACATTTGGTCATCAAAGAAGATGTGTGGGCGAATCTTCTCCAGCAAGGGTCCCTTGGGGGCGCCGGCTAGGAAGAGGGCTTCGTCTGTTTCCAGCCCCCAGCTCCGGAGAGTCTTTAGGGCACGGGCTCCAGAACTGGCCGCACTGCGTGCCGTGACGAGGTATGTGCGGATGGGGCACTCCAGGCGCAGCCCCTTGGAGTAGAACTTCTTCTGGAGCTTCCCAAGAGCTTCCAAGAAACCTTTCAGCGGCCCCTGGAGAGGTGAACAGACAACATCAACCAGAACTTCCTTCCCCACTCTCCATACATTTGGAAAATAACCCTCTCTGGCTACCCACACAGAGTCTGCAATTGTTGCAAGGGGCTGTTGCCATAATACTTCTGTGAAAGAATAATGACAAGTCCCCATTTTGTATTTGTTCTTTTTTTATACAGAATAGCTGCTTTCTGTAAGACCAGAGGCTGGTGAACATGTCGTCCTCCAGATATTGTGGGGCTCCCAACCCCACAAGAGGGAGATCCAATGGCCAGGGATGATGGGAGTCTGAGTACAGCTCCATCTGAAGGGCCAATGGCTAATTTAAAGATTAGACACTGGGTTATTGGAGGCTGTTCCTTCACAGGCAAAGGAATCCTAATGACTCTGGGAACCTGTAACTACTTAGTAAAACAGCTCTCCTGCCCTTCTCATTGGCGAAGAGGTTGGGATGGGGAGCTGGAATGGTGTATGTAATAAGTAAAGCAAACAGGAAGAGTAGAGAGGTAGAAACCAGAAGAAGTCAGGATGTAGAGTGCTGCAGAGAGCCTGGGCTCCATGGAGAGAAGAAACAAGAAGATGCACAGCCTGTGAAGAAGGATGAGCTGAAAGAAGCTGCTCTATGGCAGGAATGGGAAAACTTTGGCTCTCCGGATGTTGCTGAGCTACAACTCCCATCAGCAAGTATGATCATTGGCCTAGGATGATGGGAGTTGTAGTTCAGCAACATCTGTAGGGCCAAAGGTTGCCCGCTCAACCAGCTTGTGGCCATCCCAACATTTCCCAAAAATGCATTCTTGGTCATACCTGAGCCAGAGGCTTGTTCTCATAAGTCTTCTCATGCTCAAAGAACTTATCAAGGCCATGAGCCTTCACAATCTGCTCAGACTCGTCTGAAAACAGCACGGCGTCTCCGTCAAAGGCTACACGCAGCTGGTTCTCTGAAACCTGCACGTCCCTGTTAGAGCTGAAGATGGTGGCTGCAGCAATTCCTTGGGGAAAGAAGAAGAAAAGGATCTAGCGGCACTTTCTAGAAGCTCAGCCTCCTGGTGGCTCACACTTCAATTTCTGCTTTTAAAAAATATGTAAAGGTCTGTAAAACCCCAAATGCTATATGAGTTATATTGGAGAATAATTAAACAATACGCTCAATGTGGTGTATATGTCAGAGTGTGTGATGGGTGTTAGGCGTGGGGACCTGTCAAACGGACTGTGGTCAGGCAGAGTTCTCTCCAGTCTTATCTGAAGAGAATAGCTCAGTTGGTAATCTCAGGATTGTGGGTTCGAGCCCCACTAGGGCAAAAGATTCCTGCATTGCAGGGGGTTGGATGAAATGACCCTCATGGTCCCTTCCATCTCTACAATTCTATGATTCTGTCAAGGAAGCAAAGCAACCCAGCTCCATCCTCAAAAGGAAGTAGCCCTAACCTCAATCGTTTCTTCTAAGCAACTTGATTCTGTATGTAGTAAACAAGCTCTTGGTTCCCAGGCATCCATCCCACAAATTCATCTCATACGACAGGCGGTCACCCTACCTACTACTATCATAATGGGAAAGCCTCATAAACCTATTGTGAGCCCTCCCAGGATCATGCAGTCTGCTACTGGAAACAGAGTTCAAAGAGCCTACAAGACTACATGTGCAAAACTAGAGTACCTGGGGTTTCCGGGATGGAGGGGGAGAGTCACAACAGAAAAAACAGTTTAGGTTTTAACCCACACGTGCCAACAGACCCACATGTGCCAACAGACCACACACTCGCACACATGGGTGACTTCCTACTCCCTTTCCAACAGCAGGCGAAGGACAACAAACACCTTCACTCACCCTCTTCTATGGCTTCACTCACTTTCTCACAGTCAGATGACAGGTACAGGTTGGTGTGGTAGGCCTTCAGGTAGCAAATGGGGCTGTTCCCACCCGTCATGCAAAACCTCTCGATGAACAGGTCTGGAAGAGAGAGCAAGAAGAAGAAAACATTGAGGGGAGGAAGAGAGAGGCTTTGGGAAGCGCAATCCACCAGCAGATGTAGCACCTGCAGGGACTCACACCTGCACTGGTTCCATGGTTGCCTTTTGATGCGAAAGTTTCGTTCAGCTGTTTCTCAGGGAATCCAGGTGGCATCTTTCAAAAGCAGCACTCTGATGTACTTATTTACCTTATTTACTTCCCAAAGCTTACCCAGCTTTGGAGAGGCAGTGTGAGGGCTGTGAGGGTGCGTCAAATGTTGCTGAGGGCCACCAAAAAAAGGCCTGAAGGGCTGCATGTGTCCCTTGGGATGAATTGGACCACCCCATTCTAACACCATCACTGAGATACATTTACCAGGGTTCTTTATGGGATGGGGACTCAAGACAGTTAGACTGGTATAAAAGCAAGACAACTTGGTAGTTTGCAAATACAGTGGTGCCTCGCAAGACGAAATTAATCCGTTCCGCGAGAGTCTTCGTCTAGCGGTTTTTTCGTCTTGCGAAGCAAACCCATTGACGGATTAGCGCTATTAGCGCTATTAGCGGTTTAGCGGCTATTAAAGGCTTAAAGGCTTAGGGGATTAGCTGCTAAAAGGCTATTAAAGGCTATTAAAGGCTTAGCAGATTAGATAAAGGGGGGGAAAAGCGCAAACTAAATCTCAAGACTCGCAAGGTATTTTCGTCTTGCGAAGCAAGCCCATAGGGGAATTCGTCCTGCGAAGCAACTTCAAAACGGAAAACCCTTTCGTCTAGCGGTTTTTCCGTCTTGCGAGGCATTCGTCTTGCGGGGCACCACTGTAGGTGACAAGTAACCCATCAATTGCTTGGGTGCTTCTGGTCAAGGGAGGCGGCTTCCGGTTACTCACTGTAATGGTTGATGCTGTTGATCAAGCGGACTCCCACCTGAGCGTGGTTGTTAGTCATGAGGACGATGTCGAAGAGCTCTTCGCTCTCTGGGTAGAGCACCCGCAGCTGCATGTTAACAGCTTCCAGTGCCTAGAAAGTCAAAGATGGCAGAGCAAAGTCTGGCCAAGAACACAACCGGACTTCCTTAAATAAAACAATAAACAGGTGGGGGAAGGAGGCCCCAACCATCAGTACAGTACTTACTGTCAGGTGAACAGCTCATCTTTCAGATACTTTACATCCTTTTTTAATCAAAATCATGCAAAAGAAAAGCAGGGGAAGCCCTGATTGTGCACCTGAAGCTTCCTTATATGGGCTGGTCCCTCTATCTACCTCAGTATTGATTCTGACTGGCAGTGGTTCCCCAAAGGCAGAGAGAAAGTCCCTTTTCCTGCTCACCGGCCACCTGATCCTTTCAGTTCAATGCTGGGAACTGACCCTGGGACTTTCTGTAATGCAAACCATGGGCTCTCCGACTGAGGTCCCTCCCTGAAGCACTGTTAAGCAGATCCCATTTCTCAAAGCAAAGAGAAGTTTCAGGGGTTCCAGTGCTTGCTGGGTTTCATTACCCTTTGGAATGGGGGTCACAAGAAGGATATTGGTGTTTAGTAGCATTTGCACATAGATGGTATAGTATGGCATTAAAAACCCCAACAGACTCTCCAGTGTCTGGAGTCTTACATTAGACCTTCAGGGAGACACCTAGCACAAGGATATTGTGGCATTGCAACAGACCACAACCCACATTTCATTGGATCAATCATAAAACCTCCGCCTGGGCTAATTTACTGATAAGTGACAACCAGCACTTGCTTCATCCTCTTATCTTGAACCCAGATTCTGATGTTTCCATCTGGAGGTGAACAAAATCATCAGAAAAGGAAAAGACCTTGACGAAGGGGAAGGCTGCTCCAGGCAGAAAGGGCTCATTCTCGTGATCCAGCTGGAATTTCACATAGGCCTCCACACCCTGCTCATTGTAAATCTTCTGCTCCTCTTCCATACGGAAGAGGGCTCGCGATGACACAGCAATCGTGATGGCATTTTGTGGCTTTGGCTGCATGAGAGAAAGAGAAAAAGATGGTAGTGGCCCATGAAAGACAACAGGGCTATCCATGGCCATATTGCCTATGGCACCCAAAGGGAGCTTCTAAACACCAGGTGCTCCTGTTGAGGACAAATATCAAGCGATGATGGCCATCAGCTTCATATTCAACTTGTCAACATCCCAGAGCATCTGACTGGCCACTGCTGGATGCAGAATGGACTTCAGTTAGGTCCAGTAAGGCCATTCTGATGGAATTTGATGTCATAAAATTGTACATACTTTATATTTTTCTAATTCAGCTTTACCCAGCCTGGTAACCTCCAAATGTCTGGGACTATACTTCCCATGGTCCTACTGGCTGGGTCTAATGGGAGTTGCAGCTCTAAATATCTGGAGGGCACCAGGTAGGGGAAGGCTGATTTAATTCAATAATATAGCATACTGGTTGTCATAGAATCATAGAGTTGGAAGGGACTATGAGGGTCATGTAGTCCAACCCCCTGCAATGTAGGAATCTTTTTGCCATGTAGAGGAAATACACTGCCTGCATATTTTTCAGTAGCAATATAATCAAGAGCTTCAGGTCATACCCACACCTTCTACTTAAAGCTAGGACCCACTCAGCTACAACTTTCAGAGATCACCTTGGCCAGTCACAGTCTCTCTGTCTAACCTACCTCACAGGGTTGTTGTAAGGGTCAAATGGGGAAGTGGAGAGCCATGGACACTACCTTGAGCACCTCAGAGGAAAGGTGAGATATAAATGTAATAATCGGTGATACCCCCACCACCCAACATCATAATTTCCCAGAGGCATCCACATATATAAATTAGCACATGAAAATTTTATGCAAATTTTGTGGTTGAAAGCCAACTACAAAAATGAGGGCAGCAGCCCTGACATGGAGAAAAAATGGGGGGCTTGAAATATAATTTATTTCAGGCCAAACTAAAATCCTTCCTGGGGGTATTATACATATATGAACAACATAAAAAGTAATGGAACAGTGTTTACAAAATATAATAATGTATAACACTTTATCATTACCTCGTGCTAAATGAATAAAAACATATCAAGTTACTTTTGTAAAAACAATAGGGAAGATAACTTAAAATGCATTAATAAAAATGTCTCAAAGAAAACCAAATGAAAAACAAGACTCCTGGGGGGGGGGGGGAGCTGCCAAAAAGCTCAATTAGCAATATTTCAAGTGTAACCTATATCTGAAAACCATTATTATTATCACAATTTATTACCCTCCCTTCGCCCCCGGGTCCCAGGATGAGTTACAACCATTAAAACACAACATTACTATTAAAACACAGTAATACACAATATTAAGAACAGTTTAAAACAACTTAAAATGTATACAGATATGTATAAATAACCAGCATAGAAGAACAAGAAGAAAGCAAACTATATAACCAAGTACCTAACAATGGCCCTGCAGGCAGGAATTTTTCCCAGCCCCACCAACCCCCTCTAACTCCCACTGACTGATAACTGGAGGAAGAGTCTGTACATCATACTAGAGATATGGCTTGTCTCCCATGGATGAGCAGAATTAACTCATCCCAGGAGTCACACTCTCTGTTCTGGGAAAGAGACCAAAGACAGCACAGGAAGTGGAAGTCAAGAGCTACAATCTTTTTTTTTTCCCCTTGAGAATAATTGGCACTTTGGGTCTAAAAGTTTGAACTGGACACTCCTGGGAGAGATAATATGTGCAACACTGCAAATTAGCATTTTCTTTGGCAGGATCCTGCAATTTTATGAGGCTGGTCTCTGCCCTTTGAAACAGCAGCATGAAGGCTTTATTTATTCACTGGATTCCACTTCCTATAAAGCATCTCAAAGTGCTTTAATAATAAAAAACATATATAAACAATGTCCTAGTTAAAACAGTTTTAAATGCAATATAGATGCAGAATGGGGTAAAAAAAATATATCCACCGCAAAGATCTGCTGAAAAAGGAAAGCCTTAACTAGGCAACAAAATGACGACAGAGGCGAATGTTTCTGCTACTAAATGGCTGCTGACTGGACAGCTCTTGAAGGCAGACTGACAGAGCAGCCCTGAAGTTGGCAGTCCTGTTTGTTGGGGGATCCTGTCTGGTGTGCAAGTGCTAATGTGGACAGGCAAAAAGGACTTTTAAACCAGCCATGGATGGGGCACACAGTGCAACCCATTTCTTACCCCCACCTGCTCTTTTGCAAGCTTAATTCAGACCCAGCTGGGCACCTGAGGTGAAAGACCAAAACAGAGGTCAAAGACCTTAGGAAATCTGTGTAAAAGTAGAAACACCTTCCTAAGACCACCTCTCCACATTTCAAAAAGGCAAAATGTGAGGCAATATTGGGCCATTAGTTGTTCAAGGTAGTCAGCTATTAACTAGTTATTAACATCCCTGCTAACAATAATTCTCAATAATGTGGGAGCCATGAGTTACTAATTAGCTAAAATATTATTTTAATAGCTCTTCCGGGGTTGCAGGGCGATTTAAGTTTTACGATCCTCATATGAGACCTTCATCTTCCTGCTCAGCTCCTGTTTGCACTGACTCAGCTTCTCCAGCGCTGAACACCTTCTCGCCTGAAGCATGCTCACATTTTCTTGGATGCCAGGATTCAACATCCACCGGATGGACTACGCTGACACCATTTCCCCCAGTCCCCTTCTCTGTTCTCTTGGATGTGGCAGCCATTTTGTGTTATGCTGCACCCCCACGGCAGCCATCTTGTTACTGACACCCACAGCAGTTTCTCAAAATCCCAGATTTTGCCCCCACCCCAAAGTTGACAATTTGTACCACAGAGTATTCCCAGTGCCAGGAAATAGATGTTTTTAGTTGTAATTGCTGTTGTTGTTTTTAATGCCTTAACTGTTTTAGGGGGGGGGTTGCTTTTTTCAAACTGTGTATCAGCTTGCTCCCCCAACTCCTTAGAAAGGAAGGGCGGGATACAAATTCAAGGAATAAAATTAAATAATAAATAATAATAATGGCTTCCTGCTGCAGTGCCCTTTTCTGGAGTGCCTCACAGCCCTGCCCACCTGTCAAAATGACCTTGGGTGTTGGGACAGGTTAGTATCCAGCCTACCCACCAAATCTTGTTTCCTATCCCTGCCGTAGGCATAACTCCCCTGACCTCTCCTTGCTACTACAGATGGTTTTAGTGTTGCTCTAGTTTTTAGCCCTCTGTTTTTTTTCCCCTTTTAATTATTTGATTTTCTTGTTTGTGTCTGTTTTATTTTTGTTTGAGGCTGCCTTGAGAGCTCTTTCAAAAAATAATTATAATTTGGTTTAGTTGTCTCTGGCTGGCAAATGAACCTGTTAGTTGGCAGAGCTGAAAAATAACTGATCTTGCTTTGTGTCTGTTGCTGGGATGACCCCACCCCAGTGCACCAATTGCCTTTGAGGTCCTGTTTTTGAGCCTTGACCTTATAAAAGTGACACGACAAAAGTTTATAAAATTTGACATGGCATGGAAAAAGTGAATAGAAACAAAGTTTTTCTCCTTCTCTCAAAACACTAGTTCTCGTGGAAATTACAATCAATGTAATTTCTGGTTGTTTGTAGAGGGGATGTCCTCCTTCTCCATGCCAAAATGCAAACCCTTAAAAGAGATGTTTCTTTCTGATTCTGGGTCTCTCTTGCCTCCTTGCGAAGGGAGGGAACTCTGTTGCAACAGAAAGATAAAGATCTGCCTTGCTTTCACTGCATCCTGCCTCCATCCATTCATCTCTGACCAATCATAGAATTAGGGGCCTTGGTCCCTTGGGGAGTTAGGCAGCAAAAGCCAACCACCCCTATTTTTCTATATCAGCAGTAATGTACAGGCTCTCCATCTACATTCCCATTTTGCCTTTTGTAATAACAGGCTTTTCACTAGTTAAGAAAACCATGCAAGTCTTATTCCTGCATTAATCTCTCTTTGTCAGGCTCCCTCTTATTACGGCAGACAAACCTCAGGACCTGTGACCCAGTGCACGTGTGACCTTCAGCAACCTTCAGCTCTTGCAAGGATGCAGGAGATGGCAATACTTCCGAGCAAGCCCCATTTATCCTAGCAACAGCCAAGGTTGCACAAGGTCAGGGAAACGCCAATGAGATGTCTGGATCTAGAAAGCAGCCCCTGGCTGGCAGGGAGGAGAGGGAAGGGGCTGGTTGCATAAATGCAAACAGAACCTGGCAGATTGAAATTGGGGTGGAGAGAAAAATGAGGTCAGCTCCCTTCCAGACCATCCTCTTCCTCACTCTCTAGACTGGGGTGGAGGATTAAGTTTTGTAGAAAGATTAATGGAACAGAGAAGGGAGCAATTTAGTTGCATTTGCTGGGTTTCTGATCAGAGCCTGGCATCCCAAAACAGATCAGAACACCATTGCATTGTACTAGGAGACAAGGAGGCAGAGTTACCATCAAGGAATGCAAGCTATTTCACAGCTGAAAGCTGTCAGGCAGCCAGAATGGAAGTGCTAGATCAGAGAAATGGTGCTCTATTAATCCTATTAACTCCAGGAGCCTGCAGGAATATAGAGTGCAGAGATAGTCAAGTGAGAAAGTTGCCCCTGGGAGTAAAAAACAAAAGTATGGAAGTGGGGGTGGAAAAGGCCTCCAACCAGAAAACCTCATGTCAGGTGCATAGGGATTGTGGAGGTCACATCCAGACTGTATTTTGCAGGAGGGATGCAAGAACATACCAGAAATGTTTGGACAGCTGAAGTGCTCCATTGCCCCAGTGCAAATGTGGGCAACCTTTGGCCCTCCAGATGTTACTGAACCACAACTCCCATCACCCCTAGCCACTGGCCACGCTAGCCACTAGCCACCTAGCCACTAGCCACTGGGGCTGATGGGAATTGTAGTTGAGCAACAACTGAAGGGTCAGATGTTGCCCACAGCTGCCCTAGGGCAACAAAGGATTTTTTCCATAAAAAGACCTCGTATTTTTCAGCTGCTCCAGGTGGAATTTACAAGAGGATGTGATTTCAAGTTGTAAGAATTTTTTAAAAGAAAGTGAATTTTCGCAATTAGGAAAGGGACAGGGGAAATGCACTGGAAAGTATGAGGTGAAGCAGTGGTTAACAGGAAGGAGTATAAATGCCCTGCAAGCAGTTCAATAAAGACTGGATAATAGTCTGATCTCCATGTAAGCTTACAGCTCATTTACACTTACCTTTTGAACCGGGTTCATGCTTTCCCACTCTGTGTCCAAGCACTTTGTTTTATTTGTTTTGTTACTTTCCTCAGGAAAACCCACATTTTAACACTGAAATGGAACAAACAGCAATCCAGGTTTTCTGCAGATTGCCTTTTGTTCCAAGAGCAGGTGTTTATGGGGAAAGTGCTGGGTGTGGGGAGCATATACTCCAAGATTTCTCCAGTGAAAATAGGGACATCTTATTCCATAATCATAATAATTTTATTATTTAGTCCCCGCCCATCTAACAGGGCTGCCCCAGCCACTCTGGGTGGCTTCCAACATTTAAAAATAATAATTAAACATTAAACATTTTTTTAAAAAAACTTCCCTATACAGGGCTGCCTTCAGATGTCTTCTAAAGGTTGTACAGTTACCACTTATCTCCTTGGCTCAGGGTCGCACAACTCCATACCCTCCCACATTTCTCCAATGAAAATAGGGACGTCCTAAGGCAGGGGTCTGCAACCTTTAAGACAAAAAGAGCCACTTGGACCCGTTTCCGAAGGAAAAAAAACTGGGAGCCGCAAAACTCGTCATTATAAAAATAACTTTTTTGTCACTTTTTTATTTATTTTTGTTTGACCCCTCCGAATTACTCCTCCTCATAGAAATAAACGTTAAATTAACAAGTTAACTTTTTTTGTGTGTGTTCTTCACTCCCCTTCAAAACAGTGACCAGCATACATGCCCCCTTTCAATGCAGTGACCAGCGTACATGCCCCTTACAATGTAGCGGGCAGGCGGGAAGGTGACGTCGGGACGGTGCGTGACTAACGCACGCACCGCCCCCATGCGACGTCACAGCCAGTACAGCGCCCGCCACAGTGGGGAGTGTCAGGGCGCACAATGCGCCTCCTCCCCTCGCTAGTATCCGCCCCGGAGCTGCGGCAAAGGTGTAAAAGAGCCACATGCGGCTCCGGAGCCGCGGGTTGCAGACCCCTGTCCTAAGGAAAGCGGGAGATTCTGGGATCAAATCAGAAATCATGACGGCTTCTGTAAATCCTGGACTGACATTGGAAAATAGGGACACTTGGAGAGTCTGGGGCAGTGCTCACACACAAACCTGGAAAGCCCAGGCCTGTGCCTAGAAATGCAAAGCAAAAGTGAGAGTGAATGAGCCCTTAGTATGGAGGGAATAATTTGCCAAATGACCACAAACCCAGCCTGGCTACTCTTTTGACTTTTAACAGCAGCTTGATCTGCAGAAATCAACAGGAGAAGCTTTTTAATATAGGGTTGCCATATTTCAAAAAGTGAAAATCCAGACACAAAAGTTGTTGAACTCGGGGGGGGGGGGCACTTCCATATGCTCAGGTTTTCCTGGACATTTTTGCCGATTTTCAGAAATTCAGCCCAGATACTATTTTCGACGGACAAGTCCTGGATATGTCCGGAAATTCCAGGTGTATGCCAGCCCTATTTAATACACAAAGACAGAATATTATCGCCCACTAATTAGTGTCACAAGTGATCATGGGAGGACAATGAATTTGGGGCAAATTGAACTGGGGGTGATCAGGGTAACTGGGTAGGATATTAATTTGGGGACCAAACTGAGTAAAAATGACTTCATCTCGAAATGATTTGGCAGCCGTGAATGGGGTGGTGGTGACTGAAATGATTCTGAATAGGATCTACGGGGAAATTAATGGGGGATAAATTAATTGAAGAGGAACTGACCTGGGGTGAGTTGGTCTGTGAAAATTAATTTAAGAATTTATCTGGGGTGAGCTGGATGAGAAATTAGCTGCCTGGCCTTCTATGGCATTTAAATTTGCATCAGTTAGATAAAGGCATCAGTTTGCATGAATTAGCATAAGCACATTTTATGCACATTTTTTCCAATGGCCCTACACTCTGTATATTTTACCTATCAAGAAAGGCCCACACTTTGGACCTGAGCTGGATGGTGCTGTGACTTCCTTCCTCCCTCCCTGTGGCCAGCTTTCAGGCTAGCCTGGGGCCCTTGGGTGGGGGGCTGTTTTTCAGCAGTCCAATCTCAGCATTGCTGAAGTGGAGCCAGTCCGCGAGCCACAAGGGCCAGCCAGCTGGCAAAGGCCAGCAGCATTTGGGCCGGGAACCGAGAGGGGGAAGGGAAGGAACCTGCCTCACCAGAAGCTTAAAAATCTGCAGAGATGTGGAATTAAAAAAAACTGCAAGGGAGTGCCCCAAACAAGCACCAGGTACAGGGCAAAACTAGATGTGAAAAACCCACAAACAACCTCCTGTTTGAAAGGCTGCCATAAAAGGTTGGGGAGGTGCAAATCTGGTCAGAGGAGTGCAGGAGGGGAAGCATTTCTCTTGCTGGTGGGAGGTGACTGGAGCAGTGCCCCCACCTCCTTTTGATCAGAAATTAAGACCCTACCCATTCACTGTTCTGGAAAGTAAAAGCTGTCATGGTTTTCATTTGGCCATGGGTTCAGATAAAAACTAATGTATTTCTGCCAACAGTTGTTAGCACTGAGCCTTTCAAGCTTGATTCAAAAAGAAACTGTCTTTCCTAGCCTGGCGCCCTCCAGATATTTTGAACTATAGCTCCCATCAACCCCAGTCTGCACAGCCTTATGATGCTGGGACTCATGGACAGCGACTGCCCTCCCATGTGGAAAGATGAGGCAGTCGCCTCAGGAGGCAGAACAGCAAAACGGCCCGACCCAACCCTGCTCAGGGGAGTTGTAATCCAAAGCATTTGGTGGGTACTAGATTGGAGTCCCATTGTGTTTCACAGCTCTTTCTCCCACTAGCTGTTCACATCAGCACAGCTTCATTAATGTGAGATTCATATCTGTTTGTGTATACACCAAGGTCTTTACCCTATGCCAAGGTGCTCACACCTTGGCCAGAGGTGAATTAAGAGTGGCTTAAGTACTCCAAGCATGGCATCAAGCAGTAGTCTTGTATAACAAAGTCCAGGATACCTGTGCATTTTGGATAACATCGTGTGTGCACAGTAAACAGGGATGTGAACACTACCCTGGACAGGAGACATGGGACCACAGAGAAGCAAATGATGAGCAGAAAATCTATGCAGGCTGTTGCAGACATATGTGGGCCAGATTTTACTCTCTCTCCCTGCAAGAGCTTTGCAGCCTGTTAAAGTATGTGTGAAGTAACTAAATGGACAGCTAATACAGCATTTTCCACCTGCCTAATGCCAAACAGTCAGATGGCTGGAGTGGTGACATCGTGAACTTTAGAGATGGACAGGTGTGAGTGATGGCTCTGCCCATGGCTTGTGAAGCACTCCGGCACAATTCATATCCATTTCAGTAAGGTTTATATAGGTGGTCTTGGCAGGTCCTCGCCCAGGTTAGTCTGTCAGGTGATGCCAGTTGGACTGGCTGTCTCCAGCAGTCATGTTAGAAAGAAACGCTGATACTCAGGCTACCCTGAGACATTTGGCACTCTCCTGCAGTAAACAGAAGGACCAGCCTCAGACGGTGATGATCCACCACATCATCCAGAAATAATACTTGGGAGTAGCAGTTTTTAAGCCTGCTGTTAGAAAAAGTAGATGTGGTACCATGAGACATGGTGTGTGTGTGTGTGTGTGTGTGTGTACACAGACACATCCACCTGCTGGGCATATGAACTGGCAAAGGGTTCTTAACGGATGGAGTGTGTGTCTTAGCCCACAAGGTTTTGACCTTGGTCCCCAGAAGGAAGAGGGCACACTCTGTTTTCATGGCTACATCTACTCCTTACTCCCTTCTCCTGCTTTATCTCTGCAGCTGTCATGGGCCTCTTCCATGCAAGCGAGAACAGCATCTTCCAGGAAAAATAACATTCTTTGCTGAATGCCTGTTATCTCGATGATGCTGTACAACATGTGCCTTTGATCCATATAAAGGTACCTTATACTGAGTTGGATCATCAGTCCATTCCAGTTGGTATTGGATTGTATTTAATTGTATTTATATGTTTTCTTCTTGTTGTGACCTCACTTTGAGGTGCTTTATAGGAACCAATTCAAAACTGAAATGAATAACTATCATAGATTGAGTATAGACCTATCTGCTCTGTCTAAGAGTAGACCCCTCAAGTCTAAGACACCCTTCTCCAACCTGGTCCCCTCCAGATGCTTCCGATTGCAACTCCCAGCTGCTGATCCAGGCTGGTGGGAGTTGAGCGAGGGCAACTTTCCCAGGCCTCTGCAATCCTTTAACTGGACATGCTGCAGGCTGGGCCTGCAAAATCTGTATTCCACCTTTGAGCTGAGGGCTCTCCCATCCTTTGGCCACAGCAGGTGGGCCTCCCTCCACCATACATCACCTATTTTTATTTTATTTATTACATTTATTTATTACATCCCACCTCTTTCTCCAAGAAACTCAAGGTGGCATACATGGTTCCCCTTCTCCATTTTTATTCTTACAACAACCCTGTGAGGTCGGTTAGGCCGAGAAACAGTGACTGGCCAAAAAGGTCACCCAGTGAGCTTCATGACTCTGTGGGATTTGAACCCTGGTCTCCCAGCCCTCCAACACTCTACAGTTGGAGGTAGCCAAGCAGGGAGATTCAACAGGTTCCCTCAGCTGACATTTCCTATTCCCGAGGATGGGTTTTCTCTCTTTCTCCTTGCACCCAGCCAGAGTGTCATATTCTTTATATGTACAAACATGCAAGTAAACAAGCCACCCTGCCAGGCAGGCCACCTGCTGACCCTTCCTCCCGCCCCAGGAAAGAAGAAATCTCTTACTGATTTGGGTTTCTTTTTGGGGGAAAGGTTTTCATAAAACGCCCGGGCATCTTCCCATCCCTCCTGCTTCGGCTGCCCTCCGCCGTTGGCTGCTTTGCTGCCGGAGTCTCGGGTGGCTCCTCTGCTCTCTGGGGGCCCAGCTCTTGCCGGGTCCATCTTCCCTCCTCTCTGCCCTTCCAGGGGAGCAGGGTGGCAATGGCAACGAGCAGCTTGTTTTCCTCTTGTCACAGGACTGCCTGCCCGCCCGCGATCAAGAGCCGGTAGCCCTTTGGATGCAGCTCAGCAAACGAGGATGAATCAGGCAGCAGCAAAGTCGCTGTGCCTGTGTGTGTGTGTGTGTGTGTGTGTGTGTGTGTGTGTGTGGCGGCGGCGGGGTGCAGGCACGTGTGCACAGATTGCCGTGTGTGCCCGTCCCTCAGAGAAAGCTCTTTATAAGGGATCCCATGAACCTCCTGGGCGTCCCTCGTTGCCAGATCAAGTGGCCGAGTCACTTAACCTCCTCAGGGCAGGAACTGCTGCAGCTACAGTACTGGCAAGCTGTTCCTGGTCCTGTTGCAGGGAAGTGGTCCCCCCCCCCGGCAATCTGGAGTGTTTCACTGCAAATCAACATGCAATCGCAGTTAAAAGGAGCTGGGCACTGCAAATAGTATATTCCTGAGAGAAAGAGAGAGACTTCTCTAAAAGCTCCGTTCACGTTTTAAGCATGAGAGCAGGTGAATAGAACTAGTTAGTCTATATAGAACTAGGCTGGAGAAAGAGGGTTTCCTCCCTTTTATAATGCTAGAAAGCACCAGGATCATCCAGTGAAGGTTGAGGGAGTCAAGGCTGACCAGAAGCAGCTTTTCTTCACACATCAGCACACAGCTTGCACTGTGGAACTCCCTGCCACAAGGTGCAGTGATGGCCACCAACTCGAATGGCTTTGAAAAGGGGATTACGCAGCTGCATGGCTATTGGTGCCTCCCACTACCAATGGGAATGTGTGAGCTAGAAGGCTGATAGGAGTGTTCAGGCAAGTAAAATGAGAAGGGACTCTGAGGTATGGCTGTGACTTTGATCTTTCTGCACAACCTTCTAGGATTGACAGGATTCTCTCCCCCACCCCCACCATCAGATCTTCTTTCGGTATCTGAGTGCTACGTGTGTCAGTGTCTCTGTGTGTACTGAAGGGTCTGTGTTTGTGTAAATGTCAGAGGCCACCCACTGACACAGGTTGCCAGGAGCAATGCTGTGCGCCTCAGCCCCCAAAAGGTTCCTCTACACCTGTGGGAAATATCAGTTGGGGGGGTTGCCTGTGAGGTTCCCTTCGGGGCATCTGGTGGGCCACTGTGGAAGCAGACATGTCAGGCCAGATGGGCCTTTGGTCTGATCCAGTCGGACTCTGGCTGTGGGGGATAACCCATTGTTAAGACAAAATACTCCGCACATGCTCAGGCACAACATAGCTGGAGCAGACCAAAGGTTCAACCAGTCCAGCAATCTGTTTCTTGTCAGTAGGCAGGCAGATGCTCCCAGGCAGCTCACGAGTGGGGCATAGAAGAAAGTGCCCCACACTCTTGTTTGTCCCACAGTATCTGGTAGACTGCCTCTGAATCAAGAGGCTCCACTTTCATTTCCTGGCCAGTTGCTGCTAATTAGACATCTTCTCTGTGAATTCACTTTTCCTCCCTCTTCTTTTCAATCTAGCCGGAATAAGCTCTCAGCACTAAAGCAAGGGTCTAATTTCTTTGCCAAAGATGGGACAACCACTTTCTGCCAGCTGGATGCTTTGTGCAAATGAAAATGTTCAAGATGCTGAATTTTGCATTATATACCAAACGCAGCCCTTGCAAGGATATGCCTGGGAGACACACCACAGTTTATTGATACAAAATTGTATACTGTTTAATTGTCAAAAGCTCTAAGGTGATTTAGCTGGTTCTAGCTACCTCGCTTTGCCCCAGGAGCTTTTCTGCCTCACACATTGCCTTGCAGGCAGTTCAATGGACTCTGTAGCTCACACCATTCCCTTACTGCCACCTGCCACCCACCTGGAGACCAGCACAGCCAGAGGCACCCACAGGTGTGCACTGCACAGATGCGAAATGAAGCAGATACTGTACAGCTGGTGTAGCTGATGAGGACTGAGCCCTGCTGCATCTTTAAGAGGTGCTGCCCAGAAGAAGATGGCAAGGATGGCTATGTTTGCCAAGATCCTTCCCTCTCCTGCGTAACAATCCAACCCAGCCAGACCTGCTTGGCTGCTCCCCAGAGAGCCACCCCAGCAGGATCCCTTCACCCACAAAGTGCTGTCTGGCCAGCCCCGGGGACCCCACAGCCCTTTCCTCTGCTACATCCAATTTCAACACCCGCACACCATCTGGGTGGGTCCCCTGAGAGCCTGTTCCATAACCTGTAGATAGTTTTCATGCTCCACAAAAGACTTGATGTGCAACATACATATCTTCTACTGGAGGAGTCTATTTGGAACATTGCATAGCATAATTTGGCAGGTATGGGGTTGCAGTCCCCCCCTCCCCTCAAAAATCCCTGCTTTCTCTTTTTCTCTCTCTCTCCCCCTTTGCACAAGGCTGGTGTCTGCGCTACCCGGGAGAATGACTAGCAGATGCTTTGATGCAAGTGCCCAATGATAATCCCTGCAGGGTATGTGTTAGGGTGTGAAACCTAAGACGCTGGCAAGTTAGCAATGTCATGTGACTTTAAGTAGTCAAGCTCGTTAAGTTGTTAAGTTGCTCAGTATATAAAGTGTGTTTGTTTTCTCTGCCTGTGGGGTGTGAAGCAAAAATGTCTGAAAGCTCCGGAGGTATTTCTGTTATCTTTCTGCAATAAACCTGTCTTTGGAAAGACAGGCTTCCCTGTGTCGTTATTTCTTTGCTGCTGAGACTCTGAAGCTTGTACTGCAACAAGAATCTCTGCACTGGACTTAATTAATACTCTGCAAAGAGAGCTGTTGCTGGTGGCGCAGCGGAAGCGTTTACTGGACCAGTACACAAACTCTCTTAGGTTATGGATCCTTCTACGTTTCTACAGCTGTATTGTGTGCAGAGAAAGTGAAAGCAGCTTTCGGATGAGAGAAGACCGGCTTGGTCGTAAATCCAGCTCTTAAAGGCTTCAGAGGAGGCTGGAGGCGTCTGAAAAGTGAGTAAAACAAATCCCAAGGGGAAAAAGAAGAAAGGGCACACAGAGGGAGTAGCAGCAGACCCCAAGAATGGCAGTGGAAAATTTCCAGGTTCCCTTTACAAAGTTGAACTCTGCAAATTACGTGCAGTGGTCTAAGAGGGCTCAAGTCTGGTTGGAAGCCAAAGAAGTGTGGGCTGACTATGTCCAGAGGCGAAAGCCGTTTGTGGCTGTTGCAGCAGATGCCACAGCAGAGCAACAGGCTGCTGCACATGCTCAGAATAGGGAACATGATAAAATGGACACTAAAGCTAGATGCATGTTGATGGTATCGATAGACGATTCCCAATTACCTCATGTGGAAAATTTAAGGTCTGCATTTGAAATTTGGGAAGCTCTTAGGCGAATTCACCATAGAGCCACGCCCGGAGAGAAGGTGAACATTATACGTGCTTTGTATGAGTTGAAACTGAAGCCAGGGGATAGTGTGGTTGAACACACGTCACAGATGACTGAGTATTTCAACCGACTGTCATCTTTAGGTGTGAATTTTCCTGAAAATATTAAAGTTTATACTCTGCTTAGCAGCCTGCATGCAGGGTTTGAAAACTTAGTACTAACTTTACAGGTTTTGCCAGAGGACCAGCTGAATATGAATTATGTGACTGGTAGATTGTGTGAGCAAGAATATCAACATCATCGAAAACGTATTGATAATTCAAATACCCCAAGGGTTGGGTGTTCAGATAATTCCCAGCGTGGGGAAACTAGCAGGCAGAGCTGTAAGGAAGCCTCACAAGTGTCTGCTATGGCCAGCAAGTCATGTTTTCGATGTGGCAGCAGGTTTCATTTGATAGCAAAGTGTCCAGAAAAGCAACAGGAATTTCAACAGTCCAGGGCCAGTTTCCGGAGCTACAGGGGAAGACGACGTGAGAACTACAAGAATCAACGATCCAGAGGGGGAGCAGGTGCTGATAAGGGACTATCTGCAATGGCAGCACAAAAGAGTCCTAAAAGGAGCCAACAAACCTTGAAGTGGATAATTGACAGTGGAGCAAGTCACAGTTTAGTTCCAGCGACATCCAGTGGCCGCTTGATGAACTGCAAGACATTGCCAGTTGCAAAAACCGTGACTATAGCAGACAATAGTAAACGAGAAATGAACCTTAAAGGCACAATTTATGTTAACTGTTTGCAAACTAACCTTCCTGTTTTTGTTCTTCCAGGAATGAAGAATGGACTTTTGAGTGTGTCATGCCTGGTAAAAAGTGGTTTTAAGGTTGAGTTTGAAAATGATGTGTGCACCATTTCGAAACAGGGGAAGGAGCTAGTTAAAATTCCCTGTGAGGATGGGCTTTTGTTTTGGATGAAGAGCAGTTAGCAGCAGGTAGATGTTCAACAGGTGAAGCGCAAGCTAAGTGTGTAAATAAGGCTCCTCATACAGGTTGTGCACATCTACTACACAGAAGGTTAGCTCATATATGCTTTAAGTATGTAAGCAAGATGCCAGATTTAGCTGAGGAGTGTAACATTAAACCCTGTCCAAATTTTCTGGATTGTTGTGCTTGTAAACATGCTAAGGTTAAGACATGTAACTATCCTAGATCTGATAGAGTAAGCAAGAAACCCTTTGAACTTGTGCACACAGACGTGTGTGGCCCTATGCCAGTCAAATCGCTTGGAGGTGCGAGATTTATGCAAATTTTGGTGGATGATTTTTCAAGGGCTAGTTGGGTTTTCTTTCTGAAAGAAAAATCACAAGCAGCTTCCATCCTGATGGATTGGATTGAAGAAGTCGAATGTAAATTTGACACCAGGGTACGTAAAATACAATCAGATCGTGGTGGGGAATATGTGAACCACACGCTGGAGACGTGGTTAAAAAGGAAAGGTATAGTTCATAGACTTACCAATCCCTATTCACCACAGGAGAATGCAGTTGCTGAAAGAAAATTTCGAACATTACAGGAAGCCATTGCTGCTTTGCTGTTTGATTCTGGACTTCCACAGCGTTTTTGGGCTGAGGCTGCACTGTATGCGAATTATACTTTTAACAGAGTGTACAATAGCACAGTAGGCAACACTCCTTACTTCATGCTATTTGGGAAAAAACCAAAAATTGATCATCTAAGAGTTTTTGGATGTCGTGCTTATGTGCTGGTGCCTAGGGCACAACGTAGGAAAGGCGATCCTAGGTCTAAAGAAATGTTTTTCTGTGGTTATCAAGCAAACACAAAAGGTTGGAGATTTGTGAATGTAGAAGGCAATCAAACGAAAATCACAATCAGCAGAAGTGCAGAATTTTGTGAACAGGATGGTTGGAATAAAATTCATGGAAATCCTGACATACTATTTGATGTGGTGAACAGCAATGAAACTCAGGCCCCAGGGCAGGTATTAGTTCCAGAACAGACTGAGGAATTTGAGTCTGAGGATAAGGGTGAGAAA